GAAACTCCGCGAGGTTCCGGCTTTTAAGGGAAAAGATGTAACCAGGCGGGAGCTGACGGGCTCTGTGGGGAGCTGCCCCGCTCTCCAGGCACTTAGGGTCTCCGAAATTTTGTTTTTCAGCAGGGTTTATCAGCACTTAGGGCCGTGGATCCCAAACCATCCTGCCCCACACCTCCCAGCCCATCATCCCAATTCCAGCTACCATCCCGGACTGATGGGATGGAACATGGACAGGGAAGGCTTGGGCGAGGCAGCCCCTCGTTTGGCCGGCACCAGGGACATCCAGCAGGACCCTCCACACGGTCCCAGGGGGAAAACAGGGTGGATATTCCATTTTGGCCACCACGATGGACCCCAAGTGGGACTCCCTGTGCAATCCCAGGGAGAAAAGAGGGTGGATTTTCCATTTTGCCCACCGGCTCACTGCTGGCATTAAAGACAAACCGTTGCCATCATCTGAACTGTGTGATCAGGAGCCTAATTCAATCCAATCTGGCTCATTGTTGAGGGTTGAGCATTTAGCTGAAACCCTAAGCCAGCCCTGCAGTAATTTGGCTGGGGAGGAATTGATTTTGACCATCAGCACTTTCTCATTTTCAATGGAGTCCGAACGTAACCAGGTTAATTTCTGTTAAGCACATTACCCAGGTACTTTTTGCTCTCCAGCCCAATGATTATGTGTCTGATCTGAAAGATTATAATTGCAACCCAACAGGACACAAACAGGAGTCTGTGATTGAAAGGAACCGGCCTGAAAGAAAACCAGCTTCTCTTCTACCTAAAAACCAAACCACTTCCCCTCTCTCCAAATTTCTCCATTTTTTAACAGCTACACACAGCAAGATCTGCCTCAGTAAGTAAATTCACTCTGGTTGACCTTCCAATACACTACTGTGTCTCCCATTTTGGTGAATTAATATTCTTACTGCAAGTTTGGTTTGGTTTGATCCCAAGTTGCTGGACTGGTTTTCTTCTCTTCTTTGCCCAAATCAGAGCTTCTGCCTTGCAAAGGACTTCCCAGAGTGGTCAATCCCAGCACCTCACCAGACACAGCCCCAGGGCTCCCAGCCTTGTGGGCACCCCTGGTCCTGCCTCTTTTCCTGCCCCCAGTTTTCATCCCAGTGACAAAGGGGATTTTCCCATGGGTGTGAGATCCCCCCGATGTGGGAAATGGGAGCTCCAGGGGGGAATGGTTTCCAAGCAGAAGAGGAGAGATTTATACTAGATATTAGGGATGCATTCTTCCCTGTGAGGGTGGGGAGGCCCTGGCACAGGTTGCCCAGAGAAGCTGTGGCTGCCCCTGGATCCCTGGAAGTGCCCAAGGCCAGGCTGGACGGGGCTTGGAGCCACCTAGGATAGTGAGAGGTGGTGGGAGTGGAAAGAGATGGTTTTCCAACCCAAAGGTTCCCTTCCAACCCAAACCACTCCATGGCTCTCTGATTCCACGCCGCCGGGATGGCGCTGCAGCGAGCCAGCCCGGCAGGAGCACAGCAAACCCACCCTGGATGTGCCACCCGAAAATCAGGGGTGGGGAAGGGCCCAGCTGAGAACATCCATCCCCCCTGCCACCACCACCACCACCCACCCACCCACCCCAGGGGCTGGGGCCTCGCCTTGCCTCCAGCCCTGCCTTGCGCGTGATTCCCCCCCGGCCGTCACGGCTTTCTTCCGCTCCTAAAGCACCTTTCATCACGAACCAGGATGGAGCGAGGCAGCTGCTCAACAGCACGGAGCGCAGGCAGGGACGGGCAGGAAGTGGAAGCGGCTCCCGCAGCTGCTGGGAGCAGGCAGGAGAGCTGCACTCACGCACCCACCGCGGCATTCCGGGGCCTTATCGCATCCCCCCGGCACGCGCGCGCATCCCCCCGGCACGCCAGGGGCCCGCGTGGCCGCTCCCGAGGGATGGCACCGCTGGGGACACGTGGGAGAGAGCCATGATGTGACATCCACCGAGGGAATGAGAGGAGGAGGGATGGATGTCCTGGGCCCTCCTGCTGCTCCGGCAGCACCTGCTCCAGCACAGGGACCTGTGGGGTCGCAGGTCCTGTGACCGCGGCCCAGCGTGGCCCAGGGACCTGCGGGGACACAGCTCTGACCCACCAGAGCTCAGAGACCTGCAGAGCCACCAATATCACCCACTATGGCCCAGGGACCTGCGGGGACACAGTTCTGACCCACCAGAGCTCAGGGACCTGCAGGGCCACCAATATCACCCACTATGGCCCAGGGACCTGCAGGGACACAGCTCTGACCCACCAGAGCTCAGGGACCTGCAGGGCCACCAATATCACCCACTATGGCCCAGGGACCTGCAGGGACACAGCTCTGACCCCACCATGGTGCAGGTCCAGGTTGTGGCACTGCAGGTCTAGATCGTGGCACTTTCACACCCAAATCATGGCACTGCACACCCAAATCACGGCACTGCACACCCAAATCACGGCACTGCAGGTCTGGATCGTGGCACTTTCACACCCAAATCACGGCACTGCACACTCAAACTGTGGAACTACACACCCCACCACGGCACTGCACACTCAAACTGTAGCATTGCACGCCCAGGCCGTGGCACTGCGTGTTCAAATCACCGTCCCTCGCGGTGGGAAACGTCCCCAGGGGCTGGGATTCACCTGCAGGCACTTGGCCCATCCTGTGAATGCACCGTGGCCTCTGTCACGCTGGAAACACCACTGTTTTTCTGAGAAACGTCCCCAACCCCTCCCTTCCCCTCTGCCCCACGGCTGGAGCAGCCTGAGGAGCTGCACCCTGCCAGGACCCCTCTGCCTCAGCCCTGCAGATCCCTGATAGCAGCACTTTGCTGCAGGGGGTGGGAGATAACCAGTGCTGCTCCCCACCCCCCCACCCCTCGACCAGGACCTTCCCCTTTGAAAAGGGACAAATATAACCGAGATGAGTCAGTTCCTCCGAGCTCCCGGCCCCTGTACAATATGGAACTGGAATTTCTCATTTCGGCACTGCAGGGGAGGCATAACTGGAGAAGACAATGGAGTCAGCTCCGACCCAAAAAAAAGCGGTGCCAACTCTGTGTGCCTGAGAAATAAAAACATTTTTTAATCTAAAAATAAATTAACTGTAAGTGACAACGAGAGCAGATCTGCATGTACTCACTGTCAGCCCGCGCAGGACCAGCCCCTGCTCCTTGGCACAAGGATTTGGGAGAATTCCCTGCTCTTTTCAGGCCAGGTTGGGATTCACAGCTGTGCCACAGAGCCAGGGAGACACTCAGCACCTGCCCCAGGAACTGAGCTTCCTGAGCTGGCATCAGAGCCAGCAGCAAACCCCCAGAAGGCAGGGAAACCTCCTGGGTTTGTTTTCCAGCTGCGTTACAGCTCTGAGAGGGGGAAAGAGGCTCCACCGAGCTCGGGACTCGGCACTGACAAACCATAAACCCCATCCAGCTTCTCCTGATTGAATGAAAGGGTAGGGAGGGCGAGGCAGTTGAGGGCCCCCCTGCCACCCTGGTGTCACTGGGCAGAGCAGATCCCTGGGGCAGCCCCGAGCCCACCCTGCTGCCCTCCCTGCTGCTGAGCTGTGCCTGGAGCAGACACAGGGTGTGTGGGTGGCACAGGAGACGGTCTGGAGACTCCAGAAAATAAAAGCCAGCCAAGGGACCGCAGGTGGGACCTGCAGAGGGAGCTGGTGCTTTATTTCATGCACCTGAGAGCCAGGCCAGCATCTCTCCCTGCTCCCAAAACTCCAACCTCATGGCACAGGGGCCGGGAGCTCCAGAGGGATGAAGCACATATCTGGGATTTTGACAGCACAAAAACACTGTCCAATTCACTGTGCAGCAACATCAACCCCTTCCCTGGAATCTTCTTCAGAATTCCAGCACCAGTGGCCCCTGTCCCCAGGGTGGTGGCAGTTCCAGTGCATGGAACTCTCTCAGCAAGGATGTGGAGAGAGCAGGTGAGGGGGAGACACCCAAAAACCCCAAACCACATGGGTACAATGCTCTCCTTTTCCTCAGGACATTGCCAATAGGACCTTACAAAAACCTTCTGCCCCCCGTTCTTTCCTCTGCTCTGTTTTCCGGCGCTGGGTTTCTTTCTTTCCCCCCTCCTTGACTTGACTCCTCGCTGGGTAAGGCTGTATTTGATATTTTTAATCACTCAGCATGCATCAGAGCTTGGCAGCAGAAGAAAGTGAAGTTAAAAGGGAACAGAGACGGGGTTGGGTTTGCCAGGGCCGCCTGCCACGGCCACAGCCCCTCAATCGCTTGGGCTGCGATTCCCTCTGCTGGGAAGTCACGAGCCACAGCTGACTTAAAAACCATCTGATCATCAGCACTCGCAAACCTGCAGGTTTTGAAGCCTTGCTTCAAAGAAAAACAGAAGTCCCGAGCCCTTCTGCCTTTGCTGTACAGATACAGAGACCTTACACACAGACTCGTTTTATGTTTGTTTATATATCAATGTTACCGATAAACGTTTATAGTAAGTCTACATTTGTTTGTTTTTATGGCTGGAAGATCCCGGCCACTGCAGCGATGTGATGGAAATTTTGACTTTCCCTTCCCAGAAGCTGCAGCGAAATTGTTCTCTGCTCTCTGCAACTCCCCGACAGGAGCGGGGAGCCTGGGGGGAAATCGGGCTCTGCTCCCAGGGAACAAGGGACAGGAGGAGAGGGAACGGCCTCCAGATGTGCCAGGGGAGGCTCAGGTTGGACATCGGCAGGAATTTCTCCCTGGAAAGGGCGGTCAGGAATGGAAGGGGCTGCCCAGGGGGTGGTGGAGTCCCCACCCCTGGAGGCGTCCGTGGCACTCAGCGCCCCGGCCTGGGTGACAAGCGGGTGATCATGACCTCAGGGATGTTTGATCATGAGCTCTTTTCCAACCTCAGTTATTCCCGTGGCTCTGGGATCCTCGGGACGATCCCGAAAACACCGGGATGAGCCGAAGATCCGGAGGGCTGGCGGCGACACCTCCGGCCCGCTGGGGGGCGCCCTGCGGGGCGCGCCGGAAGCCGGAAGCGGGGAGGCGGAAGCGCGGGCGGGCGGCGATGGCGGCGGCCGTGTCGTCGCTGAGCAGTTTGGGGGTCCCCGATGGCGACGGAGGGGTGAGAGGGGGACGGGGCGGCACCGGGCGGGGAGGGACGGGGGAGGGTCCGGCTCCATCCCGGGGCTGAGTGCGCGTTGTTTCAGAGCTCCTCGGAGGAGGAGGAGGCGGGCCCCAGCGCGGCGGCGGCGGCGGCGGCGGAGCAGCGGCGGGAGGAGCGGCTGCGCCGGTTCCGGGAGCTCCACATGAAGCGGGTACGGGTCGGTCCCGGAGCCCCCCCCTGCGGTTGTTCGTGTGCAGTTCTGGGCTCCTCGGTGCAGGAAAGAGGAGGAGCTGGTGGGGAGGGGCCAGGGGAGGCCGCGGAGGTGATTTGGGGTCTGGAGCATCCCTGGGATGAGGAGACACCGCGGGAGCTGGGCATGGTCAGTCAGGAGGAGGGAAGGTTGAGAGGAGATCCATAAATCCATGCCAACATCTCCAAGGGATGTCAGAGGATGGTCCCAGGTTCTTCCCAGTGGCTCCCAGTGACAGGACAAGGAGCAGTGGCCATAAACTAAACACCACAAAGTCCACCTCAGCACGAGGCAGAACTTCTTTCTGTGGAGGTGGCAGAGCCCGGAACAGCTGCCCAGGGAGGGTGTGGAGTCTCCTTCTCTGCAGACATTCCAGACCCACCTGGACACATTCCCGTGTCACCTGCTCCAGGTGACCCTGCCTTGGACTGGGTGATCTCCAGAGGACCCTTCCAACCCCAGCTGCCCTGTGATTCTGGTTTACAGGGTGCTTTCAGGAAGCAGTGGCCAGGCCCCGTCCCAACAGGGCCCCCTTCACCCCCCCAGGGTTCTGGTTTTGTTGTTCCTGTGCTCAGGTGATGCCCTGTTTCGTTCCCAGTACGAGGCTTGCAAGCTGAACAGCCAGGAGGTGGTGGAGGAAGACAAAAGACTTAAATTGCCACCAAACTGGGAAGCTAAAAAAGCTCGGCTGGAGTGGGAGCTGAAGGTGCAGGAAAAGAAGAAGGTAAATACATAATTACAGCTCCCCATGACCCCGTGGAGCCACAGCCCAGGTGCCTGCAGTGGCACTTCATGGTGGCTCATCAGTCTTGGGAGCTTACGCTGATGTTGCCCTCCCAAAATCCACGTCCTAATTAAGCTACTGATTGTCTAAATTATTGTCCTGCACCAGAGGGAGCTGCAGCCAAGTTTTAGGCTTGGCCACTGGCTCCCTGTTGAGACTGAAGTGTTCCTTGTGCTGTGTCAGGAGTGTGCAGCGAGAGGAGAGGACTACGAGCGGGTCAAGCTGCTGGAGATCAGCGCCGAGGACGCCGAGAGGTGGGAGAGGAAAAAGAAGAAGAAAAATCCCGACCTGGGCTTTTCAGGTAACAGCTTAACCAGGCAGCTGTGTTTGCAGTGGACACCTGTGATGGTATTTCGGGTGAGAACTGGGCCATGGGGTAAAGCCCCTCACCCTGGCACCGTCTGTTCCCAGATTACGCGGCGGCGCAGCTGCGCCAGTACCAGAGGCTGACACGGCAGATCAAACCCGACCTGGAGCAGTACGAGAAGCTGAAGGAGCAATAGTAAGTTCTGTGGTATTTCTAAGCCATGAGCAAACTCTGGAGACTTAAAATCCTTCCAGCACATGCATGATCTCGTGTGCCCTGTGATGTTAATTAGTCTTTAGCGTGGTATTAAAGTACGGCCTGGTAATCGACTTGGCCATCCCTGCTTTGGGGGGCTGATGGGTAGGGGAGTAATTAATGAGGGTCATTTCTTCAAAGTTCTTCTCTGCGAGGGTGGGGAGGCCCTGGCACAGGTTGCCCAGGGAAGCTGTGGCTGCCCCATCCCTGGAAGTGCTCAAGGCCAGGTTGGACAGGGCTTGGAGCAACCTGGGCTAGTGGAAGGTGGAAAAAGATGGTGTTTGAGGTCCCTTCCCTCCCAAACCATTCTGGGCTTCTATGAAATCCCAAAGCAGTCAATGGTTGTGTAACCTGCTGCCCCTCTGCCCCTCTCCCAGCGGGGAAGCGCTGTACCCCACCTCCGACAGCCTCCTCCACGGGACTCACGTGCCGTCCAAGGACGGGGTGGACAGGATGGTCGCGGATCTCGAGAAACAGTGAGTAACCCCCGGGGCCAGGCGGGTGACAGAGCAGCTCTGGGCAGGGGGACGCCCAGGCCCGGCCCAGGGGGGATGCCCCACGGGTGCCATCGCTGCCTTCCAGGATCGAGAAGCGGGAGAAGTACAGCCGGAGGAGACCCTACAATGATGACGCCGACATCGACTACATCAACGAGAGGAACGCCAAGTTCAACCAGAAGGCAGAGAGGTTCTACGGGAAGTACACGGCCGAGATCAAACAGAACCTGGAGAGAGGGACGGCCGTCTGAGGCAGCTCCCGGGGCACAGTGCACAGCCCTGGGGCTGGGCAAGGGCAGTGCAGGGTTTACAGGCAGTTTTATTAAAAAAAATAAAAAGCATTATAGCTGTTGCTTCCTGAAATCCATGGTGGGTTTAATGGAGTAGAAGTGATTTGCAGCTGTACACAGCTTTGATTGCAGGAGGAGCCAGCTTGTTCAATCTTGTGTTCTAAATAAAGACCAGTTTTAGTCTAATTTAAGAGTTGGTATTTGTTTCTTCAGTTGCTGGAGTTTATCAACAAGATGAAAGGTGAGGAAGGTGAAGTAACATTCCCATGAAGAAACAGCTTCCCCAGCTGTCACATGCCAGGGCTGGAGCTGCCCACCCTCCCCCAGGGCCAAGAGAAACACGAGCCCTCGAGCACTGCCAGCCTCGGCTCGGCCATGTCATAGTTCCTCAAAGAAGCTTCCAGCCACGAGTAGTCAAATTCAGTTTATTTCACTTGTAATTTATTTATACAAAACCCAGGTTTAACCCATTGCACCAAGTCCATGCAACAGCCTGTTGACTTCTCCCATCCTCCTCTCCCGGAGCAGAGGTCTGGCTGAGCCGTGGAGTCATCACAGGCAGCACAACCTGTACCCTGTAGCACAAACCCTCCTGCACTCACTGCACCTGCCCCTTCCTGCCTCACAGCGACCCTAGAGGCTTTTTAAAGCCAAGTAAAACACAAGCCTGCAGTAACTTGAGCATCAGAAGGAGCAGAAGGGACAAGCTGCTCACAGTGCAAGGGCGGTGACTTCACCTACGGCAGTCACATAAACATCTACACAAGCTTTCACTTCCAGAGGGATATCCAGGGAAGGTGCTCAAGGCTCTGAACTAGGCACAGCCTGGGCAGGAACTATTCCAGCATAAAGATCCACTTTAATGATGCAACTACTGCCTTCTCTTGCACCTTAAGTAACAGCCAGGTAAGTGAAAGCTAAATCAGACAGGACATACTCATAACACAGGTCTAACACTTCACACATTAAGCCAGTGCAAAACTAAACTTTATTCACTTGAAGTAAACAGTTACACAATGTAAATCCAAGTGTCCAAAGAACAGCTACCCAACTATTGTTTAGAAAAAGTTACCCACCTGCAAGTTCTAGTCCGATAAAGCAATACAAAATATTTACAAATATACACAAGATTCCCACCTGTGGCTTCGGGATCAGTGTGCTCTCTATCTGAAAGAGAAACCTTAGATTCCAAAAATTAAAAGATCTCAAAATAAATACTCAGTATTAACAAATCTTCAACCCCATCAGAAAGTTTGCAATCTCTCTACTGAAGGATGTGAAGTGCTGCAGTCAGGCAGTGACTCCCATCAGCGTGCCCGGAACAGGGTGCTTTTGGGTGAGAAGTTTAAGAATGTTTTCTTCTCCTCCTTCTTGACAGGAACCCACTGCCCATAGGGACTTCCCTTCCTGTCCTCTTCTCTGGCTGGAGAAACTACTGGCTCCTTAACAACATGGCTCACTGGCTTCTGCAGGGCTGGCTTTGCCATTGTGTTCTGGAAAAGAGAAAATTTCATGTAAGAAGAGGTATTAAAACCTGTCACTCCTCAAGGGGCACAAATCCAGTACATTTGTCTGGACTGATTTATAGAAATGTTTTCTCTCCAGCTCTTGGAATCCCTGATGCTTATTGAGTATCAACTCCGTACACTTAACTGACAGAGGATTCAGGAAGTTACTAAGTTTGTATTACTAAAATATAGAACTTGAAATAAGTTCTGGTTTAAACTAGTTCAAGTTGTTAAGTCTTAGTTTCATCTAGTTCTAGCCCTTTCAAGTGTATTGCACAGTACAGATGTTCATTGTTAGTAGTTGTAGAGGTAAATACCTATTTTAAATCCGCTGCTGAAGGACTGATCTAACTCCTCCATGAAAAGTCATTATCAAACCATTACATTCATTTTGTTACCACTATCAAGATCACTCATTTGGAAACCAGAGCTGGGAAAAGCCTAAGGCAGGAGGGGCTGCAGTGCTGGAATTGCATCGTGGGAAGTCACTTACATTAGGACTGAAGGAAATGCTCCTCTGTATGGTTGCTCTCTCCATCCCACTCTTGGTCATGTCTTCTGCTGCGCTTCTGGGTTGCTAGAGAAGAGCACACACAGCCTAAGTGGGAGGACACGTCACCCCATGCAAGGTCAGGCAGTTACTACAGAGCATGAACTTTTCTGGTATAGAGTTGTTTCGGGTATTTACATCAAAAAGTAGCTGTAAAGCTACTGGATATGCAAACAGAGCAATGCTGAGCCCAACTGGAAATGCATTCAGTATTTTTACCAACGTGGCTGTGCCAGCTCAGGTGTGAATGGACGTGATATCCACATCCCAGTTACAGTTTATAAGGATTCAAACAGTCACAGCATCAATGTCACAGTGTGCAGTGACAGAGCAAGTGGAATTAAGTTCTGCACAACCATCCTGCAGAGCTTTGGATAATGACAATAAACTTATCTGCAAGTGATGCAGGCCTCTTCTTCTGTACTCTCTCAACATCTGGAATATATTGCATATATTTATGAAAGGGATGCCTGTACCATTTGTGTAAAACCCTCAGTAAATTTACTTCCATTTGTAACAGCAGTATCTGACTCGCGTGCAGGTTTCGTATTTACCGTTGACTCAGATTAACACACTACAACACAACCAGGCTAAAATTCACTTCAAGCTGCTCAAGTTTCTCCCTCCCTTAAATTCACAGCAGCTACAGCCCACAAGTCCCTTAATTACCACCAGATTTTCTTCATCATGTCTGGAACCATAGTCATGATTTCTATAAGACAGAAATAAAGTATGTAAAATGCATTGTGTGCTTGCGTATGGATTTTCTGGGAAACAAGTTTGTTGCACATGAAAAGCTTTTAACAGTTCAAAAAAAGGCAGAAAGATTTAAACTAAAAAAAAAAAAAACCAAAACAAAAAACCCCACACTATTCACTAGGTTTGGCAAGGAGAGTCCTGCTTTAGGTCAGAAAGACATAAACTAGTTGGATTAATGGGCAATATCCCATTAAAAGAGCAAGTCAAAAGGACAAGCTACATTCTCCTCTCCTTCCCCACCTGTCACTACTGGACAGCCTGCACAGGCTCAGTGGATCAACCACCTCTCACAGGTCCACTGTGCTTCCAGCTTAAGGCAAAGTCTAGAGGTTTTCTAGAGCAGTTTTTGTTCAAGAGTTTGAATTCTTAACCACAAACTCCACAGTTAAACTAGAACACATCCATGCAGACAAGTTTTAAGAAGTGTTTACCTTTTCAGTGAGAACACTCCAGTCCATACTTACCTCAGCTGACTCTCCAGGTTCTTCCTGTTTCTGTTTTTCATTTTTTATCTCTTTGGCAGGAGCAGGGATCTTCAAGCTCGCTGGCAAGACAATGTTATCTGTTCCCAGAGCTTTGGCAGCATTGGCTTTCGCAATTTCCAGGAGTTCCCTCTTGTCTGAAAGAGGAAGGAAGAAAAAAAAAAAAGCGTCTTGTGTTATATTTAAATCCACATTTACCTACTCATACAAGCCTAAAAACTGCAGGTTTAATATCCCTGCATCTATGTAAGCATCAACTGTGATGAATTTTATCAGACCTTGAGAGATTTAGTTTCAGTTCCAGTGCAAAGAATGTGCATTTAACAAACAGAGTAGTTCAGAGCATTTTCATAACCACACAGAGATTTTCTTCCACAGTGCCATTATCAATCATGCTCTATAAAGCAACTACACAAAGCAGAACTGGACTGGTTAAAGAAAGTCATACATTTTGATGTTCTCACACAGTTAAAGTCTCAGAAAGTACCTTTCTCGCTGAGATGGAGAGGTGACCTGCTGCGGGACCGTGTCCGTGACCGGCTCCTCCAGCCCCTGTACGCCTCGGGGTATATGGTTCGCCCAAATCCATAATATCTCCGGCCTCTGGAGCGTGACCTGCTCCTCGAGTAGGACCTTCTGTAGTAGGACCTGCCGCGGGATCGGTAGCGCGGCGGGGAGCGGCGGTACCTCCGGTAGTGCCTGGCGTGGTACCTGCCCCGGTACCGCCGGTACCCGCGGGACCGCGACCGGCTGCGCGAGTAGGAGCGCGAGTATCTCCTGTACCGGCGGGAACCGTTCCTCCTGGCCCGGGACCTCGACCTGGAGCGGCTCCAGCTCCGCGAGGAGGCTGAAGAGGAGCTGCTGGAGCTGGAGCGTGAGCTGCACGAGGATCTGCTGGAGGACCTTGTTGACGACCTGTCACAGCTCCTCTTGGATCTCACGGATGTCTCTCTCTTCTTTGGAGAGCTGAGGGTCAAGTCATCCATGAAACCCGTCATGTCTTCTGTTTTCTGCACACAGGTGCTCTCGGAAGCTGGTTCTGTTTTCACTGCTGTTCTGCAATGCCCAGTTTCTGTTCCTGTTGTTGGGTGGGGAGGGGGAAGTTAATTATTCATGGGCATCAAGCTGTTTACACAGCAACAACAAACAGCGATGACACACAGGCAGAAAGTTCAAGGACAATTAAACACACCAACAGTCCTCAGCCAGTTTACCAGCGTGTTTTACAGATGACAGTTTTGTTTCATAATTTCCTGTAGTCAGCCAAAAGACTGAAATATGAAATTATAGGGGGAAAAAAAGCTTTAGTTTAATCCACGAATAATTCTGTACGGAATTTTCGAGAGAGGTAGGTTTGAGAAGGTTTTAAGTGTAATTCCTTTTATGTAAAAGGTACAACTTAATACCCTTTTCCTCCAAACAGAATTTTCAAGGTGTTTTATTTTCACTCTAAAGGCAGGCTATTGCACCTATGATGCAAAATGACCATTTGCCTTCCAGATCAGTACAAACTGATTTACTCCAAGAGGGAGGAAATAAAAGCACCTTCAAATTACAAAGCAGCCACTCCAAGATATTAACCATATCATCTTAAAAAAACTCCCTGCACAGAGCTCCTCACAACCCAGCAGTGCATACAGCAAACTGCTATTAAAAATGTTCTACACAGGTAGCAAAAAATACAGGTAATGACTCACCAGACACGACACGCACAGAACACTTGTCGTGGTTATATATTAATAATTAAAATGGCTGTCCCTCTAGCGGCAGCCATTTCATAGCTACAAAGGTTACTCGAGTGTAAGGATCTTATCACAGGACTTAAGCCCTGAGTTACGTAACCACTGTACAGCTTGAGGAAGCTTGCTTTAAGCCAAAAATTCCTACCCGCTGCTCAACGCAAAGTTCGCAAATAAATATAAAACCCTTACTGGAATCTGTAATTTAAGTTCTGTCAGGGTTTGCCAGACGCCACCTCCCTCGATACTACTACAGCTAAAGTTTCACTACTTCACCTCTACGCCAGGGCCAAGGTCACCCGCGCCGTACGCGGCACAGTAAGATAAATTTCGATGTGCCCCTTCCCAGCGATAATCCCCCTCCCCAGCATGTTACAACCTATGGGACACATCGCGGGTACCGCATAGGGCCCCCCCCAGCCCCACCCCGAGCCCTCAGGGCCGTGTCCCAGGGCTGTGTCCCCAGCACTCACCGCTGGGCGCGGCCGGCCCCCCCTGGTGCTGGTTGTCCTGAGGCACCTGGGCGCTCCTGTAAGGAAAAAAAAAATTACAAAACCACCCTTGAGCGATGCGTGTCCCTCACACCCCGCGCAAACGACCGCGAACGGCGACCGCGAACGGCCCCTCCCGTCCCTGCCTCCCCCAACGCCCCGCTCCGCCGCCTCACCGGCTCCAGCCGCCCGGGCTGCCCCCGCACGGGTCCTGAGGGGAGAGCCCCGCTTCGTGAGTCACCCCCATAGCGCCGGGCCACGCCGCTCCACCCGCACAGAGAGTCGCGATAGAGCCCCGAGAGAGAGAGAGACGCTCCGCTCGCTCCCGCCGCCCGGCAGCGACTGAGGGCCGGCCCAGAACCTTCCAGAACGGCCCTCGCCTTACGTAACCTACGCGCGCAGGGCGCACGCGCGGGCATCGCCTCTCCCTCCCCCGCCTCTCCCGGGGTACCCGCCCCGCCCACCGCGCGCGGGACACGCCCCTTCCCACCGCGCGCGTGGCGCATGCGCGGGGTCCTCTCCGCGTCCCGTGACGGTGCGAGGGGTGCGGGGTGAGGGGATGCGGGACACGCGTGGGGATGGAGGGGGTGGACAGTGAGCGGGTGTGCGGTTTGAAGGGGGGGTGCGGGACCGGGAGTGCGCGGTTTGGAAGCGGGGGGTGATGCGCGGGTCGCGGTGCTGGATGGGGGGATGCGCAGTTTGGGGAGCGGGGGGGATGCGCGGGTTGGGGGTGCGCAGATTGCGCGGGGTGAGGGGGTGCGGGATGCGGGACCGGCGGGATGTGGATCGGGGATGCGGGGGTTGCACGGTGTGCGAGATTCGGGGATGCGGCGGTCCGAGGGGCTCGGGTTTTTTGGTGGGTGATGCGCGGCGTGGGTGGTGCTTGAACCTCCCCTGCACGGCTGGCGCTCGACGGTTTCCTCTCGGAAATAAACATCACCCTTTTTTGTTTGTTTTGTTTTGATTTTTTTTTTGTCCTCCAGTTCCTCCAAGTGCTGAAAAATGTCCGGATTTCTGGAGAGCTTGAGGTGCTCGGAGTGCGTGGACTGGGGGGAGAAGCGGAACACCATCGCCTCCGTGGCCGCGGGAGTGCTGGTACTGCTGTGCTTGCCCTGCTGTCGGGCCTCGTAGGTGTAGTCAGCTGTCAGGAGCTAAAGATTATTAGAGCTTGGAAGGCTCCTCTTCCAGGTAACAAAGTGGCAGGATGAGAGGAAAACAGCCTCGAGTTGTGCCGGGGCAGGTTTAGGTTGGATTTCTGCGAAAATTTCTTGGCTGAAAGCGTTGGAACAGGCTGCCCTGGGCCGTGGTGGAGTCACTGTCCCTGGAAGTGTTCAAAAAAATGTGTGGATGTGGCACTTGGGGACAGGGGTTAGTGGTGAATGTGGTTGTGTTAGTGGTTGGGCTCCACCACTGTGGAGGGCTTTTCCAACCTGGACGCTTCTGTGAAAAGGAAGAGCAGGGATACATTGTTCGTGTACGTGGCAGCAAAGTGAAGAACAAAATCTGTTCTGGCTTCCTGCATCCAGGTGTCTCTAAAGCTTCACAGGGTAACTGCTGGATTAGGGAAATCTCTGGCTTTGCATTCAACCTTGTTCCCCAGCCAACAGCAAAACTAGTTATAGCATCACTTTATGTTGGAGATTGTAACAATGATTTTGTATATTCATGTTATTTTCTTTCTAGAGCAATCTTAGATACTGTAAAAAGGTTTGTGTCTGTACTTTAAGCCATATTCCTTCTTTTTTCCCCTAGTTTTTTACAGGCTGGTGGATAATCATAGATGCAGCTGTGAAATACCCCAAAGTGGAAGACTTCAACCACTCCTACCATGCCTGTGGGGTTATAGCCACCATTGCATTCCTGATGTAAGGGCTTGGTCAGAGCTACACTCACTTTGTGCAGTTAATAAAAGGCTTGAAACAGAGGGGATTTATCCTGTTTTCTCCTGTTTTCTTCCCTCAGGATCAACGCGGTGTCCAACGGGCAGGTGCGGGGGGACAGTTACAGCGAGGGCTGCCTGGGGCAGACAGGTACGGATCTGGGAATCCACTGGGAATGCTGTGCCAGGCTGTACTTTGTGTGCCTGCTGTGTCCCAGAGGTGCTCTGAGACAAGAGCCAGGGTGGCCACGCTCGGCCACAGGCACCAAACATCCCTCTTGTCTCATTCCAGGAGCTCGGATCTGGCTGTTCATCGGCTTTATGATGGCTTTTGGATCTCTCATTGCTTCCATGTGGATCCTTTTTGGAGGCTACGTTGTTAAAGGTAAGGCCTGACCCAGTTTTGGAAGTTCAAAGTGTTTTAAATGACTGTTGTTTTTAGACAGTTTGTAGGCAGTCACAGTTTGAATATATTGGTTCCCTACACACCACTATTCCATAGCATTATTAATATTGGGAAGGGTTTTATCTACTTCTAAGTCACAAACATCTAACTACCCTCTAGAAACAGCAGGCCTTACTCAACTGGGAACTGGATAAATATAATTAAACTGCTGCAGCTTTATGGGAATAATTCCCTGGGTGAGCATTTATTCCCAGAACCAAAATTACTGAGTTTGTGAAGACTGCTCCCAGAGCAATATATGCTAAACTAGCAAAAGGTGTCAGGAATGGGATGTGCTTGAAAATCACTCCCCAAAAAATTTACAGGGATTCTTTTTTTCTTTTGTTAGAAAAACCAGTGGTATACCCAGGAATAGCTGTGTTTTTCCAGAATGCATTCATCTTCTTTGGGTAAGCCCATCTTCCTTCCAGTTTGCTCCCTGAAATCACATTTTTTAAAATAAGAGGGGCCTGATTTGTTCCACTCTGTGCCTTTTATTCTGTTTTAAACAGAGGACTGGTCTTCAAGTTTGGTCGCACGGAAGATTTGTGGCAGTGAAGTCCCCTCTGCAAGGGCCCTGGCCAGCCTGGGTTTTAACTGCACACTCCCAACATTTTGTAAAACCAGTTTTGTAAACCATGACCTTCCATTATGTCGAAAGAGAAATCAAGGAAAGCTGAAAGCACTCAAAATTCCAGCTCTGTACTGTTTGGATTTTTTTTTGTTGTTTTTTACTCTTGTACGTCCACTTAAATGTCGTGATTTTTTTTTTTTGACAAAATGTAAAATTGCTACAAGTAATAGTGGAGTCACTTTTCTGATGTGTTTGCTACAAATAAACAAGATAGTGGAATATGGATGTATTTAACCAGCTGTTTCTATGACGTTATTTACAAAGAAAAACTTACTAAAATGCTTTAAAACAACTTTTTAACGTATATTTATTAAATATTTCCTATATCTGGACAATATAACCATTTCTTCAATTTCAAAGCTTACTGGTGTGTGGCTTTTCTTGCATAATATAGAACTATGTTGCTTTGGGATTTTTTTTTTTTTACCCCTCCCTGAATATTTAACTTATCCTGTGGTGATAATAAGGAAATCTCTGGTAAGTCATAACTTCCTGTTGCTGTGGGTGACACTGGAGAGGCACAAATTAAATAGTGGCTCGAGATGGAAGTAGCTCACCCACAAAGCTTGTGCTCAGCTGTTTTCTAACCACTGTGGGAGAAAAGGAAGAGCACTCTTCAGATGGAATTCCCTGGAAAAAAGTACTGCTTGGACAGGGAGAGTTCTGATCCTGTGCCTGCCCCTTCCTGTGCATTCACCCAGGCTGGTTGCTCAGGAAATCAATGAGGAGGAATAAAATATTAGTCATTTACAGACAGAAAACAGCCGTTTGTGTTGCACAGGTTATGTTTGGTTGGTTCCTGGGAGGTTGAGAAAGGGAAGAACACAAGCTGGGCCTGGATCAGATGCTACTCACATGGTGGGTTAACTGTGAGGTAACACTCTGTGTGTCCAGGCTGGTGGAAGCTGTGGGCAGCTCATTAACTCAGCACATCACTGCCTCTTTTGTGACCTAGAAATAAAACTGGCCCTTCCTCTGCAAGTAATTTGTCATGGCTTGGGACCTGTCTCCCTTCTGTAACTGCAGTGATCTGCTTTGCTCAACACCTCACGAATGAATGAGGTCAGTGAGCATCAAAGAGCAGCCTGGTCCTCACTGTCACGTGTTTCCTCATTCATTTTTAACAAGCCTGCTCAATAAACAAAAACAAGCACATTTTCACTTCTTTATTAGGTAAGCATTTTGGAAAGAGGTTTTTTTTCTGTGTCAGCTATTTTGGAAATGAAGGAAAAACACCGAGGATCCACAATCCACCCATAAACAAGGGTTCACTTGCACAGAGAATCCTCTGTGTGATTAGGCCCCAGAGTCCCCTGCTTGTCTTGGAATGAGACTCTTCCAAAATTGGGTCTTGGCACTGGTTTCAGGCAGCTCTGAGGATTATTCCCTCAGTCCCCTCAGGTGGCAGCTGACCCTGTGGTGGTACAGGCTGTCCCTGCACAGACACTGAGGTCTACTCTTATTTTAGATTTGGCAGCAAATGCCAAATTGATTTCAGGGGCACCTGAAATCCACAAGCAGAACAATTAAACTTCTTGCCATCTGAACTTCCAAGTAGCCCGAGCCAAGTAATGACAGATTTGTCTCTAAGCAGTCAGGGAACTCAAGGAGTTCAGTCTGGCAGGATGCAGAGTTTGGCCCAGATCCAGCTCTCTCATCAAATCCTTGCTTAACAAGGCCTTCAAGAGAATCAATTTAGCTTAAAAACACATACTTGAGTACTTTTCTAGATAAGAAGTGCTTCTTGAAAAATTACTCTTTGAAATACATCGTTTTGGCTTTTTTTTAAAACTTGGGAGCTGAAAAGAGTTTAAAGTTTTCAAGCATTTGGATTGACAAGCCATTACAGCCATGACTGCAGTCAACTTTTTTGTACATATCTTATTTAAGGTAAGACCAACAAAGCAGAAAAGCTAAATGCAAGTTTGCATTTTGCATCTGTGAATTTACACTCAGTACCTTGTGAGAATAACTAGTTTAATACTAATTTTTTGTGTCTCCATTGGGATGGCTTTTGTGGGCCTGGGAACTGGTATTTCAGTGCTCTTTCAACCCATCATAACTACTCATTTTCTCTATTGACAAAGAGGAAAACCTTATCTTGGTTCAGCTGGGATCTTCCACTCAAAATTCCACAGCCAAATGGGGAAACTGTGAAGACAAACATTCTTGTATCAGAACATTTTTTGCTTGAAATCATTGTACAAAAAAAAACCCCACTGGAAAACCTGATTAGAAGATTATTTTCATCCATTTCTTTTTTCTGTAATTCAGATACAAGCATCTCAATGAGCACCTAAAAGTGCCCAAGGCCTGTCTGTATTAGTGCATCAAACAAAATCTGCTGTGAAATGGAATATCCCCTTTTTTTTCCATATGTTTAATTCAAATACCTGAAGTTCTTCATCAAGGTGCTAAATCTACTCTCACACAGGTAATTTTACATTTAAACTTACCTCCCAATAAAACTGGTCTTCGAAGTACTTGGATACAGGGATGATCTTAAGCAGTCTGGTGTTTAAGATAAAACCTATTTGAAAAAAACAGATATATCCAATATAAACATCAGGGAAAGGGGAAGATTGTGTGTAAATGGAGGTATCCAAATGCAACACAGATCAAAATATAAGTTCAGAACTAAATGTTTCAGCAGAGCCCTTTACTCTGACCTTTAATACAAACAGAGAAGCTTGCCAGGATCAAGGCCTGTGATATTTAAAAATTAATTACTTGGGTTTTACCTAAAGTAAACAGCCTGCTAGATTCTAAAAATACATCCAAAATATTAACTTCTTGCATGAAAAAGGCCTCTGTGTTCAAAACAATTCTGGCTTGTCAGCATTGTTGCTTGGGGTTTCAGATGGATACATCTCGATTTTTAAACAGTTGGTTAAGCACTGAATGTTTGGTTCTTTTAGCCGAATCATTTTAGAGTGCATTTCACAGCAGTTTTCATCAGCCATTTCTGGTTTAGCCAGGACAGAATTAACAGCTCTAGAAAAGCAGCAGCTGCCACAAAACAGAACATCACGTGGGAGCCACGTGAGCCCTGCTGGTCCCAAACCCCTCCTGATCAAAGGCCTGGTGCTGGAATGATGCAGCCACTGACGTTAGTGCATCTCTGCACATGCACACCAACCAGCACAAGAAGTGACAGGCCCTTAAATAGCCTTTTCTGTCACTAAGACAATACCCAAATGTGAAAATATTTTCATCTTCCCGCATCTCTCCCGTGTGAGGTGTGAGGGCAGCTGTTGAGCCTGGGTTAAAATAAACCTGAGCACTGAAAGAATGGTGCTGCTTGGGTTATTGATGTGCAATGCATCTCTTCTTCAAAAGGCTGGCTGTGAAGAGTCCCTGCCATTCATGTTTCTACGGCAGAATTTATTTCTTAAAAATAATTTACCCAGAGAAACTTGCCCTGAGGAAACATGGAAGAAGTTGCTGGAGCCCGTGTTTCAATACTGACCTGTGATAAAACCTGTTATCAAGGCAAGGCTGATGGTCTGGCAGAAGGCACCAACGTGAAGGAGGACCAAATAACCCAGACTGAAAAGCAAAGCAAGTGTTTCACGTTTTACAGTTGCTGAATTCAGCATCAGGACTGTGAATGAGCCTGTATCTAAATAATATTTTATATCAAAACCTCTCATCAAAACTCTGTAAAGTCTCAAATGTCTCTGCAGCTGCAGTTGGATGTTTTAGGAGATCCTACCAGAAAACTAATACAGACTTCAGGGGACACATTTTGTCCTTAGAAGCCATCATTGTGGTACTAAAACTTCATTACATTTGTTTCAGTAAGAACGTGAGGCCCCCATGCTGCACCCTGATTTCTGCCTCCCCTCTATTTGCACACAAAGCTCCTCAAAACACCTCAAAAGAGTCCTGGAAGGAGGCACATTCCCAGCTTTCATCTCCCATTTCTGCTGTATTTAATATCAAATAAAAAGGCAGACAGAAAAGAGGACCCAAAACTGATACAAAAGTTTTGATCCAAAGTCTGCTCAACTCTCAAAGCTTTTTTATACTGACCTTTTGAACTTATCTTGGGTTATCTGGTATAAAACCATTTATCTGTGATGCCACTCAGGCTCTCTGTGTGTATGAGAACTCTTCTCAGGGCACACTGCAATAATGATCATTTAAGCTTATTATTATTATTTAACAGCAAGAATTTACATACCTTGATGAATTAGTCCATTCTCTTATGACTAAGAGAACAACCTGGGCAAGAGCTCCAAGCACAGCAGGCAGGCCAAAGGTGAAATGAACTCCAGAGGTATCATGAATTTTGAGAGGAGGATTCAAGCATCTCTGGGGAAAAGGAAAGATTTAATTGATGCACAGGAACACAAGTTGGTAATTGCACGTTGTCTGTTGCAGACCTAGAGAATCTGCAAGTTGCAACCCTGCACTCTGCTCAAAACACCTCGGGCTTCTTAGTTTTAATCTCTTTGAAAAGGAGGTTTCCCTTGAGGTATCCTACATTGGAAAAGAAGTTTATACAGCACTTACCCAAAAACAAGTTCAGGTTTTGAGTAGTACCTGTAAACAGTGAGATCCTAATACGGTGATGGCACTGCCAAGCAGCCCCAAAATCATGGCAATCCAAGGATGGCTGATCATCTGTGCTGTAAAACTGATGGTGACCCCCCCAGCCAGCGCTGCACTGTGGATATGAGTCTGCAAAATAAAACCAGAACATGGATGGAGTTAAGGGATTTTTTATTTAGTCATAAAACAAGAGGGAATGGCTTTGAACTGGAAGAGGGAAGGTTTAGATTAAATATTAGGAAGAAATCCTTCCCTGTGAGGGTGGGCAGGCCCTGGCACAGGTTGCCCAGAGAAGCTGTGACTGCCCCATCCCTGGAAGTGTCCAAGGCCAGGTTGGAGGGGGCTTGGAGCCACCTGGGCTGGTGGAAGGTGTCCCTGCCCGTGGCAGGGGTGGAACAAGATGGGCTTTAAAATTCCTTCCAACCCAAAGCACTCTGTTACTCTCTGATGACTGTCAGGCTGAAAGCCTGGACTTGTTTTTAGTTAACAGCTGTTCTACTATCAGTGTATTCCTGAGATGAAACAGAAAAATCTTCTCCATGCAGAGGTTTTCTCTCGTGCCTTACCATTCTGAATTTCCCATCCTTTGAGGTCAGAGCAGACAACATGAAGGCAGTTACAGCACTCACTGCAAGGGCAAAGTAGGTGTTGAGGACTGCCTGGCTCCTGGACTGAGCGAGCAGGGAGTTGAAGCTTGGCCAGAACACCCAGAGGAAGACAGAGCCTTGGGGACAAAGACAAGAAACTCTCATTACCTGCTCTAAACCACAGTGAATCCATCACACGTGGAGGGCCCACAGTTTGCACTCACTGTAATTCCCAAACTGCAAAGGAAGGAAAGCAGGAAGCCCTGAGAGGCACCTGCTCCTCAGCTGGAAGTTCTGCTCCTTTTCGTGGAACTGTAGAGTTCCTGCTCAAAACCAGCTGTGAGAGAGTGAAAGTCAGGGAGGAAGGGAAACAGATCCCATGGTACAAACCACTGCAAAAACACCCCCAAGTTGCACTTTGGTGTGACTTTTGCCTTGGCTGCCAGTACAGCTGGTACTGGCTGTCTTGTCTCCTGGCAGGGTTTGAAGAGAAATGAGGATGAACTGAATAATAAGAACAGAATCCTCTCCACCTCTTTGATGATTCTTCCCAAGGAATTTGCCTGCTCAGTTGCTCCTTTCTACCCAAGTTACCTCGGGAATCATTCAAGAAACAACAGCATAATTACTCCAAATAGCAAGCACTTGGTTGTAGCAAGCTGCACTAAAATTATAATGAAGGTTTAACAATGTCTTGATGAATTAGATGAAAACACTGATCCTGAATTCTCCAGCAAACAGGAACTCCAGGAACACAAAAGAGCAGCATTTATTATTTTGCCTCAACTGGGCAAAGACTGACTAAGAATTAGACTCTGTGGACCCCTGCAGGAAGATCTTAGTTCAGCTGGTGGCAGTTACACAACAGAAGTCAAGGTAATAAAGAAACCAAAAAGCTGGGACTCCCATACCCTCAGCCTGTCCTCACTCAGATCCTTTCTCGTGGGCCTGCCTGTATCACACTCCCCACCCTTCCCCAGGCCTTTATCTTTTCATTTACTTTACTAGGCAGGGACTGCCTTTTTATATCTCTGCACACCACCTTGGAAAACACAACTGAGCCCCAGCCAGGAACCGTGAGCTCCGCTGAAATACAAGCTCTGACCTCAGCTTTGGCACACAGGCTCCTCCACACAGCCCAGAGGGGACAACTGGGCTGTGACAGGGAATGGTTCACCTGGAGGAGGAACAGTTACCCTGGCACAGCCTTTATGCTGAGGCTGACAAAAGCAAACTGAGCCCCAGCCGTTGCAGGAGTGGCCTGGTAGGGAAAGTGCTGAGACCCAAACCAACCCATTGTCAGAAACCACCAGCCACAGCAGCAGTTTTCTCTGCCTGGCTGATTCACACCTGCATTTGGGATTCAAAACCTTCAGCCTGCTGTGCCCAGCCCTCCCCCAGAAACCTCCCTTATGTCCTCACTGCAACCTCTTCTTCCAACCCAAAGACTTACCCAGCATCGAGAACAAGTCTGACTTTGGGGTGCTCCTGTTCTTGTCCAGCTTTGGGGAGGGCTCAGGGAAACAGGAGGTGGCTGCCAGCCCAAAGTAGGCTCCAAAAAGGTACACGTGCATCAGGCTGAGGTGATCTCCCACCTGTATCAACAGAACATTCAAATTTGTGGTCTATTTGAGGCCAAACAAAGCCTTTGATTGCAGTTCCTGATACAGCTGTTCACGTAACCTCCCTATAAGCAACTTATTTTCAAGGCCAAATGCACTGCACCCCAATCCATGAGATCACCTCACCCTTCAAGGCCAAAAAATACAGACATAGAGATACAGAGTGTGCAGGGTTTGGAGTGTGATGTCCTTAAGGGTGATCCCAAAGTCAGACTTCATCTCTTAATGAAAACACAGCCATGACCTGAGATAAAACACCCTGATATTCCTGTCAGCAGAGCAACAAGAAAAGGCAACAGTTCCAAAATTCCAAATGAATTTTTTCCCATGTATTTGGAAACCACACTACAGTACCTCCAGGTATCTCCTGTTGATCCATCTGCTCACACAGAAGACTATTAATTCCACAAGAGTCATCACAATTAACTGCAGGAGGTTAGTCTTCCCAAGAACAGCTCCAGTGGAGATGGCCACAGCTGTCATGCTGATAAGAGCCTTTGCTATGCTGCGAGACAAGAAAGAAAAGGGAAAAATAACTCTGTATCAGGATGGCAGCAGGGCCAATAAAGAATGACACACAGCAAAATGTATTAAAAACCCAAAGCCTTCTAAAATGCCTGCAAATATGACTATGTTATTCCCAAATAGGCATTAACCTCCATAAAGAGCAATCAGCAGTTCTGGATTATTCCCATTCTAACATGCACTAATTACCTTTTCAGAATACCTTCGTTTGCCTCTAGATAAAAGAAAACTAATAAATCTTCTACCAACACAGAGCATTGGACACCAAGCACAATGATCAGGAGGTTGAATCCAGTGCTGCTAAACCCATATCTTCTCAGAACCATCAGGAAAAAGCCAAATCCAAAAATCACCATGTGGTTGACATCTTGAAATTCTGCATGACAGAAAAGATGGAGACAGCGGTGAAATTATTAATGCAGGCTGGATTTCTGGTTTAAAAAAAAAAATCAATTAAAAATCACAATTAACCAAGAAGCCTTCAGGTAAAAATTCCAAGTGCCATTTAGTACTTGCAAAGAATTCCAGAGCTTTCTTCCCAATCCATAAGTAATCAAAAAACCAATACCCTTGATCCTGAATTTTGTTTTACAGTGATCTGAATGGATGCCATAGGATGGGGGCTGAGGAGTAAAAAAAAACCCAACAGAAATGAAGGACATTTAACAAGGAAATTCGGACATTCCTTTTTCCTGAGGTGAATTTAAAGAGCTTAAGTTGCAATTTTTCAGGGAGAGTGGCTGTGAATGAGTGCTGATCCATTCCTTGAGGGCACTAGGGGAGAAAAGAGTTACAAAGAGAAACCTGTACAATGCCCTCGTAGAAAGAACAGAAATTGCAGGAACAGTTTAATCTGGAAACCAGCACTATTGCATTGAAGGGAAAGGCTGTCCCAGATGGAAGCTCTTGGATCGGTAAGCCTGGAATCGTCCCTGCTAACAGTCATATTCTCACATGGTTGGGCTGGCTGGTTCCTCCAGCAAAACACCAAACTGCTGGTGAAGTGGGTCCCAATTTTCCAGCTCCAAACCAGGGAGGGCCCCACAGGAACATCCCGAGGGATCAGCTCGTATTTGCACACCACCATAACCCCATCACGCACCTCGGCACAATCCAACAGCACATCCCTTCGACCGAGGCACAAAAAACCCACACCTCCAGATTATGCTTAAAGCCTTCATTCCACTGTATTAATTGCATTTATTGACATCAAGCACTCAAATGGGAAGTGGTGCCACCCTGAACCCCCTGCTCTGTAACGCTACGACGCCTTCGCCACGGAGCGGAGTCACCTCCACGGGGTCAAGATTGCCCCGAGCAGGCAGCAGAAAACAGACCAAAATATATGCAATTTAGCATCACCTGCGTCTTGGTTTACAGCCACTGCTTTGATATAAATAAATTCCCAGCGTACCAGGCGAGGTGGGGTGTTCAAAGGGCGGTAAAAACGCTCTGCTCCTCACTGAGTCCCAGCTGTGCTGCACGGCACAGCAGGAGCAGGGATTATCCTTCCTTTTCCAAGTCTTACCTGGGTAGGAGCTGAGCAGCGAGTCCAGACCATCAAGCCTTAAGAAGAGGAAGTAAGAGCGGACGAGGAAAAGAGCTTCCAGCAGCAGGATCACCCAGGGAACGCTGTTTCGGAAGTTGAGGTACTTGGAAGACATCGTGCACTCGGCTACATCGGCCACAAACACTTTGATATTCGCTTTTTCCCTATAAAAATGTTCCAGTAACCTCAAACAGATAGCGAAGGAGGTTTTTGGGGGGCAGGAATAAAAACTCAAAGGGAGATAAAAAGCCCAGGAGGCGTCGGCAAGGGGCAGTTCCTTATCTGTGGCACGTCAGGCACCCCAATTTGCCACAACCGACATGAACTGAACTCAAGAAGTGCTTGTGAACGGGGACATATCCAGCTGCCAGTGCTGCCAGGCTCCAGGACACCTTCCATGCTCCAGGACACCTTCCATCCAGGGCTCCAGCTGCTGGTGGGCCTTGCAGCTCAGCTAAAAGGCAAGAAAGGACTCCCAAGAGCAGGATGTTGTAATTTATGCAAAACCATTCTTTATTTATGTTGCTGGTGTCCACCCTGGACCCAATTCCCTTCGTGGAAAGGTGGGGAAGGTCCTGCTGAGATGCTCAGTGTGAGCTCTGCAGCCACATCCCAAGACAGGGCTGCTCATACCTGAGGAATCCAACTCCTTGCCAGAGAATCAGGAATCTCTGCAGAAGAACTGAACTCTCTTTGTTCAGGCTGTTCAGACCAAAGGATTTTAACCACATCTCAGACTTTCTGCTTTGGGGCCATTACAACCCGAGTGCTGAGCTGAGACACCAACAGCACCCAGAAATGGGTATAAATGTGCCCAGAAAGGGGTACAAATGTGCCCAGAAATGGGTACAAATGTGCCCAGAAATGGGTACAAATGTGCCCAGAAATGGGTACAAATGTGCCCAGAAATGGGTACAAAGCCACCTGCTGGTGACAGAAACAACTACCAGACAAAAACACAAGCAGGAAAATCCCAGTACACCTAAACTTTAGGACGTTCCAACCTGCCAAAGAACGACTGCCGTTCCACCCAGGAGAGAAAGCCTCTTGGAGCAATCTGGGCTGGTGGGAGGTGTCCCTGCCCAGGGCAGGGGATGGGCTTTAAGGTCCCTTCCAACCCAAACCATCCCGGGGACTCTGCGTTTGTAAATTAGAGCTCCAGCACCAGGACAACACCCCCATGACTCAGCCAAGGGCCGGGCAGCCTCCTGGGCCAGTTTTAACGCTGTCCTGAGCCCCGCAATGCTCAGACCCGGCCCAGCGGCCCATCAGCCGCAGGGAGGCCCGGCAGGCCCACGGCCCAGCGCAGCCCCGGGGCACCGCCACCAGCAGGGCCGGGAGGGGCCCAGCCGGCGCTCCAGCCTCCCTCAGGCGCGGGGCCGCCTCACAGCCCGCAAAGACCGAAGGGGTCGCGGGGAGAGGCCTCTGCATGGGCTGTAAGGCGGACGCGGAGAAGCCCCCACCGGGTTTCGAACCCGCGGCCCCGGGGGCGGCGCCGCTGCCCGGCCGTGACTCGGCAGCAGCGGGACCCGCCCGGCCCCGCCCCTCGCCGAGCGCCCGCCCCCTCCCCAGAGGCCGCCCTTAGGAACTGTCCTCTCATTGGCCGAGCGCCGGCTCCTCCCGGCCTTTGATTGGCCTATCCCCGTCCTCGGGCCTCGCGTTCTGCGCTGCGATTGGTGCGCTCGCCTGTCACTCAGCTGCCTGCGCTGCTTAGTGGCTGGAGCGGCCCGTCCGTCACCCCGCGGGGTTATTTCGCCCCCGGCGGGCCGTTGGCACAGGCCGCGCTGCGCGGGTGGCACAAACTGCCGCCGCTCGCCTTTGCACCTGCGACTTGGCGTTCCTTTCCCCAGCAGCCCATTTGCCGGGGAGTTGTCAATCAAGCGTGAGGGGCGGTGCCTCGGGGCTACGGTGACAGAGGAAATTGGGCCCTCCTTCTTCCGTTTCCGAGTGGATGGCTGAGCTGTCCTTTTATTTTTGTGCTCCTCTTCCATTGGGCAGCTTCGCTGTCGGTCAGCACGCGGGGCGGGAGCCAGCCCGGTAGGACAGTGAGCGGGCGGAGACCAAAACGCGCACAACGATTGGCTTTCAAAGCTGTCAATCACAAACCGTTCTCTTTGATTGGCTCACGCGGCTGTCAATCAGGGGGTGGGCGCTCCTCGCGATTGCACAAGGCGGAACTAACTTTCCGGCGTCGCGATTGGCTTACTGAGCCGTCTGTCTGCGTTTTTCTGCTGCTCATTGGTTAGAAACGTTGTCACTCAGGCGGGATCAGCTCTTTGATTGGCCAGCGCCGGCGGAGGCGGGGCGCTGCGCGGCGGCTGCGCAAGGGAAGGGGGGGGAGACGCGGCGGGGAGGGGACGGACCAGGAATTATTTTTATTTCTTTGTTTCCCGGGGAGAAAAAAAAAAAAACCCGGCGCGGAAAAAAAAAAAGAAAAAGGAGGGGGGGCGAGGAAGACGAAATAAAATAATAAAAATTACAGACCCGGGAAAAGAGGAAAAAAAAATAAATTAATTTAACCAAAAAAATAAACAGAAGGAGAAGCCGCGTCGCGAACCCCCGGCGGGGGCGGATGGTGCTGCCGTGAAGCGGGGCGGGCCGGGCCGCGCCGGGGCCGGCGGGATGAAGCGGCGGAGCGCGGACTGCAGCAAACTGCGGCGGCCGCTGAAGCGGAACCGCATCACCGAGGGCATCTACGGCAGGTACCGAGCGGGGACGGCGGGCCCGGCACCCCCCGGCACACACAGACAACCCCCGCACACACAGACACCCCCACGGGCCCCTCAGGGCGGGGGAGCTGCTGGCCAAGGTGCTGCCGGGGGGGAGGGAGCCGCCCTTGGGGGTCTTTGTGGTGTGTTTGTGTCTCTGTGTGTTTGTCCCCCCACCCCTCACCTTCCCCTTTCCCCCCCCCAAGGGGTGGTTTTCGGAGGGGTCTCGCAGCTGGAGGGTCCCGCAGGTGCCGCTCCCTGCGGCTTCACCTGCACGGCCCGCGGTGTTGTAGTATGGGGGGGTTCCTGGTTGTGCCAGAGCTCCGAGCCCTTCGCTGCGGCTTCACATGGTGGGGAGGAGGGGAGGGAAGGTTTTCCTGGCAGGATTTCACCAGCTGGGCATCTCTCAGAGGTGCCCAAAGCTCAGAGCCACCATCTCCCCCCAGGGAGGTTTCCCCCGGCGGGGTCTCGTGTTTGAGGCTTCCTAGGGGTGCCAGAGCTCTCCCGCAGCTTCCCCGTGGCGAGGTTTTCCCAGCGGGGTCTCACAGCTGGGTGTTCCCACAGGTGCCACTCGCTGCAGAGTCGCCTCTATCTCCCCCCTGGGAGGTTTCCCGGCGGGGTCTCGTGTCTGGGCATTCCCAGAGGTGCCAAAGCTCAGAGCCCGCGTTGCAGTGGGTTCAGCAGCTGGCGGAGCTGGAGAACATCTGGGCTGGGGGCTCAGCTTCTCGTGTGAAGGTTAAGAAAGTTGCTTTTCACGTGGTGATGGAGGTGCCCGTGGGGCAGGGTCTGCAGTGGGAGCACATGAGAGCCGGGGGTTGTAGCAGGGAGGGACGTGAGCAGGAATTTGGGTGGGAGATGCCTGGAGCAGGGCTGGGTGGTCGGGTGGTGGTGGTGGGACCACAGCAGGTACCCGGCTCACCTCTGACCTGTGGGATGAGAAGAGGAGCAGTAGTGAAGTGAGACCCACGTGGGATGTGTCTGGGAATGCTTTCCAGGTGTTTGCATGCAGAGTACACCAAAGCACTGATTCCTGCAGTTCCAGCACGGTTGTGAGTCTGTTTTGAAAGGTTTTTTACAACTCTGCCCTCCCGAGTATGCGAAATTTTATATGAAATACAACAATTATGTGTTTGTCAATAAAGAGGAGTTTGGGTCAGAAGAGGCTTTGAAGCTGCCTTGTGGAAGTTGTAGTAAGTGTGGTGGCCCATTTCTGTTTCTAGTTCAGTGAGGTTGATGTATGCAGAGCCTGGAAACTTGAGTGAGCTCATACAATTCAGATGTTAACTTTGCATAAAGGAAACAGCTGATAGGGAGCTCTGACTGGAATAAAATTGTCACAGTGTGCTGCTTCTCCTGCTTGCAGTGAATCTCTACGTGAGAGCAGAGGGGGGGCCTCATTTTTAGACTTGCAGGGTTTGAGAAAATGCTGCTTGTGAAGAGGAGCATCCCTTGTGTAGAAATTCATATTCAGGATGACTGGTCTAGGGAGAATAATTCAGATATGCAAGAATTGCTTATAATTGCTTGGTTTTCAGGAGTCATTCACAGTGATGAGCCTTTGGGGTGACTGGCAGGGAAGGTGGGGTGAGGGAAGGAGAGCAAACCAGAAGAAGCTGAGAAGAACAGCAGGTGATGAGTGTGTGCAGCAGGTAGAGCTGCTGGAGGTGTGTGAACAGCTCTGGCTTCTGGCACGAACTTCTCCTGGACTGTTGCAGTTCAGAAATGGGATCTTTCAGTCCTTGTTTCACGTGGCATTTTGATAAACAGAAATAACCGGTGTCTTCAAAGTATTATCACACAGAAAGAAAAGAGGAATAGTGTGAAGGCTTTTTCTCTGCCAGTCTAACCAGAGGGAGATACTTCCCCATGGATTGTGGCTCTTTCTCTTATTTCCTTTTGCTTTCCTTCTCTTTTTCATCCTTTCTTTTTTTCTCTTTGCCCCCCCCATAATTCGAAGAGATTACATACAGGTAACTTCTCATGGAACCACAGATGCCTAAATTCATGTAATTACTGTAGCTATTTACTCAGCCTATCTTAATTGTCACCATCAGCTTACAGGAGCCCAGTAAATACAGTTATCAGGAGGTCCCATCGTGGTGTTCTAAGCAAAGCATGAGGCTGAGCAAACAGCAGGATTGGGATCCTTAAACTCCTGTAGGATTTTTGTTTGCTTTTTAAATGAAGACTAATCTTGCCATCCTTGCTCCCTGGGCAGTCTTTGAAAGCAGCTGTCACTTAATAGACACGAGGGAGCGGAGCTGAGAGCTGGGAAAGTGGAAGAGTTTTGGAGCAGGCGAAGCAAAGGAGGAGCTGTCCTGCAGTGGAGCTCTGGTGCACCTGTAAATCTGCAGCAGGTTATAAGAAGTGATAGAAAAAATAATTTCTAGAACAGAGTTAGAAATACAGAATCCTGGCCTGCTTTGAAAATGTGAATAACCTGCCTCCCTGGCTGTTAATTTTTGCCACTTTGTGCAGTGTTGTTTTTAACAAGTTGGTCTGAGGGTTCCCAGCCTACAGTGGGGTTCTTTAAAATACTTTCCCCAACATTCACTACCTAAATTAAGTGGATTGTCTGGCCTCAGCCCTTCATAAATGCTTTCAAAGTTACTCCTGCTCAATCTTCCCCCCTTTCCCACCCAATATTTAACAGCTGCCCTCCATATTCTTCTTTAGACCTCTTCTTCCATTCACCTGTTTTGTCTTCCTTCTCCTTTCTTCCTGTTTTACCCCTTTTTTCTTTTCAGTTTGGTTTTACTCCCTGTTTACATCTCTAAGGTACTTAGGCCTGGGTGACAAACCTGATGAATCCCACTCTAATATTATGTGCAGCTACTTCTGCTGTTTAGAAGTATTGCAGTATCAGTGGAAATTAATTTAATCAAAATTAACTGTGCTTTCAATAGATCTCCAAGCTCAACACACTAACGGTAGGAATCTCGAGATCTTTTATTGCTTCCACAGTGTGTGTTCCAAACTTTGCCTGTTCATTTGTAAGACAATGGCAATGGATAGATGAAAAACACCGAAGCGATTAACATCTTACACCTTTGGCAGTGTGCACACATTAAAACCTTAATTGTTAATTAAAGTGTTCGCTGCAGCTCGTCATCAGTTAGGCAATTAAAGTTTACTTGTTACTGCTTGTTCCCAACTCTTCCCAGTCCTCATCCTTCGTCTATTTAAAATCCTTCAGCTTTATTGCTGATGCTGCTTGTTTTGGCTCTACTGAGTCACATTGGCACTTGGTACCAGTTTTGTAGCTGGTGAAGTTTCAAGATGAATTCCACATGTGATTTGCTTTAACTTGTGCTGTCACATCAGCTGATGGATGCTGCCTCATGGATTCCCTGACAATGGCCCTTAAACACTGCATGTTCCTTTAGAATCAGGATTTTTTTTTGGATGTAAATTGCTCTTTATCACCAGGCAGTACCTGGGCTGGCAGCCAAGAGGGTACCAGGGAGGAGGGGTTTGTGTGTGTGTTTAATCTACAAGTGCTCCTGAGATACCCACCAGTGGCACAAGGGCAGAATTTCTGAGTCCCACAACCCCTAAAATCCTCCTGGTTCCCCTCTGCCACCAAAATCCTGACAGAGCTGATTTCCAGGGACTCGATTTTTTTTTTGACTCTGCTGACAGCCAAATAAACTGTAGCAGTTCATTACTACGTCCAGGAATGTGGCTTTTTTTTAGGCTTTTCTTAAAAATCCATAATGATTCTTCCTGCTGATTTATTCTGGCACTTTTTTCTTTTTTTTTTTTTTTTTATAAGCTTCCTATACAGGATAAAACATTTTCTTCTGCAGCTGCCCTGGAGGTCTGTGTGTAACAAAGCAGCAGAGCTGCCTTTTATGACTTGAACTTAAAATCCAGGTCTCAAGTCTAATTTAGCCTACATTTAAATGTGTTCTACTGTGTCAACCCCCGTGGTACATGTGGCTCCTTCAGCTTTATTTTGTGTTCTGGACACTGGTGCTTCCAGGCTGACAGTGCCCCTTCTTTCAGCACCACAATGCTGATTGCTGATTATATATCCCTGTGCTTCAGCTTCCAGAACTGCTGTAAGAATTTTCTGGTTTGTCTTCCTTTCCTTACATCTCCATAGTTCAGTAATGGGTATATTCCATGCCAAGACACTGGGTAAGTAGTCAGGGAGGTTTCCTGGGATTCTTTACATTTCTCCTCCTTTCCAAATATTCAGTTGGCAAGGATTTCCCAGGATAGTTTCCAGTGCACATACCACATCCCAGCAGTCCTGTTTTCTCCCTTGCTGTGCTCATTCTGTCCTGCTTCTTTTGTCCACCAGTAATAATCTTGTGTAGATGTATTTGTGTGTTTGCAAATATAAAGCTTTTTTTTATTTGCACGTCTCCAGCGTTCTCAGTGCTGTGGCTGGTGTTGGATGGGTAACCTGCAGGTGGGGGTTGTTGCCTGTTTGGTAATTCCACACAAATGCTACATTTCTAAAGACTACCTGTGTGTTTTGGCACCCACTCCATTGTCTTGGATGAGTCAGGCTGCAAAATGAAACATGCCAGCAGTTCTGCCAGCATTCCCTTTCCAGCCCTTGGGCCTTGCTGATAATAGTGGGATAGAATTAATTTGCCACCAGTTTGGGTTTGGGGTGCACGACTGGTGCCTTTTCTAGTGATTTTTTGCAGTATTTTTACCTTGCAGCGAGCACAGTGATCTGTTTCGGGGGCAGTAAAAAGAGAACAAAGAACAAGAGAGGGGGGGGAAAAAAGGAGGAAAAAAAAAAAGAAGGGAAATGGCATCTGGCACTTGAAGGGGGAGGAAGAAGAAGGAGGAAAATTATTTGTTTGAAAATGCAAAAGGGGGAGCACAACCACTGTTGGGTTATGAATAAATCTTTATATTCAGTGTACATTAGCAATCAATTGACCTTTCAGAGAATTTGCAGCACTGTAATCACTCTGCTCCTCCCCGTTCTGTGCCCTGCTCCTCTCATGGATGTGTCCATCCTTCCCTCTTTTATTACCCTGCAGGATTAGATGCCATATGCTGGTTTACAGGGAGAGCCCTGTCCTTAAACCTCTGCCAGGTCACTGAGGCCAGATTTTTTTGACATGTGTCAGAAAATTGGATAACCCAGATTTTAGGTGTTTATCTGCAAGAATCTTTGCCTGTATTAAGAACCAAGTCAGAATTATAATTGGCATCATAGAATATATTTGAGCCTCTCTAATAAAAAAGGTTCCAGAGGTTAGGAAGCATTTCAGCCTGGGGAGTGTCATCTGGGAGTGGGGGCAGACAGGGCAGTGATCGCAACTGGAGAAATGTGTGATGTGCCCAGAGAGATCGATGACTGTCAGAGGTTCCCAGGCACCAAATGGCTGGTGCTGGATTCCAAAGGAGATGGATATCAACGGGAATGCCCGTGTCTGGAAAGAGTCAAGGCACTCAAGAACAAAATGCAGTATGAGTGGCTGGTACAAAGCAGAGGAAGGGAGGAGGCTGTTGCTAAATTTTGTGAGCTGTTTCATTCATGTGATGCTGTTTGAATGGTGCTGTGTGAGGCAGAACAGCAGCAGAGGATCAGCCTGTCAAACCAGGGCCCTGTGCCTGCTTCTCTTGGGGTTTAATTCCTGCTGGATGTGTTTCAGCTCTCACTGATTTAAGCCTTCACTGGCGAGGTGTCAGTTCACTTGTAAATGAAGAGCTGGGCCTCGTTGCTTGCCAGCACGGCCAACCTCGGCGTGCAGCACCCCTTTAGGGATGCAGGGATGCCGAGATTTGTGAGCTTTCCTCCTCTCCCAGGGCTCATTCCCTCTGCAGACTGCAGAGTGCAGCAGAGGCACCGAGCTGGATGTCACCTGGCTGCCGGTGGCACCGGGAGGGGGGGAGCTCTGCAGTTTGGAACTCCAACCCCTTTGGAGGGTCCTGATGCCCTCAGGATGCCACCAATGTCAGATTTTGAAGCTGGGCTGGAGTGTCGAGTTGTGACCCTGCGGTGCTGTGGCTTTAACTGGAGTGGGCTGATGTAAAAAAAACCCAACAATTCGTGGAGTGTAGTACCTGTAAATTGATTTCTGTGAATGTCTGCGTGTGGACTCAGAGAGTTCAATGTATGTGTAGAATATATTACACAGCAGTGAATTTGTTGCCGAGGCCAGCGTAAGTGGACGAACTGTTTTATAAAAAAAGGAGTAACTTTCCTGTGTCTTTGTGCTCATGGAATTCTGAATTGCTCTGGAGTCCTTCAGATGACTGAGAAGTAACCTCTTTAATGTTGTTGGCAAAACCTTGTTGCAAACGTTGGGTTGTTACAGTTCCACTTTAAAAAGGTGGTAAATGTCACCGTGGCCCCTGGATGGATATGAATTTAATATTAGAAATCACTTTAATGGCTGTGTTACAGAACTCTTATTCAGCAAGTGCTTTGACTTAGAGTGGCACTTAACAGTGGAGAAGCGTTAGTTCTGACAGCCCTAATTTGCTTGGAAACGTGTAGTCTCCTCATGGATTTCAGTGGCAGGAAAATAAACAATGGCCATCAGTTTAACCCAGGAAAAAGGTGCCTGCAGAACACAACTGCTTTTGCAGCAGAACAGACAGAATGAGGATTGCCTGGCTGTGATGCTTTTAGGTATTTCCACAGATCTTCAGAGCTGCACATGCACAATCCCCCAGCGTGGTCGGTGTGAGCACAGTGGTGCCTCTGTACCCAAATGCTTTAATTTAATGCTAAAATTTAATTAATAAATCACCTGTAATGTCAAAGTGTGCTCTGGATGCAGCTGCTTTTTATAGATTTCTGTTGAAGATCTGAACTTCAGATAAACAGAGAACAGCAGCATATCAGGCTTTATCTGCCAGGGCTTGACCATTTAAGGTTTCTTTGGTGGGTTTTGGTTGGTTGGGTTTTGTTGTGGGTCCCTTTGCTGGGTTTGAAGGGTTTTTTTAGCACTTCTGCTGTAGTTCTGTTCTTCTCAAAGAGTAAGTTTTAACTAAGTGGCTGGGAATGGTTCCAAAAAAACTGAAAAAAAAAAGCAGCACCTTAACTTTTCCAAATGTGTGTCCGTGTCATTAATTTTGTTTCCATTAAATTAAAGTGCTTCCTGTAGCCTCTTGCTTTGTTTTCTCAGTGCCATTACGTTGATAAGGGTCGCTTTCAGGCACATGCAATTAATCTTTGATTCCCAAGAAATCAAAGTGTTCTCCCAGTCATGGGATCTGCAAACCTGACCTTGTGTGACAAAGTAACGTGAGCGATAACTGCACAAGGAGTTCAGTTGTTCCTAAAGCTCTGCTGCTCACCAACACTTTCCATGGAAGTTTTCTATTTTCTATCTTATCCCGAGCTCTGAACAACTTCCTAAAAAAGCCCCGTGTCCATGAACAGCCCAGAAACTTGACCCTACCTGGCACTGGGAGTGCAAACCCTTGGCAGCTCATCAGTGAACATTCCAGGGCAAAGTTCTCCTGGTTTGGTTGGCAGAAGAAGTTGCTAAAAGGAAAAACTACAAAATAAAAATACCTTTTTTGTTTTGTTTTGTTTTGTTTTTGTTATAACCCAGTTGAATGCAATGAGGGATTGAGTGATGTGCTGGGTCTCTGGGTTTTGGGGGAAAAGGGGTTTTTGCTTCCTCTTTTTAGGAGAACGGATTGGGCTGATCCCTCAAGTGTTAGTGGGGTATGAGCTCAAAACATTCCAAATGCAGGACTAAGAATATGGAAATGTGGCTTTGAAATAATAATAATTAAAAACATAGAAGTTAGACTGTCTCAAGTCTCTTAATTGTTCTTTTGTTATTTGTTTGTTTTAATGGATCTATTGACATTAATACAGGTGTTTTCAAACGTAACACTGACAACTCAGCATCAAAACAGGCTTCCTAATTGCTATAGTTATAGCCTTAAAATACATCTCAATTTATTGGTGTTAAATGTGGAAAAGGAGTGAACATCTGCAGTCTGGTGAGGAGAGGGAACACAGAAGTTTCTGAGCTCCCAAGTGCAAGAAGGGAAACGTTTCAGCTGATCCCATGCTTGTTGGCAAGACCTCACTGTGTAAAAAATGCTCTATAAAGCTAAAGGGAGATTGGTGCTGGATGTCTTGTAAGAGCAGTGAGCCTTCTGTTTATTTGCTGCTTGAAGAATAATTGCAGTTAAATATTCGACTTCATTAGACCAGACCTGATTTTAATAATTTAATATTAAATAAAAATAAGATACTAAATTAAAATATTTTTATATTTAATAATAAACCCACTTATTTTACAAAATTATTTTGGATGAAATTTCTCTTTATGTATTACAGGTTTTATTCCTGAATGTGTAATTTTAAAAAAAATTTAAAAAAAAAAAAAAAATTCTCTGTTGAAAATACTGACCTGAAAATCCCTTTTTCCTTTTTTTCCCCCAGTACTTTCCTGTACCTGAAGTTCCTGGTGGTGTGGGCCCTTGTGCTGCTGGCAGATTTTGTCCTGGAGTTCAGATTTGAGTACCTGTGGCCCTTCTGGCTCTTCATCAGGAGCGTTTACGACTCCTTCCGATACCAGGGTTTGGTGAGTACAACACAAAGTCGCTGTGAGGGGAAACCTCCGAGGTTTCAGGGGATATCCCTTGTTTTACAAGTGACTTTTAATGGCACTGATGATCCCCTTGACAAGATTTTTAAGTGACTGGGTGCCCTGGGCTCAGGTCTCTCCTCTCTGGCTGCAGATTTGATCTGTGCCAAGTGCAGGTGAAATGTTAAATATTAATCAAATTTTCACCATAGAAAAATATTGTTTAAATTCCTAAGTTGGGTTTTCTTTAAAATGAAACAGAAACTTGCCAGTTTATAGATATTTACTGCTTTTTCAGAGAGTAAATGGCCCTGATAGTGGGGTGGGTGGATGGTTTCTTTTATAGAAGGAGAATACACCTGTGATTCTACTCTATATCAACAGTGTGAATTAAAGTCTTCAAACAAAATAAGAAGGGATAAATTTAACTGTTTGGAGACTTGTTGGAAGAGTGGATGGGCACAAATTTGTACCTGTTCTCTCTTAATTGCTCCAATTTCTCCTTTCCTTGGTCAAACTGCTCGGGGTTTTTGTCCTTGATTATAACCAGCACTAGTGTTTCTACATGGAAATCATTGTTTCACCATTAACAAACCGGTTATTTTTCCTGGAATAAACCCACCCACTCTTCTTTCCCCCACCCCTCTTTTCTTTTAGGCCTTTTCAGTATTTTTTGTTTGTGTAGCATTCACATCCAATATAATCTGTCTGCTCTTCATACCCATACAATGGCTGTTTTTTGCTGCCAGCACCTATGTTTGGGTACAGTATGTCTGGCACACAGGTAGGTCACTGTTCTTTATTTACAACTTCCTGACTCACAGCTTTTAGGAACGTGCCTTTTAGTCCACATCTGTTTTAATCCTGTTTTGTTACAGTTAAAAATGTTCTTTTTTGCTTTTAGGTTTGCACCTGTTGCACGTCTGGGTGCATTTTAAATAATCAGTAACTGAAAGGGGTATAAACAGGAATTCCAGAGCACAGTGTTATGTTCTTCCTACTAGCCAATGAGTGGGCTATTTAGTTATTAATATTCAAATATTAGTTGTTTTAGTTGTCCTAGCTTAAATTTGTATTAACCAAATCTTTGTGTCAACCAGACTGAGTTTCTGAGAAAAAGGCTTGGCAATACCAGTGCCTGCCCTGACAGTTTCAGACATATATGAAGAATTCTTTTCCCACTCTTCTACTGCTCTTTTTTTTTCCTTAGTTGTTTTGGGTTTGTTCTAATAAATCCTTGGGTTTGGATGAAGCAACTGAGCTGGGGGGAGATGGTTTAGTTTGCAGGAGCACTGTTGTATGGATTACATGTATATCTTTCCCTAAATAAAAAAAAAAAAAGGGAATAAAACTTGATTTTTTTAAAATTTTTTTTTAAGGTAGCTTTTCACTACCCAAATTCTTGGGATTTGAGGCTTTTGTAATATTTCCTGTTAGACTTGCCAGGAGATCCCAGGAGCTTGCAGGGTGGTGTGGATCGTTTCTCAGTCAGCTTTCTGACAACTTAGTCATTTCTAATAATGGCAGTGTGGGAGCTAATGGGAGATACTGTGAACCAGTTGCTGCCCAATTTCAAATACACAGAGAATGTGGAGTTATTTTTAGAATTGTATTAATGTGTTAAAGCGTTATCTGAAGTTGCTCAGGGTTGATGCTTTAGAAACCCCAAAGGTAAGACCTGATGGGCCAGTTTTATCTATTGCTACTGAGATAGTTCAATATGCTAATTCATGACAGTGTTAGGAATTATTCTTTTTAAATGCTCATTTAAGTCGATGAGAACTTGCTCTTTTTTTAAGTTGTGATCTTTTTAGGTGGAACCTTTAAGGTCCCTTCCAACCCAAACCATGCTGGGATTATTTTTCTGAAGCTCCTGACTGGTGTTGATTTGTGGAAATCTTCACCACCAGTGGCATTTTCCATTGGCCAAGAGCTTTAAGACCTCGGTTTTGCTTGACCCCTCTTTTACACTCTCCCCACCAGTGCTGGGGGTATTAAGTGACTCCAGCGTCCCAAGTGTTCCCTGATGGAGAGTTCTGAGTTGCAGAGTGTTCTCTGCATGACTCTATATGGAGTAACCAGTGCTGGGCTTACTCACTGTTTTCTCAGCTGATTTGCTCACTGCTGCTACTCAGATATACCCAACTTGGAGTGAGAAAGTAGTCCAAGCTCACCACTTCTGACTCAAAGATCATAAGCTGTACCATTACCTCATCCTGTGCAGTTTCTTCCACTTGTGTTCCCTGTGCCAACCTATTTCATTAGCTGTGCATCTGTTACTTTTGTAAGGCCTCAGTGAAGAATAATAAACCAAGATAAGGAGTGATAAGTTTACATTGGTTTAAAACAGAGATGGCCTAGATACTTTATTCTGAAGGGAAAACCTCTTAAAGTTCCCTATATATCTGTCTGAAAATTTCCCTTTACTTTTGGAATGTTTTAAAAACAACTTTATAAGCAGCAAATATTTTAATGTGTTACTGAATTGTTTCTCTCTCTTTTTTTTTTCCTTCTAATAGAGAGGGGGGTGTGCTTACCAACAGTATCACTGTGGATACTTTTTGTTTATATTGAAGCAGCCATTAGATTTAAAGATTTAAAAAATTTCCATGTAGACCTTTGTCGTCCATTTGCAGCACACTGGTAAGTGGGTCTTTCTTTTTTTTTCTCCTTTTCTTATGAACCTTTATTTCACCAGGAAAATTAATAATTTAATATTAAGTTATTTCTATTTCAGTTCAGGGTTTGGCTGTTCAGTTCTCCCCTCACACAACTGCCATTAAATATTCCATGAGAAATGTAGGTAAACATGAACCCAGGGTCGCCCTTCTGAGGATACAGTGTTTGTGAGCTGGAGGAAATTTGTAGCATGGATATTCCAAGCATTTCTTGAAAATTCCTGCCATTAGTTTGTGTTCACCTAGTGAATACATGATAAAAGTTACAAAAGAAATAGGTTTCCCTGATAATTTATGAAATTGTTATGGAAATCTTCTTCCTCTGTGACAAAGCACTCTGCTTTTTCCCTGAGAAGGGTTCTCATGAGTGTCTGATTTAATAATGCACCACAGGCTGTGAATAAGCTTCATGTTGAAAAACCTGACAGAAAATAAAACAGGAAAAAAACCCAACAAACAAACAAACACTATTTATCACAACTCTTCTTTGAAAGTGAGAAGAGTGATATCAGGAAAAAGCCTTAACTGCAGAGTATCCACCTCTGGAAGGAATGCACTTTTATTCCACAGTGTTTGGTGTAGCATGCACTGATCCACGTTTAAAAAGTGTCCTGTTTCTCCTGGAATCCTTTGGTCCCGTTCCCTGTGATTTTCCTCCTGTAAATTAGACATCAGTCATTTTAATTTATATTGTCTACACTGTGCAAGGGATCCCTTAAACACCAATTACGCTCCACAATAGGTTACAAAAGCACTTTAGGAGCTGTGAAGGAAGGGCTTTCTGCTGCTGAATTGGATGCAAACATCCGAGCTTGTCATCAGGAGTTTGGGAGCTGCAGCCACAGCTGGTCTGACAGGGCAGCACAAAAGAGGCATTGGCAGAGATAATGGCAGATGCAGATGCAAACGATCCTGGCAGCTCACTTAGAAATACGATTTGCACAGGGCTGTGACTGAGCAAAGAGTGAGAAGGTTTTAATGGTTAACAGTCATCTGTATCTTGAGTTTTCCTGCGATTTAGGACACCTTCAGTGTCAGACGTGTATTTATTTTTATTTATTGATGTTTGCTCCTGGATGGAACACCCCTGCATGATTTGTTAGCGTTCTGTGTTGGTGCAGTTGGCACAAGCTAATAAGAACGTTTAAATTCTCTGTGATGAAGCTGATATGCAAAAAATACGATTCCAAAGTTCTGTCATTCCCATCAACAAACAGAACAGCCAAGCCTGGCTGGAAGCGAAATCCTTCATGTCTTACCTGTCAGTGAGAGAAGTGGAAGAGCTAAGTTTAGAGATTAGATGTTTTTTGCCTCCTGCCTCAAGGTCAGTCTCCTAAATGAGGAATCTCCATTCCCCAGCCCTTTAGAAACAAAACTTGGGATCCTCTGCTGTGTTTGCTGTTATTTCCTTAAAAGATGTGGGATTCTAGGCTGGTGCTGGTCTCAAAGCTGCCTTTGCTATGCCTGGTGCAATTGCATTGTTGTAATCCTTTAATCTATGCTGCAGTTAATTGCTGTCTGTAATGAACTGTCATTTTGTCTCGATAAAGAGCTGCCTGCATTTGTGAACTGCAGCTTTACTGTAGTACCTCAGAAACCATTTTATGTATCATTGTCCCTGAAAAGTTGTAAATCCACAGGTATCCACTTACTTGGCTACAGTTTGAGTAATAATTGCCTTTTTTGTTGTTGTTGTTGTTTCTTTAGTATTGGCTACCCTGTTGTGACTTTGGGCTTTGGCTTTAAAAGTTACGTCAGCTACAAAATGCGTTTAAGAAAACAGAAAGAAGTGCAGAAGGAGAATGAGTTCTACATGCAGCTCCTGCAGCAAGCACTGCCCCCAGAGCAGCAGATGCTGCAAAGGCAAGAGAGGGAGGCAGAGGAAGGCAAGTTACACTCCTTATTTAATGTGTTTTCTATTTTCTGCTCTTTAAAGAAAAGACAAACACCAAACGTGCTAAGGAAGAGCTGCTCCAGCCCCTGGTGCTTGGCTGGAAGTGCAGCGAACTCAGAAAGAGCCAAAAATAAAAGAACTTTGGCAGTGGTTAATATGACAGGAGGAGTGAATTATGTGCCCTCTGCCTAGTTCTTTATTAGCAACTGCATTAATCTGGTCAGGCAGTGTTCTGGGAGGCACTAATATTTATTATTAAATCCCTTGGTTACTGTTTCCTGCCTGTAATGAAGGAAAAAAAAAAAGTCTTAAAGCACCACGTGGCTTCAGATTTTCTTTCCTAGATAGTCTCCAGTAATTATTGTTTTCTGCAGGAGTGATTGACATGTACATAATGATTTTTCTTTCTGTGTCACAGTATTGATTGATCTAATGAACTAAGTCTTTTTTTATTTATTTATTTATTTCTCACTTTTTGGTGTTGCAGCAGCCAAAGGATTATCCGATATGGATTCCTCAATACTCCTGCAGCACAATGGAGGCATTCCAGCCAATAAAAAAATATCCTCAACGTTGCCAGAGCTAGAATATAGAGAAAAAGGGAAAGAAAAGGACAAGGATGCGAAGAAACACAACCTTGGAATAAATAACAATATTTTGCAACCTGTAGACTCTAAAATACAAGAAATTGAATATATGGAAAACCATATCAATAGTAAAAGATTAAATAATGATCTCGTAGGAAGTACAGAAAACCTCTTAAAAGAGGACTCATGCACTGCCTCGTCCAAAAATTACAAAAATGTCAGTGGAGTTGTGAACTCCTCACCTCGCAGCCACAGTGCAACCAATGGGAGCATCCCCTCCTCATCCACTAAAAATGAGAAAAAACAGAAATGTGCCAGCAAGAGCCCGAGCACACATAAGGACTTAATGGAAAATTGTATTCCTAATAACCAGCTAAGCAAACCAGATGCACTGGTAAGGTAAGTTTGATCTGAGCATTGTGTAATGCCTGGTTTATCCTCCCTGCGTTTCAGTACATTTTTAATCAGTAGATTTTTTAAATTTTTTTTTTTTTTTGCCTTAGAAAAATGTAATTCATGATGTCACAAAACAGATGGATTAAGATCCCTAAAAGCTTTTGGGCCTTTTGGGTTCTGCTCCTAATTTTTTGTTTGATAGGCAGCCTTGAGCAAGTGGCTCCCTTTCTACCTCAGAACAGGATGCTCTTCTTCCTCGCAGGGGTGTTGTGGGGCACAAGAAATAGCTCTGATTTGTTGATAGAAGACATGAGAGAAACATGGAAAATCATCTGTTCCCAACAGCTCTTCCATGGAGTGACCTTTAACTCTCTAGAGAATTCAGTGGGGTTTGATGGTGTTTTGTCTTAGGGTTTGTTTTGTTTTGTTTTTCCTTTGGAAATGCTTGGCTTTTGTTTTCATCTTTAATTCACGAGTGGAGAGGCAAAGGCTCAGTCACGGGGTAACTCCTTGTGGTGCTGAGCTCAGGCTCCTGCTGCCTTGGTTGCTTTAGGAACAGGTCACAGGGATTTAATTTAGCTGCCTTGTAAACTTGTAAACATGGAAAAAGTCACATCTTTACATCTGCTCATCTGAAGTTTAAAGGCAGATGAATTTCTGAGGTGCAGCTCAGTGTTTGCAGCATATCCTGAGACATATGGTGTTGTCATATGTTACCAGAACAGTGCTGGTAAGAAAGAGGTGGGGTGTGACTGTTCACAATGGGATGGGGAGATGTCTAGAACAAAACTGTTGCACAATCATGCCCTTTCCCACCATTTTCCACCTGGTTTAGGTCTCTCTTAATTCCTTTCAAACACTCCTTGGCCAACAAATCCTTGGTGCTCATTGGCAGATCCAGGTTTGTTTTCCCTGCAGGTACCTTTTGATAATTGGGCATCTGCCTCTGATCTGTCCCTGAAGATTTGTGCCATGGGAATACAATCACTTCAGTGCAAATGTTGTATTCCCCTTTGATAATCACACTGCCATTGATTGACATGTCACTGCCAATTAAATATCCAGACTAATTGATACCTAGTGTCTGTAGAGAAACTTGTATGCAGCAGATAAGAAAGCAGCTAATCTGTGAATCAAATTCAGCCAAGATTAATGGGATGCAGATGGCTCTGCCTTCAGCAAGGCTCCACCTAAATACCCCTGTACAGGGCTGCTGGGTTTGTGTGTTCCCATTTTTCAGCTGGGCATCTCAGTACTCTTTATATGGCTTGTTTGCTCACTGAAGAAGAGAACAGGTCAGTTCAGTTTGCTGCAGCTCAAAACATTCCTAAGTCTTGAGAAAAGAGAAGGATGACCTGCCACACTAAGAATTTTGTCCCATCTAGCTGTGACAAGGAAGGAGATTTAAACCTTGTATGTTTAAATTTTAAATTGCACATCGAAATCCTGATGTGCTCCAACGTGAGCTTAGACCAGGTGGTCACTCCTTGTCCAGAGTGGGTTTTCTAATGCAGGAGTGAGGATACAATAAACTAGATGGTGTCCTTGTAGAGAATTCCAGCTCCTGTAACTCCCTGGGTAAGGACAGAGCACACAATTGCCTTTGTACAGCGTAGCCTCACCCTGACAGTGAATTAAACTACTCCAGTCTTTTGTTTGTGGAGTGTTTTTATGGGATGTGTGGGTGTGATGTGGCTGTTGTGCTACAAATTCGTGTCCCTGCTTATTGTACCCTCATTTCCCCGAGCAGGCGAGCCAGGAGCACTGGGAACACCAGCAGCCTGTGTTCCCAGTTTGTTCCAAACAAGGATGGCTGAAAAGCATTGATGAAATCTTGTTTCTGTTCAGATTGAGCGTGTAGCTCCTGCACCAATGGAAGTAGAAACTTAACTGGCAAATTGGATGGGATGGAATGCACTTAAATTTAAAAATTCATGGTTGTTTTCCTTTGAACCCTGTCAATTATCCTGTCCCCGGAGCGTGAGGCATTTGTTCATCATCTTTTCCAGCTTCCAGCAGTACTACTCGTTCCTGTTATTAAACTTTCAGGCTGCATCAGTTCTGTACCCTGAAAAGGGCTGAGTGAAGTCCTGCATTTGTGCCCGACTTTCAGATCAGATCTGCTCAGCTTCCAAATAAAGATGCTTTTTATAACCTCGTGTCCAGCAGACTCGCAGCAGGATGTCAAAACCAAGCTGCTTTCCTTTTGTGTTCACAAATGATTTCCCCGAGCTGACTAACCAGTATTAAATGTGAAATATGCCTTATGGCTGCTGGGCAGTTGGGAATAACAGGGCTGAAGACAGTAAAAAAATGGGGGTATTGAGAACAAGAGTCTTGCAGGGTTGTTAACTTCTAAATACTTGATGTGACATTTATATGTGAGAAGGGTGCCACTAATTAGGTTTTATATATATTTTATATATACAATGTTGCTCTTACTCGAAGCTGAGGTTTTATTTTTGTTCTGCCTGGTAGATGGTTGGTGCCTGAGTGTGTTTTGTTTTCTGGAGAGGGTGTCTCAGTGAATATTATGTTGTGTTACTGTCATCCTGATGGCGAGAGCTGAGGGATTGGAGAAGCTCTGTCCCTACTGATCAGCCTTGCCAGTAATCTCAGGGGTTTTGCTGTTCCTACATTTGAAATGAATATCTCCTTCTGAGGGATGCTGAAACCTGCTGTTTGTTTGTCAAGCACTTAATAATTGAGTCTCTGTGATCTGAGCTGCTTATTTTCCCAGCACTGTGGTAATTGGGCCAATGGAGGGATCCATTTGGTATCCAGTGCATGGATAAACTTGGTATCCCTTTGCACTTGCTGTTGTTTGTCAGCAGGTACAGAACAGGTTCACTTTTTTTACAATTCCACTGTAATTTCTGAGGTGAAACAGGCTGTGTTCATGGTTTAGGGGCTCAGTGTATGGAACAAGCCTGAGCTGCAGTTGCTGCAGAATTTATATTTTTATGTGTTGCTTATTACCCAGCAATAATCATGACCTGCCTCTGCCTTTTTACACCCTTAAAAAAAAAAAAAACACACACAAAAACCTGGCAGTGCATCTTGGCAGAAGTTTCTGTATCCACAGAGGTCTTGCCTTTGGCACATGAGGTGATGAAACAAGCTGTCTTATGTACTAATTATTCTCAGAGATAACAATGACACCTTCTGGCAGTTGGACCAAGGAAGGTATTTGTGAAGCAAGAGCTGGCCTACCACATCTTATTTTGCTTTCCTAAAATTTTCTTACCCGCAGAGACAGGCTTTGAAAGTTTTAATGTAAATGTATGGCCATTTGATGGTAATTATTGCACATTTTCGTGGCATTGTTGGTGGCCAAGGTGTGCTGCTGCTTCTTCCTCATCCCCACCCCGTGCCTGAAATGGCATTAATGTGCCAGAGGGATTCCTGCTGTCTGATGCAGTGGGGTGATGGTCAGGATTTCCTGCAATAGGATGAGGGTGAAAGCAAGTACAGAACAGAAAAGTGAAAGAACTGAGGATGTAAATTAGAAATCTGGGAGACAATCCTTCTTCCAGACCGTTTTCAAGCCACCATCAACACAGTTGCTTGGACTGTTCTGAAGCAGAGTAACCTTTTGAAATGCCAGCTGCTTAGATCGATGCTGTGCAGGAGAAAAATAAGTATCTTGGCTTTCTCTCTGTGGATTACTGGCTTTTTTTCTTTTTTTTTTTTTTTTTTTGGTAATGAAAAATGCTCTGAGGGGCTGCAAGTACCAGCGTGTTCATTCCGGCAGAACCTCAGTGCTGCAGGATCACGCTGGCCACTTCAAAGGAGCAGGAACAGAACAAAGAGGGGAAAAAAATGTGGCTTTGGAAAAGCATCTGAGTGCCTCCTGGGTCTTTTAAAATTTTAATTTCGGTATAAATTGTGTTTAATTCCTGAACCATTGCCAGGTGGTTGTGGGATGGAGTTAACTGGGTGAGTAAACTGAGCCACAGGGGTGTGTTATTCTCCAGACATCAATACTTAGGAGCATTAAGCTGAATTGAGTTGTCTTTAAGTTGATCCATCAATCTTCCCTGAAGCATTTGGAAAAATACTCGGTCTGTGAGGTGATTCCTGATTAATTCTCTTCATCAGTGAGATTAGGAATGGTATGAGGTCGTGCTGAGAGACGAAAATGGATAAATCTGCATTTAGAGTAATGACAAACTGAAAGAATGGACCTTAGTTGTATAAACATCATAATTTGCAACCAAAAAAACCTCATTTTAAAAATGGTTCTGTGTCAGAATGACTTGTAGTGTGTGCAGCAATAGAGAGAAGCATCTTCTAGAACTCAGGTATTCTTTACTCCCCCCTCCTTTGTAAATAACTTTTTCCAATAAGCCTGGAAATAAGAGGTGTAAGCAGAAAATGAAATCATAGTAAGAATAACAGTAATTTGAAAAATGCTGGTCATTTATCATTGCAACAGCAATACAGACTATACCAGAGGGGAGGAGAGAAAACTCCATGCACTGGTCTGTGCTGGCAGCAGTGAAACTTTCTTTTATGGCATTGCATTGGGTTATCCTGATGATGTGCTTTTATTTTAGAGAAAATGTCCTCTCTTACTGTTGAGTGGCCTGATAGAGGATGAAAGTAGTCCATGTGGTTTTGAGGGGAAACTAAATTCATGTCTTTTTTTTAATGAAGTTGTATCTCTATCCAATTGTGGCAGGGCTGGGAGAGAAACCACGTAGGAAACATTTGGTCCCTGCATTATGATGGATTATGATCTTCCTCCCTCCTTTTGGGTAGTGAGGAGCATTCATTTGCTCTATAATTTGCAGAAAACGTCTGCTCTGGTATTTTAAAGCTGTAGCAAAACCTACAGCATAATGAGAAGGGGTAATTAAAACCTGCTAAAATCTTTTCTTTAAAGCTCCTTTCTAAACAAGGCCATCGATAGACCAATTTCCAATGGTTTTGTCTGGTGCTGACTTGGAAAAGATTTGTTATCTGATTTCTCCTGAAGGTGCAACCCCTCCCCGAGCCTGAGCCTCACAAATTTAATCTCCACGGCTCTGGTTGGCCCCTGCAGGCCGTGCTGAGTGAGAAGGGAAGCTGTGGCTCTGTGGCCTCACCTGTTTGCCCCTGGTTTGGAAAGCTGGCATCCTGTCTGCTCCCACTTGAATGCACTCCATGGGTCCTGCAGGTTTCTTCTTCCAGCACAGTCTGGAGCAGCCCCATGAGCACTCAGGTGCAGGAATGCCACCAACCAGATGGCTTCAGAAACTTGAACCAATGTCAGTACTCTGTTGCCAAAAATACAAATTCAGCCTGTCCTGTGCCAGCACCTCTGATTTATTCAGGCTTTATCTGATCGGGGCTTCTTTTCCTGGAATACTAAATACCCAAAATAAATCCTGGTTTATCTTATTTGAGCGAGTTTGACATGGTCTGAGCCACAGGGAAAAGGCTGTTTACAGCTGTCTTATTTGCAGTTATCACTTTATTGTAGACATGGATATTGAAGTTATGTATGCGTACTTGTCAGTGGAAAATGGGATTTATGTCCTTTCCCTTGCATTGTCCTGCCAGCCATTTTTTCACCTATTTATGAAAACCTGTATTAAAACCAATCAGCTGTTGGCACACAACAGTCTGTGAGTGGTTCTTACATCTTCTTTAATTACTACTCTCTTTAATTAAGAAGTTTACTCTTTCTGACACACTGAGCTGCTGCTTACTGGAAGATGAGGTTGAACTCTCACAGCTTTGCCCAACCACTGTCCAATCTCTCACCCAACACCCTGAACAGGGTGACAACACACGCCTGATAACACCTACAACACCTGCTGGCATTTTTGGATTGTGTGGCTGAAGGAATATTTGGTTGGGTTTGCAAATTCTTTCCTTTCAGCAACACAGTCCGAGGTGTTGGAATTATTTTTGGACTCGCATTTGAAATGTGTGTTTGCTTTGTACTATTGCTATTTGCCTACAGGTATGAGTTGATTTTTTTTATTATTATTATTATTATTTTTTCTTTCTTTTTAAGGGTGCATTTGACCATGGTTTGTACTACACTAAAAGGAGTTGGTCTTACCAGGAGGGCAGTTCAAGTCTAAGTAGAAAGCCAGCTCAGTGCAGCCCAGCCACGTTCTTTATAGGCTGTTCCTTGCTGTTCATTTACCTCTTTGGTGCAGTTTTAGCCCATTACAGACATCCTTTTTATGCATTTCCATAACTTTGATGATTCCACACTTGAACTCTGGATTCACTGGCACAGGATGCTCTCGTGCCTCGTGCTGTTCCATCTCTCAGTAGCCTTTTAGGCTGAGGTTTTCCTGCAGTGAAGCCCAAAAGTGTTTCTTTAGGAAGGCAAAAAGCTGTAACCATTTATCTGTACTACTGAGTGTCAATAAGGGCAGTTCTTTTTGGCTTTTGTGAATATTCTCCTCGAGTGTTAATGTTCAACTGGCACTAATTCTGTGCAAGTCCTAGGAAATAAAACCATCTCTGTCTTCTTTATGAACGTTTAAAAACTTTCAAATCAATAACTGGCAGAGCAAACGAGGATTATGTGAGAATGGCTGAGGTGTATTGGCTTTAAATAAGTACATAACACAGTTAAAAAAAGGTTGATTAGTCACCTGTGATGTGTTTTTTATTCTAAAAATCAATAACCTTATTTTGAAAATGTAGGGGGAAATTAAAATGAGCTGAGTGCCTCTCTTCTGAACCGTGTATTTTATTTAACCATTTTTTTTGTTGGAAATACTTTAATTAACGAGATTACATGAATCTTCAAGAACTTTCCAAAGCTACAATTCGAGTGGATAGCAGATGGTCTCCGCTCAGGAGCAATTAAAACTAAATTTACTGACTCCTGAACTGTGGATGACTTACCACGTTCTCATTATTCAACATTCACATCATGTGCTGCAAGAAAATACCAACATGTTTAGGTGAGAATTCAGCAGTATGGCCCAGAGCTCAGCTCCAGCTAATAAATGAAACTCAGAATTCATGGAGAGAAGTGAAATCTGTCCATCTGTGGATCTGCCCTCGATTAGAACTTCCCAGGCCTGAGAGAAAATCTAATCCCATGGGGTTTGTTTTACAACTTTCGCGGCGCCTGGAGGGGAAAGCGAATTGCTGTGGGAGGTTCTGAGGTGTGTGTGTGTGTGTGTATATACATGGAGCTAAATATATATGTGTGGTTATATAAAACCCAATTCTTTAGCCAGGATGCACATCATTTCTGAGAGCTGATTGTTTGAAGTCTGAAGGTTCGGGGTGGGGGGAGCGGGTGGCAGATGGTGCGGAGTTTACGTAACGCGCTCGAACCGTCGGGCGAGCGGAAATCAAAGTCGAAATTGTCTTTTTAAAAATCTCTCTTTTTTTTTTTTTTTTTTTTAGGTTGGAACAGGACATTAAGAAGCTAAAGGCTGACCTGCAGGCCAGCAGGCAGATCGAGCAGGAGCTGCGCAGTCAGATCAGTTCCCTGACCAACACAGAGCGGGGGATCCGCTCGGAAATGGGGCAGCTCCGGCAGGAAAACGAGCTGCTGCAGAACAAGTACGTGTGGAGGCACCTGGGGGGGCCTGGGAAGAGGGGAATAATCATAATAATCATCATCATCATCATAATGACCGAGGTCTGAATAGGGGGAAGAAATTATAATAATGGTTATATTTATTATTATAATAATCATTATAATAACCACTATAATTATCAATATAAATATTAATAAAAATACTACCTGGTGTTATTAATATTAATAATATGCATCTAGTAGTAATTTATAGAATTTATAGTTTATTTTATATTTATATCGTCTTCATTACGTCTACTTATATATTAGGTATTGTATATCCATCGTATATTTATTAAATATTTAAATTTTTATATTTGTCCTGTATTTATATTTAATTCTTTGGCTATTATCATTATTTGTATTATTTATATTTAATGTTTTTCTTTAACAATTATATTTTCTATATGTTTATATTGTATAATGTGTAAGTATCATATTCTATATTGTCAATATTTATATTTTCATATTCAATATTTATATTTAATTACTGTTTAACTGTTGTTATTATTATTATTTACCAAATTCGAGGCAAGTCTTGCCTGCAAATCCACCAAGGCCCATTTGGGACCACTGACCAATTCATTTGTAGTAAAATAAAATCCCCCATTGAATCCCATCCCTGCTCCCCTCCAGATTGCACAACGCTGTACAAATGAAACAAAAGGACAAACAGATGATCAGCCAGTTGGAGAAGAAACTAAAGGCAGAGCAGGAGGCACGAACCTTTGTAGAAAAGCAATTAATGGAAGAGAAGAAGAGGAAGAAGTTGGAAGAAGCAACTGCTGCACGTGCTGTGGCCTTTGCTGCTGCCACGAGGTGCTTTGTGCTTTGGGGAGGCCTTTCTCACTCTTGTGTACCTAAAGGAGTGGTTTATTTTATGCCTTTTTAAAAAAAAATTAGGCTTTATTTGTGTGAAGGCAGAGGGAGGACTGGGAGATCTCTGAGCCTCACTGCTCATATATATAAATATATTAATAAATATAAATATATTACATTTGCCCATGGAATATGAATTACATGGGTGAAAAAGCTCTGAAGAGCATATTTAGAACACGGTGCTCTGAATTATCTGCTGTGCCTTGACTGTGCTGACAGAGGTGTTGTACCTGCTTGGGTCAAGTCTGCTTTGAGAAAAGGAACATCTTCCTTGCACGTGGGGACTGTGAGTGGAGGATTTGTGCAGTGGCATTGGCCAAAATACCAAGTTTAGATCCCCCATTCTGGAATTTCCCTGCTCTGGCCAGTGGCTGCCAGTGCTGAGCACTGGGATTTTCAGCAGTCCCCCAGGTGTAGAGATGGGAGCACAGCACAAATGTGGGTGCTCCAAATGTCTAAAAAGAATTATTTCTGCTCTTCTGTTCTCCCTATTTCATAAATATTCTAAATTTCCTAAGACATGGTGTATAACTCTCTGCTCTGCTCTTGCTACCATTTTGCTGCAAAGAACAAAGTTAGCTTCCTCTTTTTTATCCTTCAATTTTTATATTAATTTTCATGGTATAAACAGTGGAGGAATGACAGCCTTATTCTTATTTCATCTTCTCCTCTTTTCATGTTTCCTTTCTTTTTTCCTGCAGGGGAGAGTGCACTGAAACTCTACGGAATCGCATCCGGGAGCTGGAGACAGAGTGCAAGAAGTTAACAATTGACATAAAGCTGAAAGAAGATCAGATACGAGAGCTAGAAATGAAAGTTCAGGTAATCACAAAGCACCAGGGGCTCAGATCAGCATCACAGGGAGAGCTTTCAGCCCTCCGAAAAAATCCAAGGATCTACACAAGTGGCAGTCGGCACCGTCAGTAATTGTGCTGTTCAGATGTTTGTCTGGCATGTCTTGCACCAGGGTTTATCAGACAGTGTGTTAATCTTCTCAGCTCCACACCATTCAGTTGGTTAAATGACAGCTTTCCTCCCCGAACCCGCTGGTGTGTGTAGACTGAGGATATAATCCCCCTCAACAACAACATTTTTGTACCTGATACAAGGAGCTTGCTGCTGGTCTCTGTCATTAGACATTCACGAATTTACTGGCACAGATCTGTTTCACTCACGTGATTTATGTAATTCACCACTTTATTTATCTATCATTATATAATTCACACAGGTTGCTTACTCAGTGCAGTCTGAAGCACTGGCCAGGCATTTTTTTTTTATTTGGGGGAGAAAAGTGCTTCAATATTGAAAATACTTTGTGGCAGACACAGTGTCTGGCATGTTAACAGTGTAACAGCTCCAATGTGCCAGTCGGAGTTGACCTTATTCCTTTCAAATGTCTGCTCCTAAAGATGTGCTCGGACTGTCAACTGACGATTTGCATGAATGTGTATTTTTAATGTCTCTTCCAAACCCACCTGGTGTTATTGTCAGCTTGTTTCCAAACAACACACGCAGCCTTGTTGTTCCCGGGTTTACCAAACCCTTGAGAACAAGGGTGGTTTATCTGTGGAGAAGGACGAGCAGCGTGGCTTTCAAACAATTAAAACCAGCTGTAATTAAGCTCTTAAATCTTATTAGCACCTTCAAACTGTTAGAGAAGCTTTTTGTTGCAGGCATGAATATTTTCCCCTTTGCGTTGTTGTTTCTTCACTTAAAAGCACGGATAATTTTCGTGTGTAGTCGAGTCACCATCCCTGGAAGTGCTCGAAAACCACGTGGACGTGGCACTTGGGGACGTGATTTCACGGTGAACGTGGTGGTTGCTGGGCTGGCAGTTGGGCTGGATGTTGTTGAATTTCTGAGTCTGTGATTCCAGCCATTTTGCTGGTGGGAAGTGTTCCCACATCCCACATCCCTTGGCTGTGTGTGGCAGGCTCAGCTGGCACTTGGAAGCGATTTTGGGGTTTTGGGTGGAGGGTCTTGCTGTGAATGATGGAGGGGCTGAGGCACAGAGTAAATGGTGCTGACTGCACTGTAATTACGCCTCGTTCGTTACGGCTTTAATCACTTGTTTGATGGCCGCGTGTAATTACTGGAGGTAATATTACAGTGTCCTTAATTAACCAGCGTTTTAATTTTACAGTGGTAATAGCAGGCCCACTGTGGGGAAGGCAGAAGGCTTCTCAGCCTCTCTCTCCTGTGTAAAGGGAGCGAGGATAACATTTGTCCTAATTATTCCTGCAGGAGCTGCGGAAGTACAAGGAAAACGAGAAGGATACGGAGGTGTTAATGTCAGCACTTTCAGCCATGCAGGATAAAACACAGCACTTAGAGAACAGCCTGAGTGCAGAGACCAGGATCAAGCTGGATCTGTTCTCTGCATTAGGAGATGCAAAAAGGCAGCTGGAGATTGCCCAAGGTACCAGTGGAGGGTTAAATCCTGAGGAAAAAAATAAAAGGCATGGAAATGTGGCTGGGTGGGTGGGATATGGCCCCAATGAGGGGGTGAGTGTGAGCCTAAACCATCTGACCTCCTTCCCCCCCTGCTACCAAACTGACAATAAACATCAAGATGGGTGTTTTGGGTTAATTTATGATTGTTTTCTACATGTTTTATAAACCATTACATAAAGCTGGAGGTCTTCTAAAGAGCTAGAAGAGCTCTCTCTTTTAAGAGCTGAAATAATAGCTGCCGTCTATGAAGGTGTTGTCTTTTTGAATCCTCGTAATAATAATAATATTTTATGACTCGTGAAGTAAATAAAACCCAAATTGGAGGGGGAATACACCCAACCTGTTTCAAACGTGGTGATGCCACCAGGGGGAGCAGGAAACCAGCAGAAAAAACCCTGCCCAGCCCGGCCTTTGCGCAGCTGGGCAAACCTCGGAGCAAAATTAAATAACCTTTGGATTTAACACCCGTTTAATTTCCCTGCAGAAGTTTGTTTGATTGCAGGAAAAAATTTGATTAGGGTGAGAAATTGTTTTGTTTCGTCTCCCTGGCGTCATTCTTTCCCCGGTTTCCTAAATTGCTGCAGTGATGGTTGTGAGCGTGCACAGAAGGGGGGTTAGAAAAATGACGGGAATCGGGACAGTTCTGAAAATAAACAACACATCCAATAAACAAATACTTCTGTTTTTGTGAGGACTTTGGAAAATCTGGAATGGAAAAGTGCAGGCAATTGTTGAGCCGTAGAAACAATCTTTGGATGTGGTGCAGCTGTGAGCGCCAACAGCGTGAGATTATCGTGGAAGAGCTGCCTTTAGTTATGGTGTGGGCTAATTAGGGGTAATGAATTAAACACAGCTCCTCAGCACGAGCAGGAGTTACACAGGTTGTGCTTTTACTGATGGCAGGATAAAGAACTGGCTGCCTTGGGAGTGTTGCACTTCACCAGCTCCCCCTTCTGCTGGTGGAGGTGGGGGAGGGACGTGGCAAACGCTGCTGGTTCTAAAGTGATGTCATTTTGCTGTTTCCAGGGCAAATCATTCAAAAAGATCAGGAAATCAAGGACCTAAAACAGAAGATTGCAGAAGTCATGGCAGTAATGCCCAGCATAACATACACTGCAGCCACCAGCACTCTGAGTCCTGTTTCCCCACATTACTCTTCCAAATTTGTGGAGACCAGCCCTTCTGGACTCGATCCCAATGCCTCTGTTTATCAGCCCTTGAAGAAATGAATGCCAATTTTTCCTTTTTTTCTTTTTTTTTTTCTTTTTTTTTTTTTTTTTTTCCCAGTGATTTTTGTCATGCTGAAGGCATCACACAGGAGTGTCTCTTGCAGTCAAGATGAAATTGTATTGTGTGAGACTGTATTTGTTGTCATTTAAAACAGGATAAAAGAACATCTGGATTGACTAGAACTGCCCATCAGTTTTTTCTTGTAAATTTTTAGAGAACCTCACAGAACTTTGCAATTTTATTTTCCTTGGCCAATGCATTAAAAACAATTCTTGGTTTTCAAGTAGCCAATTTTGCCTTTTTATGTACTCTTGCATGGTTTCCTCTTGAAAAAATACAGGGCTTTGCTTGATTTTGAACCCTTTCTTCTTTTTTCTTTTTGGTTTGATAATCAAAATGAATTTGCAGATTCGTTCAGAAATAGTGAGGGGAAAAAAAAAATAAATCTTTAGTTCTTCCAGTGAAAGGGTTAAATAATCTAACAAAGCTTTGATTTATAGATGTATTAAATGCAAATACGTGATGTTGCAGAAGATAATTTGATTTACCCCCCCTCAAAGGACCAAACAAATTTCAGGGGCGTTGTTTAAGGGAAAGAGTAAGAGAATAGATGATGATGTGACGGTGGTTGTTGTGTGAAATATTTATATTCCCATTGGTGTTTTTAGTCATTGAGAATTGCTGACAGTCTTGTTCACAGTGCCTTGGGAAAAGACATTTCAAGAGGAAACTTGATAGTTTAAACTATTTTTTCCCCCTTCACTGTCATCTATCTTATATATCAAGCTCATTACAGAGTCTACTGCAAATTGTACATGGTAATTTGGATGTTCATGGTAAACCAAGGTTACATCTTCTGTTTATTTTGATATAAACTCAGCAGTGTTCTGTAACTTGCCTTGATTATTCTGCATCGTGGAAGGCACAAATATTAATCCAGAAGCGTTAACGTGAAGGTGGAGCTGTGCAATGTACTGTATACAAGAGACTGTAAAGCTGGCTAATAAAACCTGCAGTTCTGGGTTGTTTTTTTTTTTTTTCCTTTTTTTTTTTTTTTTAATTATTATTTTATTTTATTCAGCTGTGATTTACACTTTATTATATCACCTTGTGTTGGACAGTTTCAATGGAGCTGAATGTTTTTCAGCTGTGGTGCCAAGGAGTTGGTTTTTTTGGGAGGGGTGTTTGTTTTTTTGTTTGGTTTTTTTTTTCTAATGAGTTTTAAAGGAAACTCATAAATCGCACAAAGGTTTAAGTTAAAAAATGTATATTATACATTGATAGAAAGTGTTTGCACTGGCAAATTCTGAAGTGTTTCAGAGCTTTTGGGGGGGGTTGGAGGGGTGGGAAGCCAAATTGTGTGGGGGAAACAAGCAGAAAAACAACCCCAACATTAGGATTTTGCAAATGTGCAGTGGACTCTGGAAGGACAAAGTTCTTCTGAAAAGAAAAGATTTTTGTGGTTTTTGTTTTTGTTTTTTTTAAATTATGGTGTTAATTGGCATGTTGCCTCATGGGGAAAAGCAAAAAGAAGTAGGACAAGCAAGTCAATAGAAGCATTAAAGTTACATCCTTTTAATCACAGATAATTCCTTTGGGATACAATTTCTAGCTTTAGCCAGGTGTGCATGTTGCTGTCATTTGCATTTTTGAATCATCTTGTGTAATTGTCACCATGAAAGTGTTACTCAGAAATGTCATAGGTTTTCCATCTTTGTGCAAAACATGAAATATTGTCACTGACTTTTTTGTGTTGAGGTTTCCCCCATTTTGCTGCCCACTCGGGCACAGTTTTCGTTCAATACTTGGTCTTGGCTGCATTCTTTTTTTTTTTCTGTGGGGTTTACAAAGAATAAACATTTTCTTGCAGATAAAAAGAGATAATTATTTTTTTTATATATATATATATAAAAATTTTTTTTTTTGGCCTTTTTAACTGACCTGATTTAGAAGTATAAAGAACAGGTTTTGTTTAAAGAGCACCCTGTTATTCCAGGTAAGTCCCTTCTGCAGTTCAGCCAAACAGAAGGAAGAACAGATGTTTTTCTGTGTTCATGTAGAAACTGAGCACGTTCCCCTGTCCGTGGGCTCTAAAAAAAGAGAGGAGAAATAGGTAAATTTGAATTTCTTGAGGATTGCAGAAGCCTGTAAGCTTAGCCTGTTTCTTTCCAGCCATCCTTCCTGCAAAAGCAAGGCCAGGATTGGGCAGTTTAGAGGTTTATGCCTTGTCCTTGCCTAGATAAAAACAAACAAACAAAAAAAACCCCAACTATTCCCTTGTTTTCAGTGTTTCTGCCCAATTCTCTCAGCAGCCACAGCTCCTGTTGGCAAATGTCTTATTGGGAATCTGATTTTGGTGTAAATGAGCTGGGTTTTCCCCTCCTTGCTTTGGCTCCTGACAGGGGATTGTTCTCAGCCTGCACTAAACCTGCAGGTGGCATTTTCCAGGTACCAAGAAATTCCAGCCTCAGCTATCCCATGATCCTGCTGCAGGCACTGCCTTGAACCTCCCAGTTCCCCTGAGGTCACTTGATTATTTTATGGCTGTTCTGTGGCACACAGAGCTCCCTTCCCAATCAAAACCCATCAGAGATGAGCTGACAGTTTGAACAGACCCTCTGGGGCCCCTCCTCTCAGCTCCAAATGGAAATGCTCCTCCAGGAAAGGGTGCAGGGATTTGCAGGCACCAGGACCGGGGCAGGGAGATAATTCAAGCATCAAATCTCCCCCCAGCCAAGCCCTTGGGTGTTTAAATATTGAAATGCCAGAAATGGGAAATGTTTTAATGACTCGTCATAAATTGTAGTTGCAGGAGCAGTGTATGGGGAATTCAAGCACATAACTGTGCAGAAGGGTCACCCAGGGTATTTTGGGGTTTTTTTTCCAATTGTTTTTTTTTTTACAGTCAATTCTGAGACGTGACTGAGGAATAAATACTCTGGAGAGCTCTGCCAAAATAAAACTTAAATATCCAGGAGTTTTTCCAGCCAGCATTAAGTCTGGGGAGCAAAGGTAAGGGAGGGGCAGGGCTTGTGTGTGATGGCTTTGGGTACCTCTGGGTTTATCCTCACTAAAAGGTCTAAGTAGAGCGGAAAGCAGTGTGTCATTTTAATATTTAACAAAAAAGCTCCTTTACTCACAGAATTTATTCTGTAACTGTGCCAAGCTGAACTGGCTCCTCTTCCTTAGCATATTTTGTGGTGGTGGGGAAGGGAAGGCTTTAAAAGCATGGGTTGAATTGAACTCAGTCTGCCTTCAGCAAACAACTTCCAGAAAGGGAAAAAAACAAACACAGAAAAACCTGCTTGGACTGGAATGTCCTCTGGAAATGGAGCTGGAGATCCCACCTTGGAGCAGGAGAGCAGTGAGCTCCCCCCTCCCTTCCAGGCCCTGTTCCCTCTGAAGGGCTCAAGCAGCACAAACCTGTGCTTTGTTTTTGCTTTCTCTTCCTAAACTGTTAAATCAGGTTTGGAAGTCGTTCCTTCCCCCTCCACACGTTGCCTTGAGCACTCTGGAATTACCCCCTGGAGGAACTGGCTCCAAGACAGTTTCTTAGGCCAAGAAAAATGTGCCTTTTGGCATTTCCTGGTCCTGCCATTCCTGTGTCCAGGAGCTGCCTGCTCCAAATATGTTATTATTGATGACATTTCTGTGAAACAGATGGATTTTTTCCTTTTCTTTTGCACTTCAAAATCAAAATCTGTCTCCTCCCAATAGCTAGAAATAAACATTTGATAGAAAAATGCTCTATTAAACAGCTTAACCCTTTTCCTTTTCCAATAGGGCCTGGTATTGAGAATAAAACCGGTCCCAAGATTAATAGCTGAGAGCACAAAGAGAATTTAACCCAAAATCTGCACTTGAACTCACCCAAACAGGGTTTGTGCACTGCTGTACTACAGCAAATTGATCACCTGCAGCAGCAAATTGTTGCAGTTTTAGGTTTTGGTGGGGTTTTTTTTAAGCTTACAGGTTTTAGACATAAGCTCAGTGGTTATTGAACACTCCCCCAGGATTTGGGGGGCAGTGGGGATGTGTTTCTTTCTTTCTGGACACTTCCTTTTCTTACAGTTTGGAAGTCAAGGTCAGAAACGAACCCTCAGCAAGTTAATACATCATAAATTACAACAATGAAAGCTGAGATGCCACACTATCTTCAGTGAATCACTGAAATAACCCCCATCCCTGTGACTGAAGCATTCCCAATAAAGGAGAAGAGGCAGGAAAAATCCATTTTAATCAAGTTCAGATGTAAGTGGCTCATTTACCTACAATCTGAGTGGTGATTATGCCGTTCTAGCCCATGTTGTCAGGCTCAGAAAATACTGGGGGTTTACTGCTGGCAGTGAAAGTCTTTATATTGTCTTGCATAATTAACGTGAAATTTCCCATCAAAATGGAGCTGGGACGAACAATAATGGTTGGATTGTAATAAAATAATAGTGACAGTGAGGGAAAGAGGGGCTTCTCTCTTTACAGATGCTCCAGAAATACTTTTTTTTTTGTGGGGGGAAGGAAAGCAGTTCCCTGATCACAAACGCAGCGGCAGCTTCAGGTGGATTTTCTCACACCCTCCCCTTTCAAGCCGTTCCATTCTGGGTCTGATTGAAACGTTCCCTGCCCAGAATGCACGACAAGCATTTTAAAGCCGATTTAAGACGGTGCTGAACCCGAGGGATTCTTGCAAGATTGAAATAACCAGCATTTTACAACCTTTATCTCCGTAAGTGCTCGCTTAATCTGATCTGCCTCCTCGCGTGTTTGCCACGACGTCCCAACTTTCATTAACCTTGACTAAACAATTTGCTTTCACCATGATTTTTTTGTAACCTCTTTGGGTGTATTGTGGCACAGAACCATCTGTTTATCTGTAATTTCTTTTCCTTAATTAGGCTCGGGGTGGGGTTTTTTTGGGTTTTTTTTTTGACCTCTCTCTGAATTAACTGCCACGTTAGAATAATTACCAGCAATTTTTATCACGGGAGGATTTGTGCTTCATCTGCTTGTGGAGGCTTAGCTTTTAAAATATTGAACTGTTTTAACGGGGGAAAAAATATTAGACATGAATTAGTCTCTTATTGGTGATTAGCTTGGAAAAAAAAAATAAAATAATTAAAATACCCCAAAAAATTCCAAGTAAATTTGGATCTGAAACTAAATGTTGTGGTTCAGAGCGGTTTGAAGTTCAAGTATTTCAGGTCCGGAGGACCCGCTGAGAAAAGTGCCGGAGTTTTTCTGCAAGTGAGAACTTGCAGGGAGGAAAATTCCTTCGTGTCCTCTCCCCAACAGCCACGAGAGGGCCCAGGATGCCTGGATGAGCCCGGCCCTGCTCGGAGAAGCAAATTCCTCAGCCCGACAGGCTTGGGAGGGGGAGAAAAAAAAATATTCCATTTTTCCTTAAGCAGAAGTGTGAATGTAATTTCCCAGGGAAGAAACGGGGGGTTCATCCTGGGAAGCCCGGAGAGCTCAGAAATACGTGGATTTTGTGCCATAACAAAAGCATCATCAATGTGTAAACATTCCACGGGATATTTTATGGAGATCCAAAAACAGGGAAGCAAGAAACCTTTGTCTTACTCTCCACATCCAGAATCTGAAGCAGCGTAGATCCTTGATTGAAGTCAGATGTAAATGCAGGAAATTTTTATTTTGGTCTCTCCAACCTTCCCCTCGGGAACACCAATATTGCAGCTTAAATACCTTGAAAGATCCTACAGGTCATGAGGCCTTTGCCATCCAGAAGTGGAAATTGTCATTTCTATTATCTAGGCATTTAGAAAAGCAGGTGAAACGCATTTAGTCGTTTAGTTTATGATCCAGTGCCTGACTTCTTAGGGCTAAAAACAAGCAGCTGGAATTGTTTGTGGAGGGACGGAGGGTGGATCTTGTGGAGGAGCTGGTTGAGATTTCTGCTGAGAATAATTCTTCCTATAAAGTTCAGTTTATGGTAAATGCTGCCCAGCATCAACAGTCACTACACTAAAACTACTCCATGTTTACAAATCCTCTTTCAACTTTAGACAAATTAACACTTTACTCTAAATTTTAACCAAGCCCCAGCAGTGGAAACCACAGCCCAGTGCTGTCAGACGTCCTGTTAACACCCTGTTGTTGTGGATCTGACCTTCTTCAGCTCATTCCTTTGGCTTCCTAATCTAAATGGGATTCTCCAGAGTTTAAGTAAATGGCTGGATGGTTTTGTCCCCTTCAGCTCAATTTTCAAACCGGTTTGTTACCGTCAATTAAATTTCAATTCCGCTTAAATTATTCATTTGATTTTCATTTTAGCCATTTAATTTTGAGTTTATTAATTTATTTTTTTGCTCCGTTCATCTGACTTTAATTCTATTACTTCAAATTAATAATTTCAATTCCATTTGTTGGCTTCCATTAAAACCAGACTCCAAATCAGTAATGCTGAGGTTTCTACAGCCAGCTTTGCTGGGCCCCGACATACAGGAATAGTTCACAGGTAGGAATTTCTCTGGCAGATATTTTGTAAAATATTTGGCTTCCTCCTGGGTCTTATCTTGCCCACAGCAGCAAAACGTTAGTAACAATAAAAGGAATGCTTAAATTATGCATATATTTTAAATGAAATAGTCTGGTATCTTCTGATCCCCGTCTTTTTAATTCGTTTCTGACTTGGCAGAGCTGAAGGAAAATAAGGAAGGAAATGTAGGAGCAGCTCAGGCCTGGCCAGGGGAGAGGCTGGAGGAACTGAACCCGGCAGTTTTACTCCATTTACAGCCCCAGATAATGCACTGACAGCCTGATCCTCGTGCTGTGCTGCTAAATGGCACCAACACTTAGGAAGTCAAAATGACCCTCAAGTGTTCAGACACAAAGGCAAGAGTTATTCACTGGAGAGGGAGCCTGTTCAATCAGCCCACAGGTACCTCAGCCCTCAAAAGGCAGCACTACCTGGTGGTTCAAGCAGAGCTCTGCAAAGCCCAGGGCAAGGCTGGGTTCTGCCCCCAGCTCTGGCACTGGGATTTGCTGCAAAAAACAAAAAAAAAAAAGGTTTTTTTTTAGCTGGGAAATGCTTCTTGCTCCACAGAAACTGATCTGGGGAGACATAGGAGGGGGAAGGATTAAACAGCAGGATTTTCTCAGCACTTCCTCCCCGTTTTTCTCAGAGCTGATGTTTAATAGGTGTTACATGAACCAACACGTATCGATCCCCTCCTGCCCTTAGCAGGGTTTGCCTCTCAATTCTTCTGTTCTTCCCTCGTGCCTGCCCTGAAACAGCTGATGATTCAGGGAAGCAGAATAAAGGAAGGGCAACAACCACCACTGAGCTCTTCCCAGCTTGAGTGGCTGATCTGCTTGACTCTCTAATGAGCTTGTGAAACAGCAACTTTATTTGTTCTGTCACAGCACTTCAAAGAGCTACTGGCCAGGGAATCGAAATCATCCCTGGCAACTCACCAACAGCATGTTTTGGGGTCCCTCTGGCACTTTTTTTTTTTTTTTCCCCCAATCCTTTTTTAATTCCTGGGGCTCTCAGCACAACTACCAAGTCCCACAAGCCAAAACAACCACTGAGCTGAGATATCTCGCTTGACAGGTAGAAGTTATTCCCTCCCAGGTGGGCTTTCCGTGCAGCAGAGCTCTGAAGATGCACAGCTCCCTCCACTCACTGCCTGGCTCTTGAGAGGAGCTGCTCCCTTATTTCAAGGAGTTCATTTGCCTGGCTGGACCTCTTCATTTTTTGCAGCCAACGAGCAGCTGATGGAGTTTCAGTCTGTTGAAAGTTTGTAGTCTTTCTTGATTGCATTTTGGATTGCACGGCTGCCAGTAATACTATTTCTCAAAGCCCAGGCTTTGAAAATTACTTAGCCTTATGTTTGGCAGTTAATAAGCTGCATAATTACAGTTCTAGGAGCAGATCCAGTACCTTCAGCAAGTGCAGGGGAATCTAAATACCTTCTTCCTTCCCTGCCTTGAAATGGTGTTCATTTCTTTCTCCTCTAAATGACAACAGAATTAATTCTGGAGAGACCTGTTGCTTGGAGTGGAGTCAGTGGATTAATAAAAGCGTTAATTATTAAAGCCAGCAAATGCTCCCTAATGATTGTTTGCTGCAAAGTTAATGTTTGATTGGAGAAGGTCATCTGCAAGCCTGAGTAGAAAACCTGTCTCTGTAATAGCAGGTGAAAGCACAATTACCTCCTCTTCATGCCATGCACTGGTGCTCTCCACTGCACTCCACCCAAACAACGAGCCTGGAGGAAGGCTTCCGTGACCTGCCACGGGACGGTCACAACCCCCAGAGGTCACGGTTTTTAATGAAGTGGGAGAAATCCCATCTGCTTCTGCTCTTCCTGGGACGAGGCAACGGGCACCTCATCCTGTAACCCTGCCTGAAACTCTGCCTTGGGCTCGGCGTGGACTGGGAGGGCTTTTGCTGCACTGCACAGCTTCCTGAGAGCTCGATTATCACGTGGCACAGGTGCAGAGGAAACGAGTGGATGCTGGGTTTGTGCCCCCAATCTGTGCTGGAACGAGACAGAAATGCCTAACATTTATCTGTGCTGCAAGAGCTCACCCTGCAGTGGGGCTGTGTCATCCCCAAACCCCTGCCTGTGTGCCAGTATTCAGGTGTAACTGGGCTGAATGGCACCTGCACAGATGGGCATCCCAGTGCTCCAGCTGGAAAAGGAGCTTCTCTCCCAGTCCCAGGTCTAAGGTTGAGCCTTTCTGGTCCAGCCTCATGGGGACAAGCCAGCTGCAGGCTGCCAGAGCCCGTGGGGGTGTTTCCATGCTGAATCCTGCATTTCCAGTGTTTTCCTCTGCTGAAAGTTAATTGGGAAAGGGCAGCAAGAATCCAGCTTTATCACTGTGATTTTCCTGAAATGATGGTTTGCAGTACTAAGGGTGGGAAGAGACCTCAGCTTCTCCCAGCCCTGCCACTCACTCTCTTCGTGGTTTCAGGCAAAGCATTTAACCTGTCTTTGCTTTGAACTGGGTTTTTTCCCCCATTTAAAATGAAGATGATAACATAAAACCCTCGAGAGCCTCGTAGGAAGGGCGTTGTCACAGCTCTGCCAAGTCCTGTAGTTGTTAGAGGAACGGATGTTTGACTTTACAAATTAAAACAAACCTCTCTTTGAGGAAAGCCTTGCATGTAGCTGCTGGGTTTTAGGCATTAATAAATGTTGCAAGTCCCTGTAGAGGCTCTCCAGTTCGTTGCTTCGTCAGAGGGATGAGAGTTGTGTGTTTTGCAAAGGGAAGCCGGGAGAGGGGAACAGCAAGAGGTGAGAATCTGCCAGAGGTGAAGAGGCAGAAACAAAAAGGAGGGGAGCAGCCAAACGCTCTCTGGTGCAGCTGCACCTCGAGTGAAACAAGGGACACAACACAAGAATGTTCTTTACAGTAAACAAGGCAGGCATTGTGTAAAAACAGCCGGAAAGGCGTTGTTGATGACACGAAGAAATAAAAGCCGCCGCTTTATCTTTCAGAACTGACAAAGGCTTTGGAAGCGTCTGATCTGAGAGCATTGTTTCCCGGGAGGAAAAGGATGAGATGTCTCTCCTGTGACACGAGGCACCAGGAGAAGCCCTGTCAGCCTGTCAAAGGATCGTGGCGAACCCATCAGGTGGGAGAGAAGTGAAATAATTCCGACCTTTTGACGCCGTGAAGTGCAAGAGCTTCACGGACTGTCCACGCGACCGTGGCAACCTGGGGATCTCTTCATCACCCTCTCAGGTGTTCACAGGCAGGCTCAGAGGACCAGTTCTGTCCCCTGGGATTTTGGCCCCTTGCTTTGCAGCCTCAACCCGGCCGATGAAAGGGGATTGAGGCGACTCCAGGCTCCACGTGCTCCCGTGGCAGGGAAATCCAGCGGGAAACTCCTGACAGGCCCCGACCACAGGAGCCACGAGAGAACAAACCTGCACTGTCTGCCACTCGAGGGGTTTGTGTGTTCAGCCAGTTGAGACTTCTCAGCCCTTTCTTCACTGTAACTCCCAGGAACATGGGAATGTCTGTGTGGCTCCGGGAGCTGGGGCAGCTCCTGCTCGTAGCTGTGGCTACACGAGCAGGGGGTGAAGCAGCCTGTGCTCCCTGCCAGAGCCTGCAATTAAGCCTCTCCCAGCCTGTTTAAATGACACCAGGGCACAGCTCCAGCAAGAGGTCTCTCCCTTTCACTACCCTAATTTACGCTTGCTGTTGATCACTTAATATTCCCCATTCCGGCGCTTTGCTCGGCAGAAGGGAGGTCAACGAGGAGGAGCAGAGTTCCTGGCTCGCACATCTGCTGTGCCAGGCTCTTTGGGAAGTGGCTGACACTTGTGGATCTTCGCAGTGCCTGGTGAAGAGCGTCAGTGCTTCAGCTGTGGAGTGGGTTCAGTGTTTGTAACGTGCCTGTGGGCAGAGCTTCTTATTCGTGGCAGGATGTGGACACCAAGTGACAGAGAGTGACACAGACCTCACCTGTGAGTGCCTTTCAGAGCCTTGGATGATGTCTGGTTTCTTCCCAGACTGAATGCTGGTAGAGTGCAGGACAGGCTTCACAGGGAGGTGGGGGGGATTTGGGGGTTTGGTTGGGGGTTTTTAATTTTTTTTTTTATTTTAAGAGTCTAGTCAGCAGGAAAAAGAGCCAGAAACACATCTCAGCAGAGAAAAGCCTCCAACTCCCATATCCAATTGAAGCTGCAGAAAGAATGGAGGTTGGCAGAACATAATTATCTAAACTGGAGTTCAGCCAGGACCCTGGGGCTCAACCCTCCTCCTATTCCTGTGGAAGTGCCACTGGATATTTGATAGCTATATTGGGCCCAGCCACTGGGTTTTATGGATCCCCTGAAAGGCTGGAGTTGCTGGAGCAGCAAACCCCCTGTGTCACAGCTCCTCTGGATTTCCAAACCACAGCTGGTGCACCAGAACTTCCCCTGGAAATGGGGAATATTAAGTGATCAACAACAAGTGTAAATTAGGGTGGTGAAAGGGAGAGACCTCTTACTGGAGTCCTTTAAATCCCCATCCAGGTGCTGCCAGCTGAGACCCTGCTCCTTCCCACGTGGAATCTGGCAGGATCACAGGCTCTGCTCAGATCTGCCTTTTTTGATCCACATTTCCCCTGAACCCCCCCAGAGCACGGGGGGAATGAGAGACACGCCAGTTACTCCACACCTGAGGATTTTGCTGGTGCAAAAATCCCCAAATCCCCGCTCTTTTGGCCTCATCCAGGCTCCTCAGCACGGCGTGGCGAGGTTTGGGAAGCTCCTGTTTTTGCCAGGGCATGAAGAAGAGTGCTGGATTCGCTCCTGTGAGCGTGTAACAAGCCCTGCCTTGTTCCCTGCTGGTGTCATCAGCAGGATGGGGCTCTCTGGCTGCCCTGGAATGGCGTGGGAGGGATGTCCTGGCGGGCTCTGCCCAGCTGCTGTCAGCAAATACGGTCCTGCAGGGGGCTGGTCAGATGTCTGTGTGTCACTGCTTTGTCCCAGCGACCAGAACATGCCAGAAAAAGTTCTTTCTTCTGATTCTTTGGCATAAATATTTCCCAGTCCATGCACTCGGAGCGGGGGCCACGTGAGTGGAAGGGCTGTATTAATTATTATGAAACAGCTCTGAGAAACAAATGCAGGTTGCCATGGAAGCACCAGCAGCGACAATGTCACCTCATTTTTAAGATGCTTTCGATGTTCCAAACGCGATTTCCCTCTTTTCCAAAGCAGACAGTGGGAAAATCTCCCGGTGGAGGGGAGATGGGGCCGTGCCCGTGGGCTGTGCCAAACTTGATGCCCCCTTATCACAGCTGAGAGACCAACTTCATGCCTAAGCCACGGAGAAAGGGCACAGAGGGGGCTGCAGGTGGAGAAGTTGACCCAGGAGGCAAAGGAAGGCAGGGGCTGGAGATCAGGGAACAGGCTGTTCCTTCCCCATCCAGAGATGGAAGGGCTGGGAGATCCACAGGGCAGCGAGTCTGGTGACCCCTGGTCCTTGGGAGGTTTGGGGGGTACCAGGAGAAGAGTTAAACATTGAAGAGGGGACAGAGGAAGCTGTCCCTGAGGATTTGACTGGAATAAATCGAGCTCTTCCGTGAGAGAGGAAACGGGCAAGCAGTAACGCTGGGAATTGGCAATGCTGATTTAATGAATGCAAAAATTTAAATTGTCGCAGAGCAGTGAAAAACTACAATAATAAATGCCTGGAAGCTGAGTTCTCCCTGCCCCTCTCAGTCATCTATGCAAAGCAAAAGGTGACCTTTTAACCCACTTTATTTTAAGGAACCTTTTGTTGCCTGACTTGCCCCAGAAACTTGTAGTTTTAGAGCCTGTAGCCAGTAGTGGTAAATCTAAAGGAATAATCAGCTGTAGCCACAGGTTGACTTGTCTGACCTCAGATATCCCATCTGGAGGCTGCAGGCACAGAGGGGATTGTGTCCCTCTGGTTTTCACCCAAACCTGGAGAGGGGCTACTCCAACATCCATGACTGGCCTTAAAATCTCTCTTGGACTAACAAGGAATACTCCAACCCACCCAGTGTTTGAAAAACACAACCTTAAACAGAGTTACTAATTAAAAAAGAAAAAAGCATTTTAACCAATAAACTAATGACACAACTGAGCCTTAGGCCAAAACAAAAAAGTCAAGACATAAACCTCTGCAATGCTTTCCAGTGCCCTTGGATGCCCACGTGCCCACTGCAGTATCCCAGCTGTCAAATGAAGTGATGGTGGGTTTGATTCCTGGCTGAAAGGCATCAGGAAGAGCATTTGGGCTTATTAAAAGCATCCATCAGCCCACTTAACCACTCCAGTGCCAACCCAAACCTGCCTGGGTCATGCCCTGCCCGGTGGACTCTGCCCCTCTGCAGTGGCAGGAGGGTGGGAAGGACATTTGGACGTGCCAGGAAGCAGAGGAAGACACACAGAGGCTTTGGAGTTCTCTTTGTAAAGGAAAGGGGAAGCAAAAAGAAAAGTAGAAAATTGATTTCTCAAAGGTTTGGCCCTGCCAAGCCTGAGCCTCCATCCAAGAGAGAGCTGTGACACTGCTCGCTGTGAACAAGCTTTGTTTGCATCAGTACCTGGGCTGTTGGTGAGATGGTTTCAAGGAGTCCCTGGCACTGCTGAGATAATGAATATTTGGAGGAGAGAGAGAGATTTGGGGACTTTTTTTTTTTTTTTTTTAAATCCCAAGCAACACAAGGCCCGCTGTTCATTTCAAGAAATGAGCAGTTTGCAGGGAAACCGCTGGTTCACAGGGTTGCAGCTGCAATCCTGAGCTATGGGACCAAAAAAGCCAAGGACTCACATCCCAAAGAGAGGAATTTGTCACAGCTCAGTGCTAACCCTCATCAGCAACCTCTGCTTAACATATGTTATCAACACAGAGGACAATTAGAGCCACAGAACCAATTAAGGCTGGAAAAGATCTCCAAGATCATCGAGCCCCACCATCACAGCAATATTTTAAGTTCAAACACAGCAAGGTTAAAATAATGGCAAGAATTCCTCCCAAGTAAAACAAGAATTTGCTGGGTTTTCTCATCACCACCACAAAAAGCTTTTGTCTTTGCAGAACTGACCAAAGCCTTGCAGTTGAGGACACTGGTTTTCCCTCTGGAAAGGGAGTAAGAGGGCTCACAGCTGAGACGATGACCAGATGTCTGATACCTGAAACAGCCACGGGGCTCTGCAGGAATCACCTGAAACCTTGCCTGGCTGCAGCTCCACAGACCATCAGCTCATCCTCCTCCTCTCACACCCCAGATCTTCCCCTCCCATCCCTCAGCTTCCCTCTCCAGGGTCTGTTCACGCTCCCTTTTCTGCTTCATTCCCAAATCCAATACCAAGTTTAGTGCCAGAATAGTGGAGTGCAAGGCAGGCAGTGATGGTTGCCCGTGCTCACATCCTGCAGAGGGGCATCCTCACACCCCCTCAACTGCAGGGAGATTTAAAAGCTCCCCAGCAGCCCCTCACAAGCAATTTTACTGCTTTTGGCAGCTGGGCTTGGAGGCTCTGGGGTGAAAACCTCTCTTCCAGAGTGATGAAGGTGGCAACCTCCTCATCCTAGAGAGCAAATGTCAGCCTGAGGCTCAGGAAAGGGAGGGGGGAAAAAAAAACCCCAAAGGGCACACAGATGGTCAAAAACTGATGGAGAGCACAACTGCCTGGCAGTGAGCCTGTGGGTGTTAATCTGAAAACAATTGTTCTACAGATGCTCAGCTCTTCTGATAAACCAAGTTCCAGCAGCTAATGACAAGTTGGGAGCTGTTTAACTACACAGCAGACAAAACAGATTTTCCACTGCGTTCCTGATGGAATTTTTGAAAATAATAATGAGTTGAGGTTTGTGTTTGTTTGGTTTGGTTTGGGGTGGTCTTTTGTCTTTAAAAAAAAAAAAAAAATAAAAAGCCTCCTTTCATTTGCATTTAAAAACTGGTTTTGTGTTCCCTACCCCTTCCATCCCCAACCTTCCTGCACAGCAGCTGCTGAGAAGTCCAGCCCCGTGTCCGGGTGCTGTTCAAGGTTGCTGTGCCAGCAGTGAGCAGTTTTTGACAGCCTGAGCAGTCAATGCCTTTTCTGTCTGGTCCCCTGTTGCTGGCAGTGCCTGTGATGCTGTAATCAAGCCTGTGCCCAGAGCCAGGCTGGGCTGGGTGCAGGGATGGATGATCCACGGGGGAAGCAGCTGAGCTGCCGACTGAGCCAGCCCCCTCCACCCTGCAGTGAGGAGAGTGCTGTGGCCTGAGAGAAAATGTCATGAAAGGCTGTACCTTGAACTCCTGCCACCGCTAATTAACCACATAATGTCTCTCTTACACGGTGCTCTCCATCAGCTCGTTTGTCTTGTTCTCTTCACTTGGCAGATGGAGGAGGTGAAACTCAGAGGGCATCATTTGTGGTCCATGGAGCCCATCAGCACAAGCCAAAATAAACCAGATTTCCCCCACGTGCCAGGCCAGTGCACTAACCACGAGGCAACACTGCCTCCATCCTGTTCTCCCTCTAAAATTTGATAAAATTAGCCTTATTTCTCCCTTTGATTCTTCTTCAGGTGGCAGAGTGCTACACTCACCTGACTCCCAAATGATTCCCCCAACCCACCCCAAAACTTTGGGCCTCTTGCTCTGTCAAAGAGCACAACGCTTGGGGTAAATAAGCAACACAGCACTAGCAGAGCCACAGTGGCTGTTTTTGATGCTCCTGTGACAAGAATGGAACGGGCAGCTGGGGCTGAAATGGTTTGTCCCGGTGTCAGGATTGCTGCTGATGAGAACACCCTTGAGGCAGAGGGTCTGTCCTCGCCGTGACAATGCTCTGAATTCCTCCTCGCTCACACCAGACACAGCCAGAGCGTGGATTTCTCAGTGGGACGATGCTGGGCTGGAGGAGAATCCCAATATCCCGGACGTTTCTCCCAGCATGGCACGCTCCTCCCACCTGGAAGTTGCAGGGAGAGTTCCCAGGACATGATGCAACAGCAGCTCAGGTTTCTCACCACCATCCCTCGTCAGCAGCTGGAGAAAAGGAACAATGACCAAAAAAAATGCCCTTAAGGGTATTTGCTTCCCAAAGGAATGCACTTAACTGCTCTGGGAAGCTCAGGATGTTATTAAAGGATGGGGGGAGGGAGGGAGCACTTGTCAGCCCTAAGTGAAATTGATAAAAAAGATGTTTTATGCAACAGGCTGTATTTAAATCTAAGGGACAATTTAAGCTGCTTTGTGGGTAATAGCATCTCTTTGATTGAGAGGTCGTGTTTTAAATATGGAATTAGTGAAAGTGAGCGTGTTGGTGACCCTGTTTCCAGGGAAGGCACTGCTGTGCATGTTGCAGTGAGCAATGGGACTTGAGGCACAGTGGAGAGACTTTAACCCCTTCAGTGGTTTTTCTCAGGTTAAGGACAAGCTCCTCAGCTCTTTTCCATCCCATCAGAGGTCTGGGTTTGCTCCCTGACCCCAGTGTGGTGCCTGTGCTCAGTCGGGAGCACCAGACTGGAAAGGGGAAGTGCAAGTGCAGGTTTGAAAGGGCTGACAGCAGAGAAACATCCCCGTCAGCCTGGATCCCAAACCTCTCCCGGTTAATTGCCTTCTTCCTGTGCACCATCAGCCTCTGTTTGAGGCAACCATCACATTCGTTATCGTTCCAGCTCCGAGCTGTCATCCAGCCTTACAGCTCCCTGCCACACTCCACCCCGGATCTTGGCTCCTTTTCAGGGCTCCCTTGATGCAGTTTGGCATCTCTCTGGGTGAGAAGTGCTACTGCTGCCACCTTCCCCTGTCAACATCCCTTTCTTGCAGTGCCCCTTCTGCCTTGGCACTCGATGCCATCAACTCAGTAATTAGCACCGTGTTATAATTGAATTGTCAAAAGGAGCTTGGATCAGAGCTGAGTGAGTTGTCGGGGTTACTGCTGCCTCCTTTGGTCTTTCCTCATCTTTTTTATGTCTTTTCTTCATCACTTCATCATTCATTAGTCATGATCACGTGTCAGGATTAGATGGGAGCGTTTTGGGGCAGGCTCTGTGTCCCCTGCAGCCCACAAACCTAACCCAGGGCTGCTGGCCTGGTCCCTTCCCCATCCCTTGCAGCCTCTCTCTCCCTTCCATGTTGTTGTGTTCCATTCCCAAAGTGACTGAGGGGGATGTTTCAGGTGGCAGCAGATGGGCAGGGGTTTGTCCTGCCCAGCCAGGTAGAACCAGATGCTACAAACGCAGCTGGGAAGTGTTCTGGGAAGCACCTGAAGCACTGCTGAAAAGGGCTTGAACAAGCACTTTGCTCCAAAGTTCCCCAGGGGGACAGTGCTGCTGCTCAGCAGCAGGACTGCAGGGTGTGGAGGAGAAGAAGCTGCATCAGGACCCACAAGCTGGAGGGATCGGGGCACTCAGCTGCAAAGATGGCTCAGGGACGGCTGCTTTGCACCTCAGCAAAGTTTTCCACCAAAGCTGGGCTCTCCTGAAAGGATTAGTCTGACTTCCTAGAGGATTTACTGAGAGAGGATCTGTGGAAGGCAGGAAGGCCCAAGGGCAAGAGCAAGGGATGTGATCCAGGAGGTCTGTGCTGGTGGCTGGCAGGCCAGGACAAGTCCCTTCAGTGCTCCTGTCTCCACAGGCAGCTGCTCAGTGCCCCAGGGAAGCTGTGAGGAAAGGGATGCAGTCACACTCAGCTGTCCAAGCCCCTACAACCCTCTCAGCTGCTGGATTTCTTCCCTCATTAAAAATTAAACCACCCAGCCCCGCGTGTTTCAAAGCCCTTCCTGTTCTTGGATTCACCGACTCACCTGTCCCTGCACTGCCGTTCACCCAGCAAGGGTTTGCTCAGGGTGGCAGGAAGAGTGAGCTGCTAAATGTCTGGAGGACAAGAGAGCGCTGAGAATAATCAATATTTGATGATCCCTTCCCAGGCAGCCCGGAGGGAGATGCACCGCCCGACCTGCAGCCCCTGGCAAAGGGAAACGCCACCTTTGGGAACAACCAAACCCCGTGGGGCTTTGGCAAAAGGGAGTCAGGCACTCCTGTCACCTGCTGGGCAGCTCAGGCTTCCTCCAGAATGCTGATTGAACAGTGAAGATGTTTTCTCCTGAGACAGAGGGACTTGCTTTGGTTTCCATGTGGCACCAGCGAAAGGAACTCCCTCCTTCCTGGATGGGAAAACCCACCAGGACCCCCATCCCCAGGGTCAGCAGGGAAATGGAGATCCCCTAGTGTGGCTGCATGACTTTGGGGGTTTCTCCACTGCCTGGGGGCTCCAGGGTGTGACTTGTGCTCAGCACTTTGGCCACTGTAGCTGTGGGGTGAACATTTCATGTCCTGCTCCAGCTGAGGGACTGGTTCCCAGCAGCACCTGAGGCAGTCAAACATTTGGGGGATAAAGTGACCACCTGCAACCCAGAGCTGGTGGCCAGAGAGAGAGGGCAGAGCCAGGGCACAGCTCCACACCAGTTCTCTCCTCTCCAAGTGCCACCAAGCACCCTACCAGGTGCCTTCCCTGCACATCCCACCACATCCCAGTTTCCACGTGGTTAATTGAAACCTCTTGTTGCTATGGGACTGACATCTCCTTCCCTCTCCCTCGGCTCTCACCTCGTTTGTTTGTTTGTTTTCCAGGTATCTGCTCTCCGTTCTTTTATTTTCCCTGCTCAGAAAAGCTGGAACTGGGGAGGGAGGTGGGAAGGGGGAGCTGGAGCTTGTAAAGAGGAAATAATGGACTTTTGCAAACACGCAGGCAGCTTTTGCATATGGTACAGCAGAAATAATCTGCTTTTGGTGGATCAGGAACACGCAATCGGACCGAGGCTGCCGGAGGAACTTCCCACAAGAGAGGCAGCAGAAGGGAACTGGGTTTTTTTGGGTGGGGGGACAGGACCAGAGGGTTCACATTAGTCCATCCCTGTTCTCTCAGGCATCCCTGGACATCCAAGTCAGGCAGCCTGAGCCAGCATTTGGCACGAGCCAGTCCCGGCTCAACCCCCAGATCTGTGGTTGGGGTGGTCACGCACTCCTCGGGTGAGATTATTATTGTTGTCTGTCCTGGAAACAGCACCAGAAATAGCAGCAGGGCTTAACACAGGCAGCCACTGCCCCAAACTGCTCCCAGTGTGGGAGAGGCAGTCCCTGGAGAACCAGGACCTGTCCCAGGGTGGCAAATCCCCCAGGGCTGCAGGGACCAGGCTGAGCCCCGGGATGGGACTCACACAGGGCGGCTGCTGCCTCAGTGTGGTGCTCAAAGCTGCAAAGGGCACCAGTCTGGCTTCCTTTGGGGTTAGTAAAGCTCCTGTTGATCCCAGGGCTGGAGGAAAAGGCCTGGAGTATCCAGCTGGATCATTGTGGCAGAGGCAGAGCAGGGACCCCTCCCTGTGCCAAAGATGCTCGTGAGGAACTCGATAATCCCTGCCCTGGGGAGGTGGTTGTTGTAACACCTCTCTTTGCTCAAGGACAGTTCTCTTCCTCCTTTTAAGTTATTAACATGGAATTATCAATGCCCCTCATCTGGTTTGTTGTTATCTCCTAGCAGGGTTCACAGCACGTGGATTTCCAAAGGATTCAGTACAAACAGGAGCAGATTGATGCCCAGCACTGAGGCAGAGGAGGAATCAGCACCATCTGAGGCACAGGGATAAGGATGGTGGGGGTACCAGCAGCCCTTGGAGGGGCAGTTCAGGGGCATGGGTGGATGTGTAGCTCTGACACACAGTCAGGAGACCAGCAGCTGCAGGAAAAGGAGGATGGGTTCGGGACAAACTGATTATCTGACACACCTAGCATGGAACAGCCTGAAACCCAGTGTGCAGCCAGATCGGTGAATTAAAGGTCAGGGGAGGAGTTTGGGATTGCCACTCTGAGTTCCTGAACAGCAGAAGCCACAGGACTTAATTCTCCCTTTCAAGCAAGGCATCCAGGCTCAGCTTAAATATTTCCACTGCTGGGGGATCCAACCCAATTCTTGATAAATTGCTCCAATTACCCTCATTCCTGAAAACCTCAGTCTACTCTGAGTTGAATTTATCCTGCTTCATCCTTCAGTAATTGGATGTGATCTTTGTCTCCCAGGTTGCAGAGCCTCTTTTTGGTCAAGCAGCTGCTCCTGTGATGCTGTATTTTGGATATGCAGTGGATGGATTTGCTGTTGGCCAAGTCCATGGAGCTGCCTCCCATCACTGGCTCTGCTTGAGGGTGAGAGAAGAAGAGAACGAGGTTCCTCATCACCACTGAGTGCTGCACCCTCACACAGCCACCTCAAACTGCTTTAAAATAAAAATTATTTTGCTTTGCAAAAAAGAGAAGCCACCAAAAGCCAAGACTGCCAGAGAAGGGTTCAGTGACCAAGTTTTAGAGTGGTCATTGCCTGCCCTTCTCTCTGTGGTCAGCTGAGACCTGAGCACTCAGCTCTGGGAGGGCTCCTCAGCCACGTGAGCAGATTCCAGGATTACTATTAAAAGCTCAAAACCCCAGAGTCAGCTCCTCCCCCAAGTCTAAAGACTAAAAAAGAAAAAAAAAAGGAAAAAAAAGTCCAATTTCTCTGCTTGATATCTGGGTTTTTGAATTTCTGCTCTTCATATTTTCAACCACAAAAATCCAGAAGCCTCATGTTTTAATGGAAAGGGAGACTCGTAATCTGATAGGTATAAAAACGACGAGGCTCGTCCGAGCAGGCCATTCCAACAGCTTAAAGCACACCCAGAGCAAAACCAGGAATAAAACGTGACCCCTGCTCTCTGGATGCACTCAGCATGAAATGTTTACTTCCTATTTTAGCCTGCTGGCAATCCTTCACTGCCACAGCCCTGCCTGCCTCTTCTTCACGGGAAGGATGTTGTGTTTGGGGAAGAAATCCCCGAGGAAGTCGTGGCTGGATGGATGGTTGGTTGAACCTCACCAAGAGATGTCCCAGCTAGGAGGAACAACCTCAGCACACAAAGAAAACAACAATCCAGACTGCAGGGTAAGGAGATTAGAAGGATTAAACACGATGGAGAGAGATGTTTACAATTATTATTAGCTTCAAAATCTGCCCAGCCAGAAAACAGCGAGGCACTGCCCATCTGTTGTTTTAGGTCTGCAGGGCCCCGGTGGTTTTGCTCCTGCCTGCACCTTAAATGTGATATTCTGGTGCAACCTGAATGTAAAGCAACACCAGCCACAGCAAAACCTGACCCTGGTGATGCAGTGCTGGAGGGAGTGGAGTGGAGCTGCCTGGCTGGGGAAGAAGGGCCCTAAAACAAACAAACAAACAAGCTTGCAAAGAGAGAAATAGCTTCAGAAATGCAGTAATGTAACAGGAGAGAGGAGACAGCACTGCTGGGCAAGGAAAACAGGCAGCCCAGAGGGTTTTCTTAAGGAGAACACTGAAAAATGGTTAGAATTAAGAGCACATTTAATTGAGCTGAGTGGTGATATTACACCAGGAGGTCACGGCTCTTCACACAGGTCAAATTGACTCCCTTGGCATCTGTGTCATAAATTCCCTCATCCACATCTGCTCCCTTCTGACGGGGAAATGTTGCTCAGGGCTGCCACAGCAGCCGAGGATGGGAGAGGAGAGGGATGGAGAATCTGCCAGGAGCTTCCTTTAGGGGATGGGAAGAGGATGAAACCTTTTTCAAAGGAAATACAGGAAAATCAAGAGATGGACTTTGCAGGCTCTTTCCAAAATAATTCTCACCTCAGCAGTGAGACTGTTTTGAAGGGGAAATATTGCCTCTGAAAGGGAAGGATGCTGGGCTCAGTGCAGTCTCAGAGGGTTGTTTGTGTGGGGGGTTATGTGTCTAAACCACTCCTGCCTCACAAACTCACTGTTTTTCATCTCACAATATTCAACTCTTTCAAAACACATTGACACTTCGGGGGATGAGAGCACGAGCAGCCCAAAATCCCAACAGTCCAGGATGTCCCTGCAAATCTCCCCCCTCTGGGGTTGAACAGGGGGAGAAATTTCAGCTGGAAAGGAGGGGGGACTGTCAGTGCAGAGATGAGTTTTTTGGATGCTGGTTTTTTTTTTTCCCCTCTCCAAGCAGAACATTTCAAAGAGTTGTCTCAAAACAGAACGTTTTGTTTTGTTTTGCTCCTGGTGAATAATTTAAGAGGTTTAAAAAGCTGAAATAGCCCTAAGACAAGACCGTTCTAAGATGACTGTTGTCTTTTTCTCTCTCCCAGAAGTCACTGAAAACCTTGAGTGAACCTTGAGTACATCGGGAAGTGGGTCTGATGCTTGGGCTCAGTCTGACCTGGAAAGCTGCTCCTGGTGTGAAATAACCACAGGCTTGACAGGTGGAAGCAAAATGAGCAGTTCAAGTGACAAGGGCAAGATCACCTTGCAGGTGAGGGGCAGAGATGGAAATACATCCCTGTCTTCTGTCCTGGCTCTCTGCTGAGCCCTTTCTCTCTTTAATCACACCACCACAAAGGTTGTCTCTGTGGCAAGGCCAAAACCAGCCTCGCTGCTGATTGCAGGGAGATGTCACCAGCCCACAGGACCAGGGGGTGCTTTCAGCAGCTGTAAATCAGCACAGCACCACTCTCCCTCCCCCAGAACTCTGCTGATTTATGTTGGCCTCACAGAGGTCCCTGGTAAGACATGTGCTGGTGGATTAAAAGCAGCCTGCTGGTTATCCCTGTCCTGTTGATGGATGTGGCACCCCCGAGGCAGGGATGTGTCATCTGCAGCAGCTCAGGGGCAGATCCCTCAGGAGCTGCTGCACAGGGGGCTGTGATGGGTTTGGTGAGTGGCAGTGCTGGCACAGGGGCACGTTTGGGTGCCCTGGCAGCTCCAGGTGCCCAGTTTTAACTGTGGAAGAAAGGGACCTTTCCTGCTCAGGGCACGGAGAGGGGCTGTGGGTGACACAGGAGCTGAGGAAGGTTGAGGAAGGAGCATTTACTGAAGCTGCAAGGGGCAGCCTGGTACTGCAAAGGATGTTTATTTTCCCAGATCGAGTTGAAAACTCGCAGCAACTTCCTGCAGTTCATGGAATTAAATACTTGGACCAGGCTCAGAAACACCAGACTGAGAAGAAACATTTACAGCAAAGGTCAGCCACGACTATTTACAAGGGGTGTACACATGACACAGTAGAACTTGCTCTGAAAATAAACCCCCAGCCCCTCTCCCACCAGGTCCCATTTTGATGCTGGATTGCTTGGAAATTGTCCTGCTAAAAACTTTCTCGACACCAAAACGCTCTGCCAAAATGTTTCAATCGCCCTGGAACAGCATTTCCCACTGGAAACCTCTTTGGTTTAAGTATTTCCTTGTCTCTGCTGATGCTTCCTGGGCTCGTGCCCTGCTCCAGGATTGCTCTCTCTGTGACCAGCATGTGACAAGGCTTAAATAAGTAATGATTTGTAACGTGCTTTGATACCCTCTGATAAAAGATGCCCAGAACACTGTGGGTTACAGCACCGTGATTTCTCTCCCTGTTTCTTCAGAATGCATTAAATGTGTGGGTGCTCCAGTTATTTCCTCTAACAGTTGATATTTTAACCTGCTGTATTTTTATCTTGGCTGCATTATATAAGAAGTTATGCTGGTGTCAATCTGGAAGCTCCAGCACTGTCAGTAAAGCTAATCCAGTTTAACACAAGCCTTAGATGAGGGTTGAACTCCTTGTGATAAAAAAGCAGAATTAACCCAAATAAATGACTGGACTCCTCAAAGAGTACCCTTTGGTTTTCCAATTAATTGGAAAATTAATTCCAATCAGCACGAGGGAATTTTCACTCTCTGCCACATCCTTGGTGTATGCCAGGAGAGTTTGCACCCTGTGGTTTAGCCTCCCAAAAACTTGGAACTGGTGAAGCCACTGGAGATGCCACATGAGGAATAACGTGACCCTGGATGGGAAAGGACCACTCCAGCCTCTCCTGAAGCTGCTCCCAGCCACAGGTGAGGTGGAGCTGGAAGGGATGCCCAGGATATCTGCTCCCCCAACTGCTGCCTGCTGGGTCGGGATTGCTTCCCAGCATCCCAGGGCACACTCAGCTCAGCCCGGGCTGGGCTGGGCCATCCCCTGGAGAGCCGGGAACAGCGTGCTGGGTGTGCAGACTGTGTTTGCAGAGGGAGGGAAAGCGAGTCTGCAGGGAAACAAACCACAAACACACACTGGGAACAAGCACAGCTTCTAATTTCCCTGGACGGCAGCAGTGCTGATGTGGATTTTCCATCCCTCCAGTCACACTCAGCTCCTCAGTTCGGTTCCCTCCGGTCACAAGAGCCTTTCTTCCCTCCGAGGAAGGGGCTGTGGCTCAGTGACAGGGTGTACAAGGCACCTCCTGCCTCCACCAGCAGCAGAGCAGGGAGGGAGGTTGTTTTTCTCGTGAGCTCCTGCCTCATTTACAATTTGCTGCCAGGGCAAAACACGAGAGCTCCTTTGGCGTCAGATTTTTGGAGACTGGTGCTGGCCATAGAGAGCAGCTGTGCTGTGGGTTTTCCTCTGCAGGACACTGTTCAGACCAAAAAATGTGTAGATCTCCCAAGAAGAGTGAGATTTACCTCTTGGTACCCAGGAGTCTGCAGAGCTGGGCTAATTAATATATGAAATTTTAAGAGACGTTAAACCTTACGCTTTCAAGTTTAAGCCAGGCTTTAACTGCTAAGGATTAGGAGATGATCTGCCCCACCCTCTGTAGTGTCTGGCACTGAGCATCCCTGGGAGCAGGATGCTGTGCAGGTGGTGCTGTGCTGGCCCCCCAGCCCCAGCGTCCCCGCTGCATGTTCAGCTCAGTCCTGCCCTGTCCCTGCAGCTGATGGGACACACTGACCAGGCTGATGGGCTTTGATTGTAATTAAGTAGCTCCTGCTCGTTGCCCTGGGCCTGTTTTCCATCAGCTCAGCCTGCACAGCCTGGCTGTGCCCGTGATCCAGGCGAAAGCAGCTGGGCTGTGGGGTGGGGGAGAAACACGAGTGTGCTATGAGAGGTCACAAAAACCAGAAACTTCGGGCCGTGGTGTTTTGGGGGAGCAGGAGAGGATGGTTTTAGTACCAGGGATGGTACTCAGTGTGTTCATTTGGCATCACTGCTGCCCCTCTGTGTGGGGGGGGCTGTACAGGGGGGCAGCAGCTGGGGCTTTGCTCTTGGGGTTTGTATGGGAAAAACCTCAGGAGAGCGGCACAGCCCCACCCTGGGGTTCACAGCACCCACCTGGCTGCAGGTAAAATGAGTGTTTCCTGTCAAACTTTGTTTCCCACCTCCAGCCTGGTGCTGCTTCCTAAACCAGCACCAATCCTGGGCATCCTGGCATCAGGGTGATGCTGGAGCTGATCCCATCTCCAGAGAGCCCCTTGCAACAGGTGACACCACAACTGCTGTGATGGGGCAGGGAACACACACCCTGCAACCAACAGCAGCTCCTGGCCCAGTCCTGGTACAGCCAGATGCTTATTTCTGCAATATTTGATGCTATCATATTTATAATGCCCTTTCTCCATAGATCCCCAAAGCATGTTAATCGACTCATTAACAAATTGTTAATGACTGTGGTAATTGAAGTCCTAAGCATGCCTATAAATTAGATTTACTGACAGGGTCTGAGGCCTGGGTTGGTTACAGCTCAGCCTCGTGGCAGTGGGGTGAGCTGAGGTGATTCCTGAGCTGGGCAGCTGATGGGGGGAGAGGCTCAGGATCCTCTGAGGCTCTGCAGGGCCGTGGGAGGACTCGGGGGAGTTCTGTGGTCCTGGAGACAGGGAATGTCCCGCTCGTCAACTCCTCTCTTAATCAGGGCAACTCGCCACGTTACGGCCAACAAATGTCAATGAGAGCACATTTGTAGTTGCTGGTGTTATTTTCTCCTTAATGAAATGTCAAAGGAAGGGGAAAACAGCGGAAAATGTCAGCAATTGGTCTTTTTATCACACAGGCAGTTAGACACGGGCCTTCTCAGCAGAGATGCCAATTTATTAGGAGGCAAACGCGGCTGGGTTTGACAGAGTGGAAGGAGCGCAGATTTCCATTAGTGATCACCTTTTAACCACCCCCAGAGATGTTAATGTGCTATAAATGCACTGTGCTGTAAACATGGAGAGGCAGGGAACGAGCAAAGCCTCGGGAACGTGGGTGTCCACGGCTGGGGGACAGCACAGCTTTGCTGCCTTCAATAATTAAAGCAGGGAGAGAACGAGCACCCACCCTCCCAGCAAAGCTTGTCACTGGACTTACCTGCAGGGCTGCACGTTCATGGTAAAGATTGCTACAAAAAAAACCCCACAGAAGTTTCCCTGAAAAGCTGCATTTCTTTAATTGCGACCCGTGGATGCAAATGCCGTGGCGGGGAAGAAGAGCGAGGAAGAGTGGCGAGGATTTGTTTGTGTTTCCCAGACTAAAGAGACGATGCTGGATGTTGGGAGCAGTGGAGAGGGTGCAGCCCCACTGCTGCAAAACTGGAGCTGCAAACTCGTGTGTGTTCCAGTGACGCTGCAGAGCTGAAAATAACCTTGAGAGGAGAGTCCGTGCGGAGCCGGCAGCTCGGCAGGAGGGTGGACAATTACCGGGAGATGGATGGGTGGTGATGGCCAGGCAGGGAGAGGTGGAGAGGTCAGGCATGTGCTGCTCACCACGAGAGGGAGAAAAACAAGTAGATTTCCTTAAAAAATCGCTGCTCTGCTGCGCTCAGCACTCGGAAATTAATAAATAGGTTGGACTGTGCTTGTCTGGCCTCCAGGACCCACCTGCCCCTGGGCATCTCCTGCAGGAGGAAAGCCTGGTATCCCACTCAGGGAGATGGGTGTGGAGAGGCGATTTTGAGCTCTGCCTTCCTCAGGGGGATGACACTTGTAGTTTTTTACCACCACAAGGGTATTTTAAACTCCAGTGATGACTTTCAGGGAGGCAGCTCAACCCCACGTGCTCAGACTCAAACCAGGCACTAAAGGGGGGATGTACCACTGGCTCCATCCTGCTTTAGACTGGGATTTTGGGGTGAGAAATTCAGCTCAACCCTTCCACCACCTTCTTGTGTCCCATGGAGAGGAACTTGGTGTGGCTCCTGTGCCTCAGGCTCCCGGCTACAAACGTGAGAGGGGAATGCTAAAATTGAACTAAAAAGGGATTTTCAATCACACAAATGTTTCTGTGAATAATAGGCTTTGTGAGGCATTATTCTACAAATCCTAAATATGGGGTTTAACCTCCTCATTATTATCCCTTTAATTTCGGAAAGCCTGTGAAGGCCTTAATCTTCCATTCAATTATGCTCAGGCTGAGTTTAGAGCACGTTGGTGGCCGTGGTGACACGGAGGGGGCGGCGTGTGCTGAGACCAGACCTGATCAAACAGGCTGTTAAAATTTCCTATCGCATTTCCTCGTCCCAGGATGGGGACAGTCGAACACCTCATGGGGCAAACATAACTTTTTTTATTTTTTGGTGTTCAGCAAACTGAGTATGCTGAACTGGGACGATTTGGGTCGTAGGGGTTTCCTGCCCCGAATTTGAGTGGGAAAGGTGGAGCTGCTGCAGAGGAACCAGCGGGAAGGAGCAGCAGGGCTGTGCGAGTGCAGAGGTCGCTGAGCATGGTGTGATATATTTGGCCTCTGGTGATGGAATTTGAGTGGGGAAGGTGGGATCCCCCTGGGAAAGGTGGAATTGCTGCGGAGGAACCAGAGGAAGGAGCAGCAGGGCTGTGCAGAAGTGACTGAGCACGGTGTGATATATATTATTTATATATTTATCACAGTGGCGATGCCGGCTGAAGGCGATCCCCGTGGAGCTGGGACATAGATGTTTGTAGGGCGGCCCTGGGGGGCTCGGGGCGGGGGTCTCCAGTGGGGGAAGCTCCAGTGGGAGCAATCCCGGGGGAGGGACCAGAGGATGTGTGAGGAATCTCAGCATCCCGGCAGACTCGGGGGTGGCGCATCCCTCTGGGGGACCGTGCCGATTTTGGGACGAGGGCGTGGCGGTGGGGGCGTGATCAAGAATGACGCGATAATCCAAAAATTTGCATGTGCCCCGCCCCCGGACGCGGTCAGCGCTGGCGCCGCAGCAAAGTTTGCGGCGGGGCCGGGCCGGGAGGCGCCGGGATGGACGCGCTGAAGTCGGCGGGTCGTGCCCTGCTGCGGAGCCCCAGCGTCCACAAACCCTCCTGGGCCGGCGGCCGGCACAAGAGTGAGACCCGGCGCCCCTCTTTTTACTCCCCCCCCCACCACCCCCCCGTCCAGCGCGCTCTCCCTGCACCCCCCCTCTTGTCCTGCATCCCGCCTTTCTTCCTTCCCGGCTTTATCCCGCTTCTCGTGCCCCTCTGCACCCACTTTCCCTCCCTTCCCCCTCTTTCTCCCTCTTGCGCCCCGTTTTCACGCGGCTTTGCCCCGTCCTCTCTCCCCCCTTTTTCTCACCCCCCCTGTACTCCCTGTTCTGCTTTGCTCCTCTCTGTCTCCCGCACCCCTTTTTTTTTTTTTTTTTTTTTAAACTTTTCTCTTTAGCTCCCTTTTTTGCCCCCGCACTTCGCTCCCCCCCTGCATCTCCTCCCCTGTGCAGCGGCGGGGTCGGATGGGCGATGGGGGTCTGTCCCTGTCCCCTGGTGATGGGTGGGGGTCTGTCCCCGTCCCCCCGTGGTGGGTGGGGGTCTGTCCCCGTCCCCCATCCTGGGACAAGGGCTGGAGCCCGGCGGGCAGTTTCTGACCTCGTCCCGCGGTTGGTTTCCCCACGCGATCGATGGCCCCGTGGCGAGCGGCCACTCGGTCCCTGCCAGGCGCCCTCCTGGCGAAGGGGGGACCGGCCCGGCTGCCCCCCGAGCGGGGCAGCGCCAGGACGGGGAGCTTTGCCCCCGGTTCACCCCTCAGCACCCGCGGCGAGATCAAACTTCTTGCCGTTGGTAATCTGATGGGATTGACCCGGCGTCGTTACACCTGGGATTAAGGATGAGCGGCCGCCAAGTGACACGGAGGGCTGGGGGTGCAGCCGCGGGGCTTGAGGGGTGGGGTGGGATGGGATGGGATGCTGCCCAACCTGCCCCTGGGAGGATGTGCCCCTCGAGATGCCGTGACCTTGAAAACTGCCCACCCCCCCCCGTGCCCTTCGCTGGGTGATGGTTGTGTGCTAACGGGAGGATGGGTGAGGGCAGAGGGTGCAGAACAGGATGTGTGGAGAAGTGTCTCTGTCCTGCCGGGTTGCTCCTTCCTCTCTGAAAGCACTTCAGTGGTTTTGCTTAAACCACCTCTGTTTCCGTCCCGGGCCCGCGGGGGCTGTGGGTGCCCAGGGCCTGGCTGCAGGTGGCATCACCCCAGGCACTGTGGGGTGTTTGGAGCGTCCCTGGGCTCAGTGATAACGGGACCAGTGCCTGGCTGGTGGGGCAGGGAGTGTGGGGCAGGGAGCTGCCTGTCCATGGCACACAAACCATCCTGGAGTGCTCACGGGAGGACAGTGGCAGTTCCCTTTGGCTTTTGAGAAGTCCAGGCTTTGTGCTGGCACCCTCTGGGATACCAGCTTAACACAGCATCCCACCTGTCCTTGTTTTTAACCCCCCTTTCCCTCTCCAGGAGCTGTGTGCTGGGCACAGAAGCCCTGCACTCCCCATGGGACCACTCCCACCTGGATTCCGTCACTCCCGCTCCAGCCGGTGCCGGTGTCTCACCGCCCGGCGCTGGGAGTGGTGCTGGGGTTTATGGCTTATCTCCAGCCCTGCCTCTGCAGGGAGGCTGAGTCACTGGGGGTTCTCCCAGGGGTGTATCCGGGTCCCCCACATCCCTGTAGCCTGCCCCTCCTGCCCTGCAGGCGTGCAGGGAGCTGTGGAGTTTGGCCCCACTGCTTGGAGGAGGCTGAACTCGAGGCAGCAAAGCCTCAGGGACGTGTTTAGCCTCTGGGAGCCCCCTCGCTCCCCAGGGATGTGGTTTGTTGCCTCCTGCTGAAAGCAAAACCCTCCTTAAAACACAAGAGCAGCACATCCTGGGTTGCCAGCTCCATGGCTGCAAGTTGGCTCCTGCGGTGTAATTTCAGGCTTAGAAACACCCACCTGACTTTCCCTTTGGTCCCAAACTTAGCTCTGTGTTTAGAACACTCCTTCCCACCCTCCCTGCACTTAAGGGAAGAGGCCAGTAGTCCCCTTGGCAGCTTCCAGGGGAGAGCAGAGACCTCTCCTTGCCGAGGCTTCACCTGTGTGAGGGCTCCTCAGGGCTGTAGGTGACCGATTTAGCAGGTCACAGCACCTCACCTGGATCCTGGCAGCTGCCTGGGCTTAGCAGTAAATCCTGTCTTAGCCTGAGTGTGTGTGTAGGTGATGGTTTGCACAGGGTAAGGCCACTGCTGTGCGTGGGGTGGCTCTGAGCCCTGCACTGGGCTGGGGCTCAGGATCTCCCCTTGGTTATGGTGTGGGCCTGGCTGCTCACAGTTAAACTAAAAGGTTGCTTCTGTTTGTTGTGGCTTGTGGAAAGCATTTTGGGATTTGTTTTTGCTGTGCTGGAGAGCTGCAGGGGCTGGTGATGAGGTTCCCCACGTGAGCACCTCGTGGGTGCTGCGTGGTTGAAGTGTTCTCTTGCCTCCTCCAAGAGCCAGGCTCTCTGCCCCATCTCCTTCCCTGAGCTCCCAGATGCTCAGGCTTGGGAGTCCAGGCAGCAGCTAAACCAACACCCTGCCTGTGCCTAAACCCTCAGGGATACCCTTGTGTGTTTGGGAATCCAAGAGCCTCTTTGTTGTCTCTCTAGAGCTCCCGGAGAACTGGACTGACACCCGCGAGACGCTGCTGGAGGGGATGCTCTTCAGCCTCAAGTACATGGGGATGACACTGGTGGAGCAGCCCAAGGGAGAGGAGCTCTCTGCAGCTGCTGTCAAAAGGATCGTGGCCACTGTGAGTGTCTGTGTTGGAGCAGAGCCCCATCTCCTGCTCTTCAAACGAACCTGTCACTGGGGAGAGTTCCAAAACCCTCAGGTCTGGAGGCAACTGTGTGCTATGGGGGGGTCAGGATTGCAGGTCCAGCCCCTCCAGGGGCGTGCAGGTGTCTGGTGGTGTGGGTAGAACTGCAGGCAGCGGCACTGGAAAGCCCTTGGGGCCAGCCCTGACCCTGGGATGGGGCAGGCTGTGGGAAGCTGGTGTTAAGTGTCTGAGCTCTGGATCCCCTTGATAAGCCTGGGTGACCCTGGGTGTGTGAGAAGCCTCTGACCTGGTGCAATCAGCCTGCCCTGGCGCTGTGTCTCCTCTCACAAGGCAGGGACAGCGTTTGGAGCGTGGCCAGCGCAGTTCTGGCTTTTCCTTCCCAGGATTGGGAGGGTTAAGAGAGGAAGGGAGCAGGGCAGGTTGCTCCAACTCCCAGCCAGAGCAGCCGCTGTCCCACCGTAACCTCCGAGGCAAGAGGGCCTGGTTTTCAGCCACCCTCCAGCACTGAGCCCCCAGCTCCCAGTGAAATCCACACTTCTTTAAGCCCTTATAAAACTGGAGGAGGCAAAGCCCCAGCTGTGCCATGAGCTGTTGTAAAGCTCAGTGGGGTGGTGCTGGATCCTTCCCTGGCATGTGCCGAGCCGGACGGAGGGAAGCGCTCGCGTGAAGCGCGAGCTGCTGGCAGAGCCCTCCACATCTGCTCTGATCCACTGGGAACTGAGCCTGTAAATAAAGCCCTGGGGCTGAGGCAGCCTCAGAGGGGCAGGACTGGCCGCTCTGGATGTGGCTCATGAGGCCACCAGGGAGCAGGGCTGAGGATCCAGCTCTGCAGTCTGGAGCTGGCTGGACGTGTACTCTTTCTTTTGGAGGCAGGCTGGGCAGTGAGCTGAGTGTAACCTGAAGGCTGAAAGCATGAGACTAGTAAATAAGAGAAAGTGGCACATGAAAGTCAAGTTACTTTTTAAGCTGGCATCGTGACCTCGCACAAGGGATGCTTTGCCGCGGGAGCAGGGCCCAGCAGCACAGCTTGGAGCCAGCTCCTTGGGAGCCCACTTTGTCCAGGACCATCCTGCTCCCAGCACAGCTCCCTCACTCGTGCTGGTGTCCCCTCTGCTCTAGAACTGGCCCTAAAGGCAAAACTCCCCAGAGTTTCCCCAGGAGCTCACACGGCTCGGCCAGAGCAGCCGCCAGTTCGTGCCGGTGGCCACGGGGAAATCCCTGTGGAGGTGCTGGGCTGGAAGTGCCTGTGCACAGCATGGAGTGGGCGGTGTGTGCCCTTGTCTCGTTGGTGCCAGTGAAAATCATGGCTTCAGGGCAGGAAAAGTTTTAACAAGTGCTTTATCACACCTGGTAGTAAAATCAGTCTCTAGGGGTAACGAGTGATATTAATGTGAGTCTCTGGAGTCTCTGCTCACGTGCCTTTGGAGGCATCAGCCTTAAAAGCCTGGAACTTCCCCCCTCCCTCTTTCCCTTCCAAAGGCAAAAGCAAGTGGAAAGAAGCTGCAGAAAGTGACTCTGAAAGTGTCTCCCCGGGGGATCGTGTTGAACGACAGCAGCACGAACGAGCTGATCGAGAACATCTCCATATACAGGTGGGTTTTGGGGTGCCCTCCGTGGGGGTTTGTGCCAGAGCTGCTCCTCTGCTCCATCCCCACCTGGTCTGAGCTGCTGCCTCACTGGCCACCACGTCTGGGTGGAAAGCAAAGCTGGGAGAAGGAGGGTGGGTGATAAATTTAAGGTAGATTTACGTGGGGTGTGATGTGTCCTGCTGGGGGTAAGGAAAGAGGTGACGAGCCTGGAGGTGTGGGGTGTGTGCAAAAACCTGCAGGCCCACAGCCAAGCACTGCGTGGCCACGTGTGGCTTTGCTGCCTGTTTGTGGCAGCAGAAATGCCAAAGCATCTGGGGTGAGGGCACCATAGAGGGTGGTCAGAGCACCCCTGAGCTGGGGCTGCATCCCCTCACTGCCTGCTCTGTGTCTCTGTTGTGTTTCAAAGGCTCTGACAGGGAGCAGGGCTGGGGCAGCTGCTGGGACACGGTAGCAGGATGGGGAGGGCAAGGGTGGGTTATCCCATACCCCCTCCTCTGGCTTTTGGGAGATACTTCTTTTGGAAGCATTTTCTTCCAGAGTGGCAGGAGGTGGGCACAGGCCTGGTGGAGCAGAGCTCAGTTTGAATCTGGCCTTTTCCATCTCCTTCATCCCTTTTCCCTCTGCATCTCCCCTCCCACTCTGCTTCTGTCCTTCACCTGCTGCTCTGTGCTAGACCTGGGGAGTGGGAGCAGGGGCTCGGGGTTCTCTCTGACCACACCACTAACCCACCTGCTCTTCTCCAGTTCCACAGCCCAGCAGTCACACACAGCCAGGGGTGCAGAGCCCAGCCCTGCCCAGGACATAAACCTGCTGCTAAAGCAGAGCTGGGCAAAGCAGCCGTGCCAAAATGGGGATCCCTGCGCTGGGGGAAGAGCAGGCAGAGCTGTGGGATCAGGGATTTTAGATGCTGCCTTAAATTCTCCCCAGGCACTTTAACAGCTGTCGATAAAGCTGTTCCTGTCAGCACCAGAGTGTGAGCAGCCCCTGATTCATTGACTGAAGCCAGCCCATCCCAGACAGGCTGTTTTGGGGGCTGTCACTGCTCCCCAGGGATGCTGGTGCTGGGGGTTACTGGTGACAGGTGGGATCTGTGTGCATGGGGGGATCTTCTACCCACTCTGGGAGTGTGTCCCACCAGTGGCAGGCCCAGGGCTTTGTTCTGACACCTCTGCTGTCTTCTCCTTGGCTTCTCTGTCCACTGGGATGGCTCTGAGCTCTTCCCTGGATCACGAGCTGGGGCAGGATGGGGTGGCCGTGGGTAAAACGCAGCCACTGTCACTGGATGTGCTGCTGCCAGAGGCTAAAACTGGCTCACTTCAGGGGCAGGTGTGAGTTATCCTGTCCCTGGAAATTAATGACCATCCAGCATTGAGCCAGGGGGTGCTGGAAGGGCCATGTGCCAGCTCAGATGACTTGGCTTGGCTTTGTCATGATTATTAAAGGAGTGACTGTGCAGTTTTGTGAGAAATGGGAGAAAAGAGTGAACTTCCAAGCGCCTCTTTGGTAAGACCAGAGCACAGCTCAGCTCTGGAAAACAAAATGTAGGCCATTGAGCAGAGGCATCCTCACATGTAAGAAACTAATGCAGTGTAAATAAATTTTGAATGTGGCTTTTTTAAGTCCCAGCATCTGCTGGGAACTGGGACCTTCCAGTCCCCTCCCTGCAAACTCTGAGGAGCAGCAAGAGCAGGAGCTGAAGGGGCAAAATGGGGCCATGGGAGAACTTTCACTGAAGCATCGCACTTTTTCCTCGGGTTTTCTCTTTCCTTAACACCTGTTTGATCTGCTGTGTGCCCAGGGAAGAGGCTTTGCTGGCTGCCACCTTGCACTAAACCTGTGCTTGACAAGACACTCAGTCCTGCAGCTCCTGGCAGGGACAGACCATGGGAGGTGGTGGAGGTTGATGCTGAGGGACCTGCTGCCCTGCAGAAGGGAGCTGAGCCCTCAATCACAGCCTGATCTCCCCAGCCTGTTGTTCTTCCAGGGCCTTGTTTTGCATTTCAGAGTCAGCCTGGACCTGCCCAGGGGCTGGGAGAGACTCTGCCATCCTGGGGGTGCTCCACTGAGGGGGCTGAGCCTCCCTCCCCACATCCCGTGTGCTCAGGGCATCCCATGCATCTGCTACTGCAGATCTCCCAGCCTGAATTTCAGCCTTTCCAACAGCTTTTCTTGGGCACTCCTGCATCGGTTTCTTTCCTCTGGTTTGAGCCTCCAGATTAAATCGTGGGCTGAGAGCAACCCCCTCTCTCCTTGCGAGCTTTCCTCCGGGGAAAAACCTTCTGAGCGAGTCTCTCTTCTGAAGGCAGAGCCTTTGTCAGGTGTAGTCCCAGGATGGCCTGCTGGAATCTTTACCTTCTCTAACCTGTCCTTCCCCACAAGGTGAATCACTGCCTCTTCTCTTTTCTCTCCTGCCTCCCCGTGTGGTGCACGTGGGTCATGCTGTGGCTTCTCTTACTCTCAGCCCCGTGGCATCGACTCCTCCACTTTGGGAAGGAGCTGTGCTGAGGCCTGGCAACATTCCTGTGCTCCCTCTGCCTTCCCTGCTCAGCCCTGGAGATGGAAAGCCCCGGGGCAGGCGGCCTGCTGGCAGCTCCCAGGAGGGGTTTGGTGGCTCTGCCTCGTGCTCAGTGCCCCAGACACGTTTCGTTCTGTCTTTCAGGATATCCTACTGCACGGCAGACAAGATCCACGATAAAGTGTTTGCCTACATTGCCCAGAACCAGCTCAATGAGAACCTGGAGTGCCATGCCTTCCTCTGTACCAAACGGAAAATGGTCAGTCCAGAGGAAGAAGTGGGGATGTAGGAGGAGGAAGCAGAGAGGGGCTGAAGTGGTGAGATAACAGCTCTGCCCCCACTTAGAGCGAGGGGGGAACGGCCACGGGAGAGCTCCCACCCTCCTGCTGCCGTTAATCCGTTAACTCCAGGCTGGATTCAGCCCGCTGTCTTGGCACCTAAAAGCATCTCTGCCCTCTGGGGTGGGAGTGAGAAGACCTGACCCTGCACCAGCACCTGGAAATGCCCTTCCATGCTGCATTCCCAGCTGCTGGGACTCTTCCCTGCTCCACATCCACTTCCCTGGGCTGCCAGAGCCGGTCCAAGCCCGGTGTGTGGAGAGGCTTAGGCAGGCAGGGAGGTCTCCAGGGAGGCTCCCACTGAGGTGCCCAGGGGTACCCCAATGGGGAAGGCTTTCAGCCCAGCTGTTCTGGGCTCGCTGCCCTCCCTGGCTCCCTTCCATTTCTCGCCATCCAAGTTCTGTGTCCAGTGTTTAGCGGCATCTTTGTAGCCGGGGCCGTGTCCTTCCCGCAGGATCACCCCGCTGTGTGCCAGGGATGGGGCTCAGAGCAGACACCTGTGTGTAGAAAAGAGTCTCTGGCTCTTGCTTTGAACCTACTTGTGGGATTTTTTCCTGCTGATTCAGTGCACCAGGACAGGCAGGGACCCAGAGCTGGTGAGGGAGGGAAGCGGGTCAGTGGGCACCGGCTGCAAGTGGGGCAAGGAGAGCCCTGGGGGTCTCTCCTGGAGCCAGTTGAGCCCCCTCCCTGTGACAGGAAGGGGCTTTAGGGCAGAGGAAAGGCAGGCCCGACCTCTCTGCCCCCATAAATCCTTCCCCTAGTGCCTCTTGCAGGGCCCACGTGGAGAATGGGATCTCCCAAACCTACAGGGAAACAAAAACCCGCTGAGAGCCGTTCCCACCCGCTGCGTCCCAGCGTGGTGATTCCTGGGTTCTCAGGAGCATTCCTGTGCCTGGAGTGCAGCCACCTCGCTCTTGTTAATATTCTGTGCTTCTCCCAACTCGTTTTTTTTTTTTTTGGTTTTTTTTTTTCCATGGAGGGAATAATGGAAGCTACAAGTTGTCTCTCCGTTCCACGGCGTGTGCTCCCATCCTTGCACGGCAAAGATAAGCCTCACTCTGCAAATTAAAATTTAAATCTTTTCCAGTGCTAAAAGAATTATCTCAGTGGTACATCAGCTCAGTGCGTCTCCCTCCAAATAAAGTTCTCCAAGGCCTTTTGTGGCAAAAACTAGAAATAATTTTTTTTTTTTTTTTCCCCTCCTAGTCTATAAAATGCATAAACATCCTGCTGGTAAGGTGATCCCTGCTCCCATATTGGGAACCATCCCTCCCCAGGGCAGGGTCCCTGCATGTACCACAGTTACCAGTCATGGTATATAATTAGTCCATATTTTTAGTTCGTGGGTAATTCTCAACGGTAGCTGGGTCTATTAAACTTGATTCAGATGTGACAGCTTAAATTGTAAACAGCTGTGAGGAGTTTCATACTTAATTACCATATTTAAGGCTTTTTTGCCATAAAGCATTTGCACTTCCATCAAAGATGTAAATAGCTCCGACATTCAAATGAGCTCTCCTGCTTTCCAGGCTTAATTGGCACTGATGGGTTTGGGGGTCTCCTCGCCCCTCCTGCACAGGATGCTGTGCCCCATTTGTGTCCCTCCACGTCTCCATCCTCCGAGCTGCCAGGGCTGCAGGTTCCTGACCTGGATCTGGGCTTGTTCGGTTTGCAACTTGGTGAAACAAACTGGGGCCTGGAGGCTCCCGCAGCGCCCGCCGTGCCGAGTGTTCCTCGTTATCTCCTGGTGCTTTAAGCTGCTCCTGAGCTGTGCCTGCTCCTAATGAAACTGGCATTTATGTCACTATTTATACATCTCCAGCAGCTCGTGCTGTTGAAGGTGGTGGTGGGTGGGTTTAGTGCTGCTCAGGCTCAGGGATGGTGTCCCTGCTCCTGCCTTGGGGCAGGGCTGGAGCAGGACAAACCCGTGCTGGTGGTCTAAGCCAGCGAGACCCCAGCCAAGGGAACACCCTGGGGAAGAACCTCTAAGGTTGCTCCCAGGTGGAGAGAGCAGCAAATTCCTGTTGCTCTCAGGGTATCCTGGTCATCCAGTCGTGCCAGGACAGGATGGATGCAGCTCTGCTTGTCCCTCCCAGCCCTGTGTGGCCAGCTGTGGTCCGGGGCTCATCCCAGGCGCTGATCCCTGTGAGCTGGTGGTGTTCTCATGGGTGATGCTCCGCAGTGTGGGGGGAGCCACATCCCTCAGGGAGCTGTGAGGACGAGCCTGGGTCCGTGCAGCTCCTGCAGGGGGCTGAGGTGTGGGGTGCAGGAGGAGCTGTGCATTCCCTGCCCTCAGGAGCAGCTCCTGTCTCCCCATCCATCACCACACTGGCTGTGACAGCCGTGTCCCTGCCTCCTGCCTCTCCCCATTACACCTGAGGATGCATCTACGACGAGCTGTGTGTCCTACATGGAGCAAGGCTCTGCTTCCATCAATATTTGATTCCCCTCCCCAGCCAGGTGGGAACAGAGGACTGGTTGGATCCAGGTTTAACATGAGTCTGGAAAGCAAAACCTCCAAGTGATTTAAATCTACGTGGGGATTAACATCCCGCCTCACCGCTCTCGTTCCAGGCACAGGCCGTCACCCTCACCGTGGCACAGGCCTTCAAAATCGCCTTTGAGCTCTGGCAAGCAGCTAAGGAAGGTGAGTTTTATTCCCCTCTTCCCACTCTTCACTTTCAAGGGATGACTTTGGGCTTTTTCCAGCTCTCAAGTGCCTTTTCCCCTTGCCCTCCCGAATTTCCAGGCTGCTTCCAAGGCTGGCGCGAGGCATCGTCCAGGTTTCTCTCGACAGCCTTGTAAATCCAGCCAGGTTTTGGCTGGGCTCCTTTCTCGCTGGAGGACCTGGTGCTGGGCTGTGGTGCCTCAGAGACCTGCTACTGTCAGGATTTCTGCTGCCACTCTCAGGATTTTTGCTTTCACCTTCCAGGAGATTGTGAAACACACCCAGAGCCTGGGCTGCTGCAGAGGTGGCCCATCCGAGCTGTCCCACATCCCTCCCCTTCCTTAAAAGCTTGTGGGGGAGCACTCTGTGGGCAGTGATGGGATTTCCTTCTTTTTCAGAGAAGGAAAAGCGGGAGAGGTCCATCTTGGAAGGAGAAGGGACGAGCAGCCCCAGCTCAGAAGCCCCTGCCCACCCTGACACATGTAAGTCACCCCCAGCAGAGCTTTGCTCCAGGCTCAGGGATGGGAGAGGGCTGGGGGATTTTCCCTGGACAGGGAAAGCTCCTGAGAAGGCTCTGAAGACCAACAAGGAGCTACACTTTTGTCGTGGCAGAGATGTTGCCCTGGCAGAGTTCTCAGCTGAGCTGCTCCTTCTCCCCCTTAAATACCTCCTGCAGCCCCTCATGCACAGCTGCTACCACCCCAAATCTGGTTACTTCTGCCCCAGGCAAATTGGCCATAATGTCCTTAAGAGCTTAGTGTGGATCTCCCCATCCCGAGCCTGATTCTGGGTCTGTCTCAAACCCAAAGCACTCGCCATCCCACGGGCTGAGGGAGGGGCATGTCCAGCAGCCCCTGTGCCTCCAGCTCCCCGAGGAAGGAGAGGTGTGTGAAATAAAACAATTAAATAGTAAATCCCCTCATAATTCAGTGCCTGGCCGTGGGTCCTCTGCTGCCTCCGAGACGAAAGACAGGGAGAAGTGGGACAAAAGGCTAATCTCTCTTCCATGCTGGCCACGGAGATAAGAGGATTTGGCACACAGGAAAATAGCATTAAACTGGGCTTCCTTCCAGGCTGGCACATCTTGCTTCTTCCTGTGAAGGCTCAGAACTGGAGGAATCTGTCACAGACGGTGGCACATCGGAACAAGTGTGGCCCTGGGGGCTGCCATGGGTGTAGGAATGGGCTCCAGTGTCTGCCTGGGGGATGCTCTGGAGTTGGGGGCATTTCTGCATCCCCCCCCCAGTGCAGGCTGATGGGAGGGATTTGAGGCTTCCCTGAACACCCCCAAGCTCTGAACTGTTCTCTGCCCAGTGCAGGATTTGCTCTATAAATACTGATGCAGGTTTGTAAGATGCTGAATTGGTGCCATGGGCTGAGCTGAGGACCTGTTCCCACCCTGGGCTGATCCTGATTTGTCCTGAGCATAAGTGGGCACCCAGGAGCCTTCCCACTGGCTGCTGGAGGGACAGAGCTGGTCCTCCCCTGAATCCCTCTTAAGAGGTTCTCAGGTGCCTGATCTGGACATCATGGATAAATCACAGCCCTCACTGGGGTGAATGCAGCTCCTCCATGCTCAAATTTGGGGCCATCCTGATGAAATTCGATGCAACCCTTTGATTCCACTCTTGATAGGAAGCTACTGCTGCAAAAAGTTTTTGGTCGTGTGTCTCTTTTCCCCTCTCCTCATTCCTTCTCCACTCCGTCCACAGCAGCAGCCACGGGGAACTTGCTGGATTTTGAGGATCCTGCCAAATCACCCCTGAGCAGCAGCCCAGACCCCCCACACTTGGATAACAGCGTGTTTGGGCCCAGCTCCTCTGTAAACAACAACGTGGTGTGGGTAAGTGCGAGCTGGGGGTGCGGTGCCACCTCCATGGGTGTGCTCCAGGTCCCACCACAGGGCTTTTCCTTGGATAACTCCTTCCCCCTGGGAGCTGTGGGGTGGTCAAGCTGCTCAGGGAGGGTTTCAGAGGTGCCCAAGTGAGCTGGGGCTCGGTGTCCTACTTGAAATGATCACTTAGTGTTCGAGTACCTGCTGCCCTTTTTAGGCTCGGTAAATAAATGAACAGGATTGTGAGGTGCTGGGAAAAACGCTGCTGTCAGGTAATTGAATATTTCTTATTCTGGAGCAGCATTTCTCAGTGGTTTGTCACTTAATTGGGAGACCACCTAACTGCTCTGTTCAGGGGAAAAAATCATTATGTTGATGGCTTTTGTTTACTGCTCACTAAAACCAGGTTATATTTATGTTCATTGTTACTCTTATTTTTCCCTCACTCTTGTTTGTGGCTGTATCTGGCTGTTGGGAGCATGGATGGCTTCTGGAAAGGTCCTCAGTCATCTGGCTTAATTGTGTCATGGACCACTAACAGAGAAATAGTGATGCAGCCCCATGTGCTGGGTGTGCATCCCCCAGGGAGCCTCCTCCTCCTCCCTGCCCAAGTGCTCCAGCATCCTTTCCACACTGGAAGAGGGTGGGTTTGGGTTGGATATTAGGCATAAATTCTTCCCTGTGAGGGTGGGGAGGCCCTGGCACAGGTTTACCCAGAGAAGCTGTGGCTGCCCCATCCCTGGAAGTGTCCAAGGCCAGGTTGGACGGGGCTTGGAGCAACCTGGGATAGTGGAAGGTGTTGGGACAAGATGGTCTTTAAGGTCCCTTCCAACCCAAACCATTCTGTGATCACCAACCTGTGCCCTCTCTGGAAACCCCTGGTCTGCTGAATTTTGGAGAATTGAAGGATAAATAAATGCCTTTGCCTGGGGCCTGTTTCTTGAGCCTGGCGGGCCTGAGCCTGAGGCTTTCCAGGTTAAACCTGAAGATCAGCTCGAAGCTTAAATCAAATCCTGGAGGCTTATCAGCAATCTCCAATCCTTCCCTGCTTACAGAGTTTTCATACTTTACTTATTAATTGCATTAAGTCTGTAAGTGCATCACGGGATTTTGGGAGCAGTCCAGCCTGTCTGTAGCAAAGCCCTCACACAGAGCCCACGGTCCTGCATTTGTCCCTCGAGCAACTCCAGTGCTTTCCCTGGAACACCTTAGGAGCAGATCAGAGATAAAGGGTCCCAGGGCTGCTTTCAAGGTCCACCCTGTGCTGGTGCAGAGCTGCTTTCCAGTTCCTGATCCAGACGAGCTCCAGGGATGCCTGGGATCTGCCTTGAGGAAGCCTGGGCCACCCAGAGTTACACCTCTTACCTTGGGACTTGTGCAGAGAGGGAGAAAGAGAGAGATAAAACCTGCCCTAGGAGGCAGATTGCAGAGGGAAGGTTGATTTGGGCTCTCAGAAGCCAATATATACATACATTTTTTTGTCTGCCGTGCTCAAGTGCAGAGCCAGACCTCTAAATAACACTTTTGTGTGTTCTCTTAGCAATTACTTGTCTCTCTTTTTATCTCTTCAACAAAGGAAATGGATGATGGTCTCGACGAGGCATTTTCAAGGTAATTCTCACAACTCCCTTTACCAGTTCACTCCACCACTGGGGAGCAGCCCCAGAGACTTGACTGGGGACTGGCTTTTAATAATGCTCCTCATCTGATCAGTGCCATGATCTGACCTAGGCAGCTGCCCCATCAGTGCCTCAGCTGGTAATTGAAAGATAGGCTTTGAGGTTGGCTGATAAGCCAAATATTTTGACAACCTTTTAAAGGGTGGAGAGAGGCTGTGTGTGATAGGGAATTTAATTCCCCGAGCAGTTGGTGTGTCTGCTCCCACTTGCCAAGGCTTTCTCAGGCTGCCTGTGATGCTGGTCCCAGCTTTGGCACTGGGGGCTTTACTCTTCCTCTGCTCAGGGATTCAGAGCGTGTGGCCATCCATTCAAGGGGTTTAGTTCTCTTTCTAATCCAAATTAAAAGCTTCCCTGCACGTGCATGCCGAGCAATCCAGCAATGTTAAACAAATCCATTTCTTTTCAGGTGGGTTTTCCTGCTTGTTCTGGTGTGGGGACCACCCTGTGGGGCGGTGGGAATGGTGTGGTTTATGAGGGTCTCATCCCCCAGGTCAGTGTGTGAAGCCACCATGAGGTGTGGAGGCCCCAGTTTGGGCAAAGCTGCCTTGGGTGCAGATGCCAGAGGCAGCAGGGAGCTGCCAGGTCTCCTCCTCCTCCTCCTCCTCCTCCTCCTCTCCTCCTCCTCCTCTGGCTGGGAGGTGCTGGAGGAGGGAGCTGGGCAGGAGGAGCAGGGCTGACCCAACACTGTCCCTTCCCTGAGAACCATTTCCCTGTGCCAGGGTTGGCAGCACTGCAAAACTGCCTGCTCAGCCCTAAGGAAACAGCCCTCAGGGTCTTGTTTGGCTCTGGGGGATGATTTACAGCTTCCACTTCCACAGCAGCCTTGTCCCAAGATGTGGCTGATAAAAGGGGCTGCTTCAATTTATGTCCTGATGTTGGCTGTTTTCCTCACCCCCTGCTCCTTGCCCTACTTAATGAAGCAGATGTTGCTGGTTGTGGGCTTTGTTTTTTTGGGCTGCTGGGTGCTGAGCTGTCACATCACCCTCGGCCTTGTGGCAGTGACTCAGTGTTTGGGCTGCTCATCCTCCAAGGCGGGTGCTTCCAGAAGCATTCCTGCCACATCATCATCATCATCACTGGACATTTTTCTTCTTTATTAAAAAGCATGGCTTCATCTGAGGCTTTTTTTGACGCTGTGCCTCCCCTGGATGAAGCACCAAATATTTGAGTTAACCTTCAGCCCGGGGAGAGTCGATGCTGCACTGCTGCATTTTTCACAGAGGTGTTTAATAACACAGCAACAAACTGGGGCTCGTTAGGTTTTGCGGAACATCTGGGATGAAAAGCTCCTAAATGCTGATCCTGGGAGCTATTAAACATCAGCTGAGTCCTCTGTGTCTTAACCTGAGGAGTTAATGCTGGGGCAGAGCTACGGCACACGCTGCCTGTCCAGACACAGAGACTGAGTCACTGCACTGAGGCTGCTCCTTTGGGCAGCAGAGATCAGATCCCAGCCGTAGCTCCGGGGAGGAAAACAGCCAGGCCTTTAAGATATGGGATGTCCAGGCTGCAAATTCCCTGGATGCCTGCAGGGGAAATGCCAGGACAAACCAGCAGTGGACTCGAGCGTCGCAAATGTTCTGTGCCAGCTCCCCCCTTCCCGAACCACCTAATTCCTTTGGAGGGTGTTGAAATGTGGAGCTGCAGTGTTATGGATGCATCAGGGCTATAAACCACCAGGATTTGGGTTCTTACTTTGTGTTTTTCTCCACCACCCGCCCCCCCCAACCTCCTCCTTAGGTTGGCTCAGTCGAGAACAAACCCTCACGTCCTGGACACGGGGCTGACAGCTCAGGACATCCAGAGTGCAGAAACGCTCTCCCCTGTAGACTGGAACAAAATAGATTCCACCACGGGTGAGAAGGATGATCTGTTCATGTTTTGAGGTCAAGTGGATCGAAGAGCTGACTGGAGAATAACCACTAAAAGTCTCTGGGCTGGATCGTGCTGTTGCAGGTGCTGTACCCAGGGGGCTCTTCTAAGGGCTCTTCGCCAGATGAGGTGATGTTACAGCGCAGTTTAGACCAAAGCTTTAGAAACCTGATGCAGATTTTTATACCTTGCTTTTTATCTAAACCACGAGATGCTCTTGGACATATTTATTCCCAGCCGTTACCGTTTACATGTGTTATTGGAAGGTGTGGAGAGCATCTACAGGATTACGTGGCAATAATACCGTGGAAGAACCTTCAGCAGTGCCTGTTGCTCTCTGAAAACAGACTGTGCACCACCAAAGTCCCTCTGTGTTGATCCTCTAGACAAAGGTCTGCAGATGCAAATGCAGACCCAAGCACAAGTGTTACTAATCCACTGATTCTTGAACAACACGTCACCTGCCTGGGCGAGGGGAGGGGATTTGCAGCAGCTGCTGACAGTGTTAAATCAAAGAGGTAGCAGAGATCTTGCTTTTGTATGAATGTCTGTGACACTCTCACAGTTGTCAATCACCCCTGCGGGTTCTGGCTGTTTCTTCACCAGCTCCATGTGGGAATTGACACTTTTTTTTTTTTCTTTTTTTAACCCAAAGACTCTACGAAGTTTTGCACTTTAAAACTTGAACTGAAAGCAATGGTCCGAGTTGTCAAGCTAAGCAGTGCCTGTATTTTCTCTTCAGAAGCTATTTACCCAAAAATAACCCAGCCTGGCAATGCTGCAGCTCTGTTTCAAAGCTGATTCCTCACGTCCACCATCTCTGATGCGACTCGAAAATCCTAAAGCTCCGTTGCACTGTTGGCTTTGAAAGCAAAACCGCCAAGGAGGAACGATTTGTTCTGCTGAAGCGTGTTGGAAGTGGCAGCTTGGGTGGACCAGCAGCAGGATAGATCTGTGTTCTCACCCTGGCTGAGTGGATTTGCCTGTCCATGACTTCTTACTGCCTCAAAACCATTTGGTTGTTGCTCACTCGATAGACTCCAGTGGAATTGGATTAGGCAAGACCAATACCTGGATGTTCAGTTAGCAAGAGGTGCCCCTTCCAGGTACTTGGATCCCCTTGCTCCCTGACAGCCACAGCTCCCAGGAGGCTCAGGAAGCTGCTTCATCTGCTCCTGGAACTGAAAATAAGTAATGGAGGTATAAAGCTTATGCTAATTAAAAGATTAAGTTTAATGATCCTAAATAGTCACACTGACAGTTTGCAGTGTTTGTGGCCTTATGTGAAGTATACTAATCTGTTTTATAGATTTGTAACTTGGGTTTGAAGCACTAATTCATTCCCCAGATAGCTCTTTATAACTCTCTTAAAACTGCTCGCAGGAAAGAAGAAAAACCCTCTCTGTCAGCTGAAAGAATTCATTAGGAAGCAGCTGAGTGACTCTGACTTAGATTTGAGATTTTTTTCTTCTTCCCCCTTAAGTGTTAGTGTGAGAAGGTGTCGAGGACTCGTGGAGCTGACTCATCATGTCTCTTAATAAAACCTGTGCTCTCTGTATCCTGCAAAGTGGGCTTTAAAGCACTTTTACATCTTCAGATGGCTGTGCCCGCGACTTCCTTGATCCTGTGTGCAGCACCAGCCTCTTGGGATTGAGGGAACTATCAAAGCTTGTCCCTGCTGCAGAGGCACAGGGGAGAGACATGAACCTCCTGCACGAGCAGGGGTTGTTGCCAGTGCCTTGTCCCGACTCAAGGAGTTCTGATCTTCCCAGAAAACAGCCCGGGCTGTAGGATGGACTGTGAGGATTTCTTTGTACATTGATCTTTCTCCTTTTTCTAGAGACTCCAGGAGCAGATACTGAAGTGCACAACACTATATATGTGTGTATATAGTATTTTTAAGAAAACCTGATGCTGTAAAAAAAACCTGTACTGAGGGGAATAAAAGTTCTACCATTTTTTTGGAGCATCTCTGCCGAGTGATTTTATTTTTACAGGGGCCCTTTTAATGTGTAGAAGTCTTTGTATTTGTGGTTAAGTTCTGCCTGTCCCTTGATGCACAGCAGGGAGTGATTGGAAGCATCCTTGGGAGGTTGTGTCCATTGGACAGCTGATTCCAGTGCCATCCAGGTGGGAATAAGGTTGCAGTCAGACACTAGTCCGTGGTGCTGCTTCCAAGAAATGCTTATAGGACTGGATGTGGCCCCATGGGATGCACAGAGGGGTGTACAGTCTGTCCCTGCACTGGCCTTCAGGTAAGGGGGTGATGATGAGTGAGGAGAGGGAGGTCGGTGCTTCAGGCTCATCTGCAGAGAAAGGTGGTGCCAGTAGCATCAAATCCCAGAACCTCTTTAATTTATAGAATTTCTGAGTCACAAAGTGCTTCTCCCTGTTGGCGAGGGGGGAGCTGAATTTGTACAGCTGCTTTTTTAAATAAAAACAGCCCTGGAGAGCCCAGCACGGCCCTGTGTGCTCAGCATCCCTTTGCAATTCCTGCCTTTCCTGGCCTCCTGCACTTCCCCAGCCACCCTCGCTGCCAACCTTGTCTGGGAAGTGCATGGAGAGCCCCATCTGGGGTGCTGACAGGTCTAACCTGCCTGTGCCACCCACTCCCTTTGGGGTCTTGGAGCAGAGGGGCTTTGCAGAGACACCTCTCATCCCATGGTGCTAACAAAAAAAAAAAAAAAAAAAAGGACTAAAAGTTCATTTTTCAGTTTAAATTGCCAGTTCCAGGGTGAGCTGTCCCAGATTACGAGTGCTGAGTACTGGCAGCCTGCGCCCTCATGCATAACTGATGGCGACGCTGAGGAACAAATTGATCTTTCGGTTCGGATGTGACCTTTTTTTAACTGCCGGTTAAGGAACTTCCAGCATCCGTTTCCTTCCCCTCTGATGGCTGCGAGAGGGGCAGGGGGGGCTCTCTGTGTTGAGGGGCAACTCTGGCACGAAAGGTGGGCTCAGGGCAGCTGGGGGAGCTGGTGGTTCCTCCCAGCCCTGTGTTTTTCCACGGGGGGGACACGGCAGGGATTCTGCTGCCCGTTCCCTCCCTCGGAGCAGCCGCAGCAGCAGCAGAGGTGTCAGCGTGGGCTGTGCTGCGAAATGCTGGTCTGTCACCCTGCGCTGGCACGGGGGGATGGAACAGCTCCATCCATCCCACAGCCGGTAGCCGGCGTGGGCGAGGGAGCTGACGGAGAGCCCGTCTCCAGCCTCCCTCTCAATTCAACTCTAGAGGAGCAGAACCTGCAGCTCGCACGAGCCGTGCGCTGCTTCAGGGCTCGCTGTTTTTAAGTGCTGGTGCTGCAACTCTCGTTAAAACTCCTCCAGAGCATCCCCAAAAGTGCAGCAGCGGACCCAGCTTGTTGCTGCCAAGTTGCGGGGTGGGTTTAAGGGCAGAGATGTTCGGTTTGTGGAGCGCTGCTGTTTCATCTGCCGAGCGAGGGCTCTTGAGCGATGGCTGCTGTTCTGTGAGTCGAGGCCAAACCCAGCTCGAAGGTTACAAACCAGCTGCTTTGGGGGAGTGCTGAGCTGCTGAGCACGAGGCTGTGCAGTGTGACAGGTACCGAGCCCTGAACCTCTCTCCTCTCCTCACAGCACCGAGAGGGTTCGTAGCTCCGTGCCCAAGCTTGAGCGAAAGCTGCAGAGCTGTTTTTGGTTCCCCCCAGATTGTTCTCTCTTCCACGCACAAATAGAGCCACGTTTCATCTGAACACCTGAATGCTGAGTTACGGCCTTTACAGCCAGCCCTGGGCTGCCCTGCCAGGCTTCCTGTGCTCTGAAGCAGGAGATAATAGTCCTCGTGGAGAAGCACAAGTGCCTTTTGGCTGGGGGTGGAGGGGGGACTGGGTGGGAAGGGGAGGGGGTTGGTTGAGCGCTGCTCTCCCCCCTCTGAGGCGTCAGCCTTGCGTGACGGCTGCCTGTGAAGATGAGATTTGTCCTGTGCAAGCCAAGAGGAGCTGAACCAGAAAACACAGGCAGTGTTTGCCAACGGCCCAGGGCAGGGCTGGCTCAGGAGGAGCTCCCCACGGGTCAGCACACAGTGCTGGGGGGGTATTTTGGGAGTGTGTCGCTGCCTCTGCTTTTGAACTTCTCCCCAGGTTTGCAGCGCTCGGTGCAGGGGTCACCCCACAGCACAGCCACCCTCAGTCTGCATGAATGAGGGGTGTTTCTGCATGAATGAGGGGTGTTTCTGCATGTGAAAGCATCTCCCTCTGAGAAAAGCCATAATTTCAGTGCCAAAAATCTGTGAAACTGGTCAAAAATTAACTTTTTTACGCCCCCTCCCTTAACTTTTATGCCCCTAAATCCTGTCCCACCCATCCCAGGCTCCCCAGGTCACGGCCAGCTCAGGATATTCCATGATTCTGTGATGCCCTGAAAGCCAGGGCATCGATTCATCAAGTCACTGGTAACTTGTGGTCAGTGGTGCCCACGTTCTGTCGGACACCTGGAGCCAAGCAAGATGCAATATGGGCTTGGGAGGACCCAGAGGTTTTCCCCATCCACAGCACAGAGGGAACCCTGGAATCCCACACAGCAGCAGCAAAGACTGATGGAATAACCTGGAGCAGAATGGGGCCCTCAGCTCAGGGGCTCTTTTAGCAGCAAGTCAGCATCTGACTGCGAGCAATTTATCAGGAGTGAGTGGATTCTGCTTATGACAGAGGGAGTCTTAATATTGCATTACTTCATTTATTTAACACCTCTCCTCCGATGCTCAGGGGAAGGACAATGGGAAAGAGCTCTGGGGATTGCTGGGAGTTGGTTGTTATTTTTCTTCCCTGCTAAAAGCAGACATCTCCAGCTGGTTCTTGGCTCCGAGGAGGAACATTGGCTTTACAAAAAGGAGGGATGTCAAGTCATTAAAAGCTGCAGGAAGAGGAAGTCTTCTGAGGTGGGAGTGGAAATGGGGCCAGAGAGCTGGAGCCAAGAAAGCAGATGTAGCAAGAGCTGGAAGACTAGAGGCAGTTGCACAGGGAAATGTGCAGGTAGAAGGTAATTAGTGACCAAGGGCCTGGTTAATTAAGTGCCACCGGCCTCTCACGCTGACCACACGCTTGGTCCTATCCCTGCTGGGCTCTGGTCTTCACTGGGAGCAACTCCTTCTCACTCCTGGCTCTGAAGCAGCTCTCAGGGTGGTGGCTCTTGGCCAGCAGAGCCAGAGGGACCTTCAGCCCTGGCTGGAAAGCGGATTAGGAGCTCTGCTATCGGGGCCACGCGCCACCAGCAGCCGCTGCTGGCCCGTGGCCAGCGTGTCTGAGCAGGGCACCGGAGCCTGGAGCTCTCCCTCCCGCCCAGCACCCGGCTGGCACCGCTCACCTTTGGCAGCTCCAGCCTCTCCTGTCGGCCTGGGCTGTGAGCACAGACGTGTCTCTGCAAGTGAGAGCTCGCTCCTTGTTCCCCGTGGCGGGGTCTTTGGCAGCCGGGAGTCGCGGGGGCCGGGCTGTGCCAGCAAACCCAACGTTGGAGCAGCGGGCAAAGCGGTGCCGGCTGCGCCCACGGGCAGGGACCGCGTCACCTCCCAGCCCTTCTCTTCCACTTCTCCCTCCGGGAGCCAGGTGGGTGATTCTCACCAGCGTCATTGCTCCCACGTCATCAGGGCCGCCGCGCTCCTCTCCCTGCGAAGGGAAGGATCAGGAGGGGCAGGTTGGGAACGTCAACCCCGTCAAGGTTTGGCTCTGAAATCCCCGCGCGACTCCTGTGATTTATCGCTCGCCCGGCTGCTGCTCGAGGCTGGGAAAAGAGAAGTGAGGAGGGAAAAATATGGGTTTTCTAAAAGCTTGGCTTGAAAGCCCACGGGCTCAGGCCAAGGCTCCTGTCCTGGCTGAGGGAACAGGGTGGGAACAACATTGCTGGTCACAACTGGAATAAAACAGCCACCCACGTCAGGCCGTGGCCAAGCAGTGATTCTGCTGCCTGCTCTTCCTTGGCACATGCATCTTTTGAGCTGTGATGTGAGGGAAACCAGTGTTTGGGTACCAGTTTATTCCCCAGGCACCTTGCCTGCCCCAAACTTTTGCCATCACGGTTTCCATTTTGGAATCACCAAGCCATCATCTCTCCGGCCCCACGGGTGATACCCAGGGGATTTTAATTCCTCTCCTTTCAAACCAGCCAGATTCCACTCCATATCCCTCACTCTCTGCCTCCAAGGTTTTGGGGTTGGTTTTTTTTTTCACCTTTTCCAGCCATCACCATCAGCAATCTCTCGCCCAGCAAAAAACTCCAACCTCCACGCCGGGGTTTTCCCGCCCTTCCCTGCAAACCACAGCGGCACTTTCTGCCTCAACTCTTACAATCCCACGGATGGCAACACCACTCCAGGCGAAGTTTTGGCTCAAAAGCCTCGATGATGATACTTTGCAGGGAGTTATTTGGCTTGTACCTTTGTGTTTCCATCTCCCTCCGCTGATCTCGCTGGAACAATCCCCCTCAAACCCTCAAACTTGCTGCTTGTCAGCTCTTGTTTCAGCTCCAACCCTCCTGCTTCCCCTGCTTTTAGTGTCACATCCCAGCACCCGGCCTGTCACTTGGCTATTGCCTCTATCACACGCTCGTACGTATGAACCTCAGGTCTAATTAATGTAATAAAATGTGTAAAAGCACTAAATCTGCTCAGACACGGCAATTTTATCACTTCTATACGCTGTCACAGCACAAGTAAAACTGACAGCAAAGAATAAAACAGTTATGTCTCTGGCATTTTTTATTACTTTTAATATGCTCTCTTCTTTTTTTTTTTTTTTTTTCCCCCCCTTTTTGTTACTGGAAATTTAAATTATAATGGTATGCTTCACTTAAAGAAAGTATCCATAGCAACAGGAACATCTAAATTATTGCAGGCTGATCACTTCTCTCCTAGAGTCACATCACATGCCTTTCAAAGGCAGTCCCAGAGGTGCAAGATTTTAATAGATTTTTTTTTTTTAACCTTTTTTGCAAACAAACAAGTGTATACACAGTGTATAT